TTCGTATGTTTAAGGTATTTATATTATCGTAGCTTGGACTAAATTCTAGTTTTTATATTTTACATTATATTCTATACAAGGAAATATTAAAATCATTATTTCTAGAATACCATTTACATCATCAAAACGAACAAACCGGTAATGAGATAGCGATTCTTTGTTCAGCCGCGTATTAATTTAGGTAAAAGCTTTACTAACGGATATTGCAATTTTCAGATTTATTAAAAAGGCGATGATACATCAAAATTAGAATATTATTAAAAGATAACATTAATTGAAAGGATTTTTTTAATTATTAATATTCAACTTAAAAGGTATTTTTGGCTGAAACTCAAATTAAAATTATATATACAATGAATATACAGTTACGAGAGTAGGATTTGATGCAAGCTTTGAAATTAAAAATATTTGTTACGCTATTTCGCGGAAGTCGAAATTCTGCCATAGTCTATGTAAGAGAAATAAAAAAGTCTAAACACAAGTTTCATTTAAAATGAGCATTAAATAAATGGCTCAAAATTGTAAAGACATGTAAAAAATATTTTGTACTAGCTTTTGCTTCCGAATCCGTACGCTTTAACATTAGGGTTTTTCTCTACCAAAACGGCCACTGAACCCGAACTGCAATTCATGGTTCCACCCTTGTAGTTTTGGAATGAAAGTTGGGATAAGAGGTATATATTTTTCTCCAAAGTTAAATCTATTTCCTTAGCAAAATTCATTCAACACGTTTCAGAGGTTTAGGCGTGAAAACGTAACAGACAGATAGACAGTTACTTTCGAATTTATATTATTAATAGGGATCTCTAACATCTTAATTCAAATTAAGTGATTGACCATGACAATTTTCTTCAGAACGAAATACTAAAGATTAAAATTAGGCACATTATGTTGATAAAACTCTTTGGAAAATAATCTAAAGGAAATGTGCAATTGGAATGAAACAAAAAGTATTTTACTAATATATGAATGCCTTTCATAAAATAGTACTTAACGTGGATAAAGATAATTATTACTTAGTTTCTTTTTTCAGAATATAAAAAAAAATTAAACACAAAAACGGATATTGCTACTAAACTATGACAGTAAGAAATATGTTCTCGTGGACATTTTTTAAATCCTAATGGGAATAACAAAGCCGTAATACAATATTTTGTTATATTGTCGATAGGTTTTGCGCCGCACGCATAAGTAGGATTTCGATTTCACACCCTGGGTTACACAATAGCAATTTTGTTACGAATGTACAATTTTTTTTAATATAACAAATGGGATATCATAACATCATTAATAGAATTTTTAAAATCAGACCAACGTTTCTGAGATCTGATCTTTTTCAGCGTCCAGAAAAACAAAACCTGCAGCTTTATAATATTGGCATAGGTTTAAGAATTCTGAGACTATTTTGATATCATCATCATCATCATCATCAGCCTATCAGACGCCCACTGCTGAGCAAAGGCCTCTTTCTCACATGGAGAAGGTTTGAGCATTAATCACCACGCTTGCTCAAGACGTGTTGGTGATTTCAAACTTATAATTGTGAAACTATGTATAAGTCCAGGTTTCCTCACGATGTTTTCCTTCACCGTATGTCAGTGATGTCTAAATACTCTTAAATTTTGATATAAAATAATTAAATTAATTTATATCAAAATAGTCTTGTGGGTTCATATATAAGTAGATAGGTATTATGATATATCTCAAACTATGTATTACGGTGTCGTTTTTATAATATTTTAGTAATTTAAGTTTCTTTTGCTAAATGTATGTTACTTCAAAAGATTTTAATAAGTTTCAGCTCAAGGTTTTGGTCGAATAATGACTACAACTAATTCTATAAGCAAAAGCTTCTTAATTTGTTAGTATTACTAATTATTGCTGATTCATAACTTTAAAACCAATGAAAGCAACAAAAGAGCCATTGTTATATTACGTTTGCAAATAATATTCAACGAAACTCCATTTAATAAATTCTTAGAATGGCCTACAATCAAGGAATTAGATTTCCTTCCTTGAACAAATTATATTAGAACTTTTTATTCGATTATTAAAATATATAATAAGTTTCCGACCCACAAAAGGATATTGATTTAAATAATTAATTAAAAATCATACGTATAACTTTATTCAAAAATATTAAATACAGTTTTTAATATTAAAATTTAAATAAAATCAATGAGCGAGGAACTAGTCTAGTTTGAAATTAGTCTAGTTTAAAATTTGTGCATTTCCATGTAACGTTTGAAATTCAGGCCATAAGAAGAATCAAACGAATTAGTCCTAAATTCTCAAGCTTTTTTAATTGTATTTACATTGAACAATTATTTAAAACACACGCAAAGTTACAACAATTACAAGAGGTTCAATTATATAATCGTTTTAAAACAACACAAGTTAAAAAAAGTTAGAAACAAGAAAGAAACATACATTTCATTGAATAATTTCATTTTAATTTCATGTTTTGTTTCATTGTACCTAGTAAGAACCGGGATATTTGTTGGCTTGTTTCCTAAAGGAAATTATGTAATAGAAATGAGGATTCACTTCACTTCAGTTCACTTCTTGAGGAGGCAAGCTCTCTTGATATCGCGGCCCTGCTATGGCGGCGTACAAGAGGAACACTCAGGGGTTTAGGTGGGTCGGTAAACCAATACTCACATCACCCGGTCAAGTCTCCGCTCGGCTGGGTATCTGTGAGCAGATTTTCCCTGGGAAAACAAAAAAAAATACCCAATTTTATTCGTGCACTGTGCCCCTTGTTTAAAACTTAATAATAATAATAAAAGATAATTGTCAATATTAACAATCAAAATAAAAGGTTTCAAAAATATGTTGATTTTATAAAAGAAAATTTCAAATATTTATAACAATACTTGAGTTGCCTTTAAGATAAAACGATTAATGCAAGCAATTTTCTTCAATACTTAAACGACTACCTTGTTAGTATCTGACAAAAAAATATGCAACTATATTCAAAGAACGATTAAGAAAGCAAGGGAAAATCAAGAACCCATAATTTCAATCTATTACAAAAAATATTTAATAGTGATTCAACTGCGCACTGTCTAAGTTATACTAAGTAGATATTAAAGGTGCTAAATAAAACAGAATACTCAAAAAGCTTTGTAATTACCAACACGGAATCCGCAAAACTTTAAGTAGCAATTTACAAACATGAAATATAATTTACACTGCGGTTGTTACTTTTTAAAAGTGCTATTTAAATTAAAGAGTAAATAGAAATACTTTTAATAATACATTTTATTTGATAAACTGAGATATACCATCTCTTAAATACCTTTATCACGAGCATGTGTATTTTATTGGTGTTAATTTTTTTGTTTAATCTTGAGAATCAAATGCTAACCTATTAGGACAAGATTTTGTACTCAGTTGAAATACTGAAAGGCTTTGAGTTTTTCTTTCAATTTATCAAACTGGAACCAAAAGGTAAAGTCAAGTGATATAGAAAGTAAAATAAACTGCAACTTTATCTATTAATTCGATCTAGTGATTGTAACTTGCTGACGACTTTTCCGAGTTTCCAACGTCCTTGTAGGGTAATATGTAATTTTTCATTTGGTAACATATTTGCATGTTAGTCAGATATATTATAAAAAACGGGAATGTCGCAATAAAATACTACTATTGAAAACCTGAATGAATTGATTAAGATGAAAAATATTATTAATTAAGGATGTATCTCATAACACGGTTAAATTCATCATCATCAGCCTATCAGAGCCCACTGCTGAGCAAAGGCCTCTTTCTCACATGGAGAAGGTTTGAGCATTAATCACCACGCTTGCTCAGGTCGGGTTGGTGATTTCAAACTTATAATTGTGAAATTATAAGTCCAGGTTTCTTCATGATGTTTTCCTTCACCGTATGTCAGTGGTGTCTAAATACTCTTAGAAAGTACATATGACTCAAAAATCTTATTGGTACTTTTGTTTTCCCAGGAGAAATAAATCTTATTGGTACTTGCCAGGATCGAATGGTCAAATTATTATAATACAAAATATTAGCATTATTAGTATTGCACGTCGTAAGCCTTTGGCCAGGATTTAGTTCCAGGAAAAGCTGAGTTATTTAATAAGTTATAATAAAATTCTTTGTAAATATTTTCTTTGTTTTATTATTATTATTATTTTTTACAACTGAAATGATTTTTCTAAATTTATAATAGTGCATCAAAGATATTTATGATAGCTTTGTCTAGACAGAATAGTTTCATGGATGTCAGCTATGCAGGCAATAATTTGCATTTCGAAATAAAATTACTTAGACATAAACTAAATAAAAGTTCAACTAACTGATTAGTGTTGTTAAGCAGATATTTCATTTTAACTATGTTGTATACATTTGGTTATTTATTATTAAAGAATTACTAAATTAAATAAAAGAATAAGAAGAACTGCTTGTGCCGGCAGCCAGATCGATACGCCAGAAAATTAAGAACTCGATGGCGGTAGGTGATAAAATAACAAGACCAACTGACAGACACATCTCGTCTGCCCGTGATCACGCTTGCTTGAAAGTAGCCAAAATGTTGGGAAAATGTAGTTTATAGTAAAAAATAAAAAATCGTGTAGAAAATCTGAAAATATTCGTTTCATTTAAATGAGTACTTGCGGAAATCTTAGATCTCATTAAATAGAGTATATATTTATTTATTTAATACTTTTCTGTACACCACAACTACAATACAAACAATTACAAAAAATACAAACTTAAAACTAATGGTGAAACAAAAGGCGGCCCTATGGTTTATTAGCCATTTCTTCCAGGCTCATATTTACTCATTTATTTGAAATATTAATTTCTGAAAGTAAAGTTTTCGGATACTTCGCGTTTTTATTACTTTATAACCACATAATCAAGACGTTTCGATTTCTTTACAGAAAGAAACCGAGATCTCAACAGGCGAGATATTATTTACTATTACCGATTCTAACAGTTAGTAGAAGATATATTTATCAATATGTTTTTTTCAGACGACTGGCATGACACCTCTCATGTATGCTGTCAAGGACAACAGAACCTCCTTCGTGGAAAGGCTTATAGAGCTGGGATCAGATGTCGGAGCGAGAAATAATGTGAGTATTTATATCGAGTAATTATCATAAATTTTATATAGTTTTATATCACTCATATTTAAATACATTTTATTTATGCTTCAAAGATAAAAAGTACCCCCCAAAACTGACGTATACATCTAAAATAAAGTTTACCTTTCGTTTTTTAGAAACTAAGCAAATATTTATGTTATTTAATATTTTTTTCTTACGGTTTTGAAAATAATACTAAAGCTATTTATGTTTCCAATGTTTTGTACAAACTAATAATAAGAAATGTTAGTTTTGAAACTCAAAATACTTTGTGTTTCAGCCTTATGTGCGAATGAAGTCCGAATACTAAAATGAAAATACTTAAAAAATTATATTGTTTCTCTGGCATAGCTATCTTGTTATGATAATCAATATTTTATTTCTCTTAAAATTTATACTATGAAAATTTATTGGAAAATGGAAAATCATATTTTATATTGAAAATAACTCTCACAAACGTCCTAGTTAATGGTAAGAATATTGACGTTATAAAAAAACTACAACAAATACGAGAGTAGTACACGAGCTTAATAATGGCAATCAAAATGTGTTTCGTAGTTCGAAGCAAGTAAAGAAAATTACGATACAGATTTAGGGCAGAACATTAGCAAACGTAACCCGATCATATCAGGCTATGGGTGGCTATTTATAATTGTAACGGTCACGGCTTGCTACTGTGTGACCTTAGAATTAATAGTCAAGTTATAGATAAGACCCACCAGAACGTCGGTAATAACTTACATGCACACGTTAGCTACTCATACAAAAAAATAATTTTATTCGTTTAAAATCTTAAGTGTAACTAAAAAATTATATTGTGTCTACATGGATTATTATAAATGTTAACGCTTTATAGAAGCTAAATAGTAAAAATGTAAATCTGCTAGTCAATTTTGTACTATATTTGTAAGAACTATAGATAAATTACTTCAAAATTGATTACGGATTTACATAGTTATGATCTCAAATTAGATAATATGTAGCAGACCCGGCAATCACTTCATAAGTATAATATACATACAAGGCACTTAGAAATTAATGATACCGCACAGCCAAGAACTTATTTCGAAAATTAACGAAATCACATAGAATTCAACCCTTTTATCACAACTTAAGTTAAGTGTTAATAATTAAATATCCTATTAATTCAATGAATACAGTGTAATTTCACGATAAAAATATATTATGTTATACATATATGTACATATAACCAACTTGTTTTTGTCAAGTTATATGTATCTCAAAACCTATATCCTTATTGGACCTTTGACCTTATTCAGGTCAATACAATATTCATAATTAAGTTTATGATAGCTAAAAAACGAAACTGATTTCGCCTCATTTATAGTGAGGAAGGATTATATATTGTATTTAATAAAGTGGTCATATTCATTTTTGTTTTGCTTTATTTGCAATTTAATTAATAAGAAACACCTTATATGACGAGCCACGTAGTTATTTTACTAGCAATCTATGTAAATTTTTATTCTTACTCAACCTGACACAATTTCATACAGAAATAAAAAAGAGTACTATATAATAGATAAAATTAAAATTAAGAAGTTCTTAAATTGGAACAATTCCAATGTTACTTATAAAATTAATAGGTAAGCAAAATCTAGTATGTTTACGATCTATATTTGTAAAGTTCATTTGTGTTGCAAATTAAGCTCACGCTAGCTTCTGATTTAAGTCAATCTTGAGACTGGAAAAGGCTATGCGTGCGTTAAATTGCGTGACAATGAGAAAATTGCATATGTTCTCAACGCGTATTCGCTGATTGGTATACAGAGTTAATTAGGATACGAAAGGGTATAATTGAGGGGTTTTGAATGAGGGTAATTAAGTGGATGGTGATACCGTTTTGTTATTGAATACCATCAATATAATTATGTATGTCTTATAATCCTATAGATAATATTGCCAGTGACCAATAGTAGACGTAACGAATAAAAGATATACATATGATAATTATTATTGGAGCTTATATTGATATTTGAAACCATTAATCATTATTACGAGAAGTTCATTTTAAATCTAAAGTGTGTATTTTTTATTTAAAGCTGTATATAAAATTCTGTCTAAGAATTATTTGACTCTAAATGATAATTCTTAACAGTCATTTGTTATATTTAATTGAATTTGTAACACAAAAGTGGTTCTTAAAGATTTTTAACAAATAATTTCTAAAAAATTTATTTGAGTGTCGTGGAAACTTTTTTGTTTCGTTAAAGAAACATTTTGTTAATTTGACTCAGTCTTTAAAACATTGTTTTAATTAAAAGTTCTCAATGAACAAAAAAGCGGGGGCTTATAATTTATTATATGAATTCGGTCTCAACATTATTGTCATTAAAATTCTCCAAATATTGCTTAAAGGGTTATAATTCACCAGCTTTCACTCAAAATTACGATGAAAAATATTATTTATATATATGGATATGAAATAAGTCAAAAGAGGTCAAAACAAAGCTATAGACAGGTGTTCTTGATTATAATTCGTGTAATATAAATATGGGTCTCAGTAATTATGAAAACACAAGGCAAACTTCCTCTAGAAACTAAGCAAGCAAGCATATAAAGAGAGATGTCAATTGTCATCTTAAGTGAAATTAGTATTTCCAGTTCCGTGTTCGTAGGTATTGAATATAATTTTTTGTCTCCAAAATAAATATATTATAAAAATTTATGATACATATATGACGATATGTTTAATTTCAAATTTAATTTTAATATATGTACCTATGAGGGTACGAAACAAATATTGTAATCCTAATTATAGCCACGTTAAAAACTAAGTACCTAATTTCATTTCAACACTCATAAAAATAAATAATAATCTCGGAGATTGTGTACAAATGCATGAAAATATAATGACAGAATGTCAGATGACACATGCTATATCTACCCCCTAATAGCAGTGTCTGACTGCCAACGCATTTCACTTTTACCTTACTGCGAGATCCATTGAATGCGACATACGATGGATTGTAAAAAACTGTTCCGACATATTATGGAAGATCTATTTTAGTAATGTTCACTATTTGATATGTAAAGTTCTGTTACATGTAATTCTTTTGTATTAATCCTTTATAACAAATGCTTATTGATCGACTTTATAACTAATATATTTTCATGCACAGGACAACTACAATGTTCTTCACATATCAGCGATGTACTCCAGAGAGGATATTGTCAAACTTTTACTCTCAAAGAGAGGTGTCGATCCATTTGCCACTGGAGGCGTAAGTATTATACAAATATTGGATCATTTTATTAAATTCTTACAATTTATGACATTACTTCTTCTCTGAATAGAGTCGCCAACAAACAGCAGTGCATTTAGTAGCAAGTAGACAAACTGGAACCGCTACAAGTATTCTACGTGCTCTTTTAACAGCGGCTGGGAAAGACATCCGACTAAAAACTGATGGAGTAAGTATACAAAAGTATGCACAAGAATAACATGATAATTCCTTCATCACCTTTACCGGACGGTAATAAGATAACGACTAGTCTCCAACTTTTCGTTGGAGATTTTCCCCTCCTTCTATATTATTTTCACTTATACTCCGATGGGCTTATAATAAATAGTAATATAACTTGGTTGATTATGATATATAACACATATAAAATGCAACAAAAGCATTACACAGGTTGACTTAAATTTTTTTGAGTATGTAACAACTAAAACAACTACTTTTATATATCTTTAGACCACTTTAAGATAAGTGAAAAACTAATATGAGTTTCCAGAAAGAAAGTCTACATATTAATACTTTTTACTAAAAGTTAAAATTGTATGTTTATATTTATTTACATCAATCAATCATCATCATCATATCATGTTTATGAATGAATAATTTACTTCTAAATTACGTAGAACCAAATAAATAGAAATCTACATTGTCTTTTATTAAGATTTTGATTGGTTTATAGTATTTCTAGTAAATAGAACCGATGCAGCATTGATGACGATCGCGTGCAACGTCCCACACCACCTCCTGGCACCGCCATCCGCGACCGAATCCCCAAAACAAAACATGTAAACAAAAAGTGGGCCCAATAAACTATACCTAAAAAAGCTTCGTCATATTTAATGTATTCTAGTTAAAGACATCAGTCATAAAGTTATAATTAAAAAGTCTGCTACTTAATTAATACCAAGGCTGTCGTTTTTACATTCTAACACAGCAACGAGCCACCCCCCCACGAATAGAAACTAGCTAATTATCCGTCGAGCTTTAGCTGCCGAGTAACGTCATAACGCAAAATTTACATTGCAAATCAGTAGCGGAATATTAGTTTTAACGTCAACGTTAAAATTCAATATTACTAATTTTAATACAATAAGTCTCAGTCCGCCCTACGACACGACTAGAGAAAGGCAGCTTTAACATGTCTGCACACGGTTCCATTGTTCTCGCGAACTAGTTCCTATGGAAGACCATGTACGTATTGAGGCGACAATATTGAACTGATAAGGTTTTGCTATTGCATGCGAAAAACAAATTCCCTTTCGATTTAATATTACATTCAAGCCTCCACGAAGATTGCACATAAGTTGATACTTTGGTTATTTGCGACGGCTCGGAAGCTTCGTGCGGTGTTATATCAACCACAGCTAGCGTGAGTAGTCCGTGCATAGACACTGCACCGTATGGATTTCAGTGTGGATCAAAATTTACAGAGCTAGCACGTTATGTCTGAAAATGATAGGGATGCACCGGGTAGCGCAAATTTACAATTTCGGTCAGGTTTACGAAGCCCCCCAGCGAATTTGCAGTCTAGAGACTTTCAAAAGCTTGAGCTTAGTTTCATCGAGCTGAATAAAGAGCGTGCGCGGCAAAAGGAGTGGAAAAAGCTAATTCGCGACATGGTGTTCCAGAGGGGAAAAATCCCGCTACTGCTGGCCGTAGAGGCTGGCAACCAAAGCATGGTGAGAGAGCTACTCAGTGCGCAGACGGCCGAGCAACTCAAGGTTAGGCCACACAGAAACAATCATCATCTCTGATTATTTTAATATTTGCATATTATTGATGACTAATCCCTTTCTAATTTAATCTTTTGCACAAGCCTGAAATGCATTTCGAACATGTTGATATATTGGCTCATTAATTTAGCGTGATATTTCAAAAACATATTACTATTGCATGATTTTATGAATGAGGAACTCTTTCTACTCAGTCATCAACACCGGCTGGTGACACGGCGCTGCATCTCTCCGCCCGCAGAAGGGATGTGGACATGTCACGTATCCTCGTTGACTATGGAGCAGCAGTCGATGCAGTCAATGGAGCTGGTCAAACAGCACTACACATAGCAGCGGCAGAAGGAGACGAGCCTTTAGTAAAATATTTCTATGGTGTTAGGGCTAATGCAGCCATTGCAGACAACGAGGGTAAGATTGTTTAAAACCATCAACTAATTTCTAGCCACTTAATACAATTTTTGACTTTACACAGATTTTAATAGTTAAATATTAAGAAAATCCTTCAATCGTATTCCTAAAATGATTCAATATATGAATATAAGTTTTTGTCTTGTTTTATCTTCAAAGACTTTTATAATCGTAGATCGGACGCCGATGCATTTGGCGGCTGAAAATGGTCACGCAGCTATCATCGAGCTTCTTGCGGACAAGTTTAAAGCCTCTATCTTCGAACGTACTAAAGACGGCAGTACTTTAATGCACATCGCCTCATTAAATGGACACGCGGACTGCGCCATGATGCTATTCAAAAAAGGAGTGTATTTACATATGCCCAATAAGGTAAAGTAATAAATTTAGAAGGATAGACTTATTAAGTCTTTGGATGTGTACAAATTCAGATAATTTCATTTTCGGACAATGCAAAATAGCTGATCGACCAGAAGTAAAATTAATTTTCTAAATTAAACAAACCTAAGCCTAAAAATACACATTTTATAAGAGCTGCGATTACATTTTGTTGTTTAGAAATATAAAGAAATATATCTCAAGTAATTTACTAGAGTATAGTTGTATAGGGGACTCTTGAAATAAATGTTATTATATCAAATCAAAATTTTAATTTCATCTAACTTTATCGAAATTAATAGAAAGCAACTGGTTAAGGTTAAAACCATATCAGACTTGTTATGGTTAAAATACCTTAAAAAGTTTATTACGTTTTTGAGTCATAACAGATGCTTTTTAATTGAAAATTTTAAAGACAAACTTTTACTTCGGCAATCAAAAAGTTGAGTAGAATATAAAAACATGACGATAGATATAACCGAAAAATCAAAAAACAAAAACATCCATTAAATAAGTTTTATGCAATCGGAAAGAAATAAAATAAACTATAAAGTAACCTGATTTTAAAACATCTTGGCCATTAGGATTTTTATGACGTAGTTAAATATTTAATTTACTATTTTACAAACGCATGATTTCATTTCCCTTATAACCAAGGACGTTCGTGTTATGAGTCAGTTTCTAAGAAAATAAACGGCGAGTTTTTTAAGTGAAAACAATAAAACAATGCCACACATGATTAGGTACAAGGCGGGTTTATTTTAAATGTATAGCAAGAAGGTTCTTGAGTTACGTTATTATTAAGAAACAAAGTAACTGCTCAAAATAGAAATAAATTGTAATATTTTTATAATATAAGTGTCCAGCCCGTATTAATGACTTAATATAGTGACAAAAAACAATTTCATAGGACGGTGCAAGAAGTATACACACTGCCGCTCGATATGGTCATGTGGGCATCATTAACACGTTACTGCAGAAAGGCGAGAGTGTAGACGTTACCACAAATGTAAGTAAATGAATTACTCATATAAATATGCTTTATACGTATTTCTTGTAAGTTTTTTGTAATGACTTATATGTAAATTAATTATTGAATCCGTATTTGTCATTGAAATTTCAGGATAATTACACAGCACTTCATATAGCGGTGGAGTCATGCAAGCCGGCGGTGGTAGAAACTTTATTAGGTTATGGTGCTGACGTACATATTCGAGGTGGCAAACAAAGAGAAACTCCACTACATATCGCTGCTCGGATACCCGATGGTTAATATATTTTGATAAAGGCATCTAAAGCTAGCTTATTTAGGTTTTAACCAAGTTGGATGACTGTTTACAATATAGATATACGTATAATTATTATTTTTATGTTTTAGGCGATAAATGTGCGTTGATGCTGCTTAAATCAGGCGCAGGCCCAAATAAGGCCACAGAAGACGGTATGACACCGGTACATGTTGCTGCAAAATATGGAAATCTAGCTACACTAATACTTTTGTTGGAGGATGGAGGAGATCCACTTAGAAAAACAAAGGTTAAGAACATTAAATACTCGTGATTTCTTTTATATGATTTTTTCTATATTTTCTAAAGATTTGTATGTGTATTCAAATTAAGTAATATAACATTGATAAAGTTTTATTTTTAGAGCGGTGAGACTCCACTGCATATGGCATGCCGAAGTTGTAAGCCAGACGTAGTACGGCACTTACTAGAATTTGTAAAATCTCATAAGGGAGAAAAAGTATCATCAACATACATTGACGCTGTTGACGAGGATGGAGCAAGCGCATTACATTTTGCGGGCCAGATTACTAAAGAGGAGGTTGTAAAACCATCAGCTGATAAAGAGGTTGTCAAATGCTTAATGGAATATGGCGCTGACGTTTCCTTACATACAAGGCAAAATCACGAAACTGCCTTTCATTTCTGTGCGATTGCTGGTAACAACGATGTTTTGACAGAAATGATCACCGATATGTCTGCTACAGATGTTAGTCGAGCTCTAAACAAGCAAAATTCGATTGGCTGGACACCGTTACTTATTGCGTGTCATCGAGGTCATATGGAACTAGTAAATACTTTACTTTCAAACCATGCCAGAGTGGATGTTTTCGATGTAGAGGGAAGATCCGCCTTACATCTAGCCGCTGAACGAGGCTTTCTTCAAGTTTGTGATGCTTTGTTAACAAACAAGGCATTTATTAATTCAAAAGCGAGAAATGGACGAACAGCACTTCACTTGGCAGCCATGAATGGATATGCACATTTAGTGAAATTTTTAATAAGAGATCACAATGCTATGATAGATGTTCTCACTCTTAAAAAACAAACGCCTTTGCATTTAGCAGCAGCCTTCGGACAAATTGAAGTCTGTAAATTATTACTAGAACTTGGTGCCAATATTGATGCTACAGATGAGTTAGGTCAGAAACCGATTCATGCCGCGGCACAAAATAATTTCTCTGAAGTAGTGCAGTTATTTCTTCAACAACATCCTAACTTAGTTATGGCAACTACAAAAGATGGAAATACTTGTGCACATATAGCAGCCATTCAGGGATCAGTGAAAGTGATAGAAGAATTAATGAAATTTGATAGGACTGGAGTCATATCAGCACGAAATAAGCTTAATGAGTCAACACCTTTGCAATTAGCAGCAGAAGGAGGCCATGCGGACGTTGTTAGAGTTCTAGTTAGGGCTGGTGCTTCATGTACAGAAGAAAATAAAGCCGGTCTAACTGCTGTACATTTAGCAGCCGAACACGGCCACACTAATGTATTAGATGTAATGCGTTCAACTAATACTTTAAGGATATCCAGTAAAAAACTAGGCTTAACTCCTTTGCATATTGCAGCATACTATGGTCAAGCAGGTATGTTATCCGGAAGATATAAACACTTTATTTATTTAACCATACTAACCAACATATTATTCTATCTACTTTTAGAAACTGTTCGTGAACTTTTATCACATGTGCCTGGCACTGTAAAGTCTGATGCGCCTACGGGAGTATCTTTGGTGCCGATATTGGGCGCTGAATCTGGCCTTACCCCATTACATCTTGCTGCATATAATGGCAATGAAAATGTCGTTCGCCTGCTGCTTAACTCTGCTGGAGTACAAGTTGACGCAGCTACAAATGAAAATGTACGTTTAACATTTATGTTTCCATCATTAATTTTAAAAATAAATAATAAGTACATGTATGTTTTCAGGGATATAATCCTTTACATTTAGCATGCTTTGGAGGTCATATGTCTATAGTGGGATTACTATTAAGTCGATCTGCGGAATTGCTTCAAAGTACAGATAGGCACGGCAAAACCGGATTACATATAGCTTCCACTCATGGTCACTACCAAATGGTGGAAGTATTACTTGGACAAGGGGCTGAAATTAATGCTACGGACAAAAATGGCTGGACGCCTTTACACTGTGCGGCGAAAGCAGGACATTTAAATGTTGTAAAATTATTATGTGAATCAGGAGCGTCCCCAAAAAGTGAAACAAATTTAAACTACGCCCCGATATGGTTCGCGGCGTCTGAAAATCACAACGACGTTCTCGAGTACCTTTTACATAAAGAACATGACACGCAGTCTTTGATGGACGATAAAAGATTTATTTACAATTTAATGGTGTGTTCCAAAAATCACAACAACATTCCAATTGAAGAATTCGTATTAGTTTCTCCGGCACCGGTGGATACAGCGGCGAAATTATCAAACTTATATGTGAATTTATCAACAAAGGTATGCAATATACATATATTTAGATACGACGAATTCTATAAAATAAAACTAAATTTTTATTCAATGTCACAACAGGAAAAGGAGCGCGCTAAAGATCTAATAGCAGCAGGAAAACAATGTGAAAATATGGCTACGGAGCTGTTGGCTTTAGCAGCAGGTGCCGACTCAGCAGGACATATACTCACCGCTACAGATAACCGAAATATAGAATTTTTGGACGTCTTAATAGAAAATGAACAGAAAGAGGTGATCGCACACACAGTCGTTCAGAGATATCTTCAGGTAAAAAATAGGTAACTTCGTCTATAATAGCTTATTTCCTCTAAAGTCCTGACTTAAATACGTAATTGGATTTTTATTTCAGGAACTCTGGCGAGGGAGCCTCAAGTGGACTGGCATCAAAATTATGTTCCTTTTTTTCGCATTTATAATTTGCCCTCCAGTATGGATGGTGTTCTCCCTTCCATTAGGACATAAATATAATAAAATTCCTATAATTAAGTTTATGTCGTACTTAACATCACATATTTATCTTATGGTGTTATTATCTTTAGTGGCTATCACGCCAATATATAATTCTATTTTTAGGGATAGTTTGGTACCAAGATGGTATGAATGGATGCTTTTAGTATGTTTAAGTGGTCTACTTCTTTTTGAATTAACGAATCCAAGTGATAAGTCTGGGTTAGGTTGGATAAAAATTGCAGTATTATTATTAGGTATGATAGGTGTTGCTACCCATGTAGTTGGGTGGATATTTGTATTACCTAAGTATTGGCCAACTTTAATGTACTGTAGGAATCAATTTTTTGCATTATCTTTTCTGTTAGCATGTGTGCAGATTTTGGACTTTTTATCTTTCCATCATTTGTTTGGTCCATGGGCTATTATTATTGGGGACCTTATGAAAGATTTAGGAAGGTTTTTAGCTGTGTTAGCAATATTTGTCTTCGGATTCTCAATGCACATCGTGGCTCTAAATCAGCCGTTTAGAAACTTATACAAACCCGAAGATAATAAATATGCAAGACAAGCTAGAAGAAGGCTGTTCTCCGACGGTAAGGACTTCTTTCTATTAGTTTTTTCATTTTGTTAATATATTAATTAACTATAAAGTGTCTTTTTCACTGAACAAAAGATGATATTTTTAATTGTTATGCAATAGAGAACCTTCGAACAAAAAGACAAATAGTCGATACTCAGTGGCTAAGTACATATTCACAAAACGTAGAGTCCTACCGACGAAAACAGGGACAAAGTGGTCGTAAGTCTAAGTTAGCAATAGACGTCTAAAAGTTGATAAGAATTTGATTCATGCCTAGACTATGTGTCAATCCTACGATGATTGCATTACATCGATGTGCTTCTTATATTATGATTTACATTCTATTCGCTTGCAAGCTTAAATGTTTGCCATCATATCGAGAATGTTATCATCGTCAATGAAATGTCTGTTTTTATTTGTTTGTATCACACAAAAGACGTGGTTTGTCAGGATCATAATTACACGTGATTGCTGTATATTGTAGCACCACATTCATCGTCAAAAACAGAAAAGATTTAATAATATGTTAGTTTTAGATATATATGTTTAATGCATTTTCAGCAGATTATAATGAAATAAATCCTTCAACTGAATAATGAAACATATTTTCAGAATCAACAATTATGAAGAAAATGCATTATACGTATAGACTAGTTTTAGTGGAATGAGTGGCCGACTTCACCGCATTCAGTGGAGCAAGTTTGATTTGCGCATGTTGTGGCTGGCTTTTGTCCTGCGATTGTTCACCGGCGTCTTGAGGTATCTTACGTTCAACATGTTTGGCTGACCGTCCTCGATGTGGCGTTTTGCGCCCACGCATTTTCCTTTATTCGTTGTTTGTAAGTGTCACGTGTAGAGGGACCCGGGGTAGATTGATGCAGGTATAAATATAAAGTTTTAATGGAAACTTTTTAATTAATTCTTTACACAAAACACAAACTGTTTCACATATTTACACAAATCAATCTACCCCTACAACCCACAAGCCACACTTTATTACTGTTAGTAAAGTTAAGTTAGATGTGGTTGTTTTGAGTTATGCCGTATCTGAATTTTTGTTTTGAATCAGCACTGCCTTAAATGTTCCTAGATTAAATAGATGTAAATTCAAATATTGATACGGCATATAAGAAAAAAGGGGTAAATTGATGCTTTAATAAAGTACACATTATGAAAAAGTTACGTATGGAACAAAACTAATAGAATATTTGAAATATCTGCATGAAGCTACCCCTAAGTTAAAACGGAACTTGGTCCATGTGCGTGTTGTCTTCTAGCAATGTTGTCACCGATCGAGGCGTTCGAGAAAATGTTCTTCGCCCTTTTCGGCCAGATTACTATATCAGACCTCAACTACGTATCCAGATTAAGGCCTCTGTGGACGCAGAACCTGTTCAAGTTTGTCTTCGGCGGCTACTTATTGATGACCGTGGTGGTCCTCGTTACGCTCCTAATTGCGATGATGTCGGATACTTACCAGCGCATCCAGGTAATTTTACATTATTCTCGCCTTAATTGTTTACAGTTACCATGAATCCCGTGTATTCCTTCGAGCTGCTCTTCTTCGCGGTATTCGGTCAGACTACGACTGAACAGACGAGGGTACATCGTAACGACAGCAATGTTCAGCCTGCTTGGACGAATTACTTGTTCAAAATCGTGTTCGGTATCTACATGCTGGTCTCTGTGGTCGTCTTGATCAATCTACTTATTGCTATGATGTCAGACACCTACCAGAGGATTCAGGTATACGACTGCAATGGACTGTATGCATTTCTTCATAAAGACGCTTTTAAAATAAGAAAAAACCTAAACCTAATACTAAATAATCATTATATTTAATATGAATAATTTGCATAACATTCATGGTTGTAATAATTAATATAGAATAAAATATAGAAATACAGAACAGATTCTGAGTTTAAAATTAAAATAATTTTTCATTTTCATTTTTATTTCCATTTATTGTTTATACTTAATTGCTTCAGAGTATGTTAAAGCTGATTTATTTTAATATTGATTATAATTAAATATAAAACTTAAATACTAACGCAGTACTCACCTCACGGTCTTGTGGTAGGGAAAGAAATACCATTACATAGAAGGTCCTAACAGTTTTTGGACTAGTAATTAATTTAGTTGTTTAAGAAGCAGTATGAGTCTGTGACATATTTCCCTATCGTATCTGATCGTAAGATAAATACATCGTTTATAAAACAATTTAAATCTTAATAATGGCTTAAGTTAATTAATTTATGATTTTAATATTGCTTTTATATAGTTATAGCTTAGAATTAAACTAATTGAAACATCACAGGCACAATCAGATATAGAGTGGAAGTATGGACTGTCTAAGCTAATCAGGAACATGCATCGAACAAACACAGCTCCGTCCCCTCTAAATCTTGTTACGACTTGGCTTATGTGGCTCATCCATAGATGCAAGGTAAGATATAAAAAAGTATATAAAACTTTAAATATTATTAAATATATACTTATCTCAGTATAGGTTTACCAGTCTTACTCGGTATACATATACTTACATACGGTATACTTACATACTTAATAACTAAGTATTATCTTTTGAACTTAATCATTCAAAAATTGCATATCTTCCAAACCAATTAGAAGGTTAACTCAAGAATGAGTGTTGGAATATAGTTGAAAATTAGATGGGAGAGAGCTCGGAGCCAGAAGCCGGACATAGGATGTTTAATTCTGTTCGATAGAAAAATAAAAAACTTTATAAATTCCAATGTCTGGTTATTTGCCGCCTTTAGCGAAGAAAAGAGTTCGTCTGGTCGGCTATACATATATTACTAATTCCGAAGTTTAAGCGGGCGAAGGCGCTGGAAAAAACTAGTCTTAAATAAAATATAATTGTAAATAACATTTAACTATTGTACCAGGATCGCATAACAAAGAAGAAACGTCCAAGTCTGGTGCACATGATTGGTCTGCAGCGTCAAGAACAGATGAGCGCTCGTTCTAAAGCTGGGTCCAAGTGGTTGTCTAAAGTTAAACGAGGCCAGGTTGTTCCTAAAGGTACACGATTTATATGAATTGGTTGACGTTCAGTTTACTATAGTATATTACTATAATATAAATTATGTTACTATATCTATGTAAACAAACTAAATGTACTATATATATATAAACAACTTTTGTGATTTGATAGCTGTATGATGTCACATAATTAGTACAATAAAAATGATCATTTATAGATAATATCTGTATAGACAGAATAAAACCAAAGCATCTATTTGTGCCCCGGATTATTTTTCAAAAGATTTCAAATCATCGCTAGAAATTAGTATATTTTTAAAATATTTAATTTAGTATTGATACTTGACACATATTAGAATTTATTATATCTTAACAGTTGTAACCTACATTTTGTCTAGTCTCATTCGTATCTGTAATATTTTCTAAGCAACAACAAGAATCTATGTTTATTCATTTTATGTCTTCTTATATTTGAAGATTCGACGCGCCTGTCCGTGGTTCATCTAAGTCCTATGGGATCACAGCTAAGCTTCAGCAATATGACGAGGATAGAGAACGTAGTTGATTGGGAGATTATAGCTAAAAAATACAGAGCACTTACCAGGGATGAACCAGAAGAACCGGTCAACAAAGACAGCGACACGGATACTGTTGATGATGAATCAGAACTAATACCAAATAATATCGCAGCACCGCCTTGAATGAATCTCCGATATTGATGATCAAATTTCTTCCTATTTAGGGATTTCCTTGTAATGACGTCTACATGCCGTTATGTAAAACTTATTGTTCAGTAGAACAATTCAGTAGAACAACTATTTTTACAGCAGTAGCTTAAAGTAGACTCTTCTTACAATATTTTTTACTGAATGGGATAATGAATATATTTAATAAGAAATATGTTTTAAGCCAGTACCTTCTTCAGAATTAAATATCTTATAATATCGAGTAATCCAAAAATATTAAAAGTTGTGACTTACCTTTTTAAGTATGGAATGAGTGAATGTTAGCTGAAATGAGGTTGTAACAAAACCATAGTGAAAACGAATATTTTTCCATTTAATATTATATTTGAGTATTATTAATAATAGTGTATCATATTGTGTATTATTTATATTCTATTAATATTTTTGTAAATAAATGTGTTGTGTATTTGTGTACCGAATTGTTTCGAATAAAAATTATGCATTTAATATATAGTGTATCACTGATATGACTATAAGTAATAACTTGTAAGGGATTACAAAAAAAGCGAATCAATGTCAATCATATGCGATATGAGAAGTAGAAAATGTTTGTACTTGGTCATAAATTGACAGTCATTAATTGCATTAACTTTTAGCATACAGGATATTAAATATGTTAAACAGCTTAAGTGTCTTGAGCCATTATAATTATTGGACGTCTAGAACTTGCTTTTGTAATCCAAGTAAAGTTTGCCAACTTCTATTTAAGTTATCAATGAGAGATATACTCTTTAGAAACGTGGATCAGTAGTGTTGATCTTCTTTTCACTATAGATATCGATTTAAGAAAGAGAAGAACTTTATCAAATATATATGGAATTCTTTAACATAATATAAGAGTTTTGTGTAAAATTTTAAAGAGAAGAATGAAAAAATATTTATTTATCAAAGGTTTGTTGAGGGCTTGTTTGTCTATGTCTTCAAAGGAATTAAAATTCTCAAACGATATTTTACGACCGACATTTAAATTATAAACGAATCGTTGATTTTCACTGTAAAGTCTATGTCATGTATCAGTTTTTTTAAAGAAGCGAGTGTTCTAAATGTGAACATGTTATAAACAATCCAAAAAAAATAAATTATTGAAATTAAATGAATACCTCACCTTGGTAGAAGTACATGTAAAAACAGAAAACTGTAAAAACAAACTCTAGGAATGATATTGTGACAATGTCAGTCTATAGTCTTCCTCATTTCTTCATATAAATATTATGGCAATTCTAAAAGAATAATGTAAAATATGCGTATTATATGCTTAAGTGTTTTAATCACCTTAATTTAAATTTTACCGTAATGATATTGACTTAAGTGTGCTATATTATAATGCAACTATACAAACATTTTTCAACAAAATGAATGCGGAAAAATTACTTTGTTTTTCAACTTTCGACTTGACTTATTGGGAACAGATGGAAGAAAACACTTTATTTTTTATAACAAAATAACTCCCTTAAGATATACAAAAATTAGCCCAGGTCCATCGTGTTGCAGGGAGAGGAGCTTCAACCGTGCCTGGGACTTGCGACCCAGGTGTAGGTTTAAGGGGCCCCTATCTAACGCGCGTTAAACGCTCACCTCCACCGTCCAAGGTCCTCTCTCTTTCACTAATTAGATTTGAAATGAACAGTAATGGATGAATAATAAATTAGTAAGTTTTAATTTTTGTCTAATGATAAAAAAAACGAAACTAATTAAAATTCAAATAGATAATATAAACTGACACGTTCATCAATATGACGAGTATTCTAAAATAATTCGTTCGTAATATCGCATTGCAGTTACTGTGCCAATTTCACTGTTGTGCCTTCCCTTTTTGTCTCTTTGATGAAGAGGTTTATTACTTATTATCGACGAAAGCGGTGAGTCAAAGGGGTATGTGGGACTGCCCGTAATAGACCCAGGATTATCCACTAAAGAACTACAGTAACTCTCTTCGTCCTAGCTGAGCATCATGGATATGTTTTGCGTATTCTATGGAGACGGTCTTACTGAATCTCCGATGAGAATAAAAAACCTTAGATCTTAAATTATTAAAAGGGGATGCTGAAATTTAAGTTTTTACTTGTATCCTGTATCCTGTAGATTATCGAGGTGCAGGCCATTTTTCGAACTAATGCTCTAGGCTGACGAGATTGGATTTTACCAAGTTATAGACTAATAAGTATTTTCACAAATCTCTCCAAAAAATTTGAACAAGTCAGGTGAAGTACTGCCGCACTTTTGCAAGCACTTCGGCTTCCCTTGCGGTTGCCCTGGCCTTGGACTCAACCAACTATTAACTAATCTAATCTAACTGATTTACTTTGGGCGGAGATGAATGGGTGGTCATCAAAATAAGGCCTCAGTGTTAGTGACCGAGCTCAGCGTGATCAGTTTTTACATAAGCGGAACAAAACATAAAAACTTTGGATTTTAATTTGAGTATGACCTTGACATTGCTTTAATGTAATATGTTTAAAATATTATATAGGAAGGGGTATCTTTTAAATAAACTGCTATATCGAAATCTATAAAATATGAATTAGCGCTAAATTCAGCGTAACTTTTTTACATTCAAACACATTATGAATAAATATAAGTAACAGTTAATGTAAATATTGAATAATATGAAAACATTTAATCCTTCCTATATAAAAGATGGAAAATTTATATTTTTACAGCCGGTTGTCAGAATCAATATGAGTGTTGAGAGACAAAGAAAATGTCTGCTTCTGATAATATTTTTTGCATTCGGTAAGTGATACACTTCTTTTAATCTTCTATATATATAAAAATGGATTGCTGTTCCTTAGTCTCGCTAAAACTCGAGAACGGCTGAACGGATTTGGCTAATTTTAGTCTTGAAATACTCCTGGTAGTCCAGGGAAGGTTTAAAAGGTGAGAAAAATTGATTCATTGCTGGGAAAAACATAAAAACAGCCCTTTTCTATTTCCCATACAAAAGTTTTTTTTGACATTAGATTTGACAATTAACAAATATGTCAATTCTGTTTGATTGAAACAGGAAAAACCTGATTATTTATGGCCTGTAAGACGGAATAGAGTTCGACTGGTCAGCTACACCTACATATATTACTCTTGACCAAACTAACGCGGACGAAGTCGCGGGCAAAAACTAGTTATAGATATATTTTTATTTTTTTAAATAAGAAGCGACTAACAATTTGAGTTTTATAAAATCAATTTTATATTTTGTCATTTCGGAATAAATTGTATACGTGTATACACACGTATATGTACATATACGTATATGTACATATAATATAAAAAATAAAATAAATATATACGTATACATTTATTTTATAAGGGCAAACTGTATTTTTGTTTTAAAGTACTTAGGTACGCATCTACATTGGTCGAATCTCTTAAAGACATGTCGTGGTATTTGGACTAGCTTTAGAGTATATATCACTAACGGATATATTTCGGAATAGGATAGCCATAAGAATATTAAATAAATCTCAAAATAAAAGAAATAGTTGAACTATTATTTTGAGTTATAAATATCCTTGTCTATACTAATATCGTAATGTTTTGTAAGTAAGCCCACATCAACATTTGATATATTCTAGATACTAAATATGTGTATAAAAAAAAATATATAAAAAATTTATTGCCTTTCGCCATTCGCCAGGAATCTGGTGTGCGGACGCTGCATATCTGAGGATTTATAACGGGTAAGAAATATGTATTTTAAAAGACTTAATAATATATAGCATTACAAATAATAATGATAAATTATATCGTATTCAAAACTTCTTTAAAAGAGAGAACTTTGACGAATACGATGAGTTCGATTTGGATTCACCGCTGGGACTTTTGAATTCTACTGGATACGATAGAAGTCAACATACTGTTATCTACACATTCGGTTTCAAAGGAAAAGCTAATGGACAGTCTGTAAAAACGATCGTAGAAACTTATTTGCGAATCGGCAATATCAATATCATTCTCTTTAATTGGGAAGAAGAAGCAACCGGACCTCTAGGAACAATTTCATACGGGAATATAGTTGCAAAAAATGTCAAAAAGGTAACTTTTAGGTATATTTAGTAGCCTTTGAGATACGAGGTATGTAAAAATCTTGTGTATGATAATTTTGATACCAATTTTATTACTCTATGTATGATATAAATAAGTTTAGATATATTAAAACACCTTACTTCTTGCTAAAATTCTCGCAGTTTCCTTTTTTGTCCTTAGAACATCTTTCATAATTAACATTCATTATCTATGTTATAAATTTTAAGCTGGGCACAAAACTGGGAGACGTCTTGGTGAAATTAGTATTAGCAGGACTGGATATTAATAAACTCCATTTAATCGGCTTTTCTCTTGGAGCACAACTTTATGGATACACAGGGCGACAAGTGATGGCAAATAATTTAGAAATTCCGAGGTATATCAAATAATGAAATAAATTAAATAAAGGAATGAAATAAACATAACATTTTACAGAATTACAGGTCTAGATCCAGCTGGTCCTTTGTATGATGAAGGGTTCTTCGAATCTCTAGACAAAGACAGCGCTGGCTTTGTGGACGTTTTTCATACTAACCCAGGTGCACTAGGTAGTGAAAAGTCGCAAGCAACAGTTGACATCTGGTTTAATTGTGAACAGAAATACCAACCCGGGTGTGAACTTGATGATGACCCAGGTACTTGAAATATTGATGCAATATTTTTTTGTTTTCAATATGTTATATGCAATATTTAACTCAATTCAATTTCAATATGCAATATTTCACTTAAATGTAAAAGTTTCGTTATGGAATAGTTATTTTATTGAGATTTTTTCATAGCTGTTTCAGGAATCTTGTTAAGCTTATGTTTAGGTTTCATATATACCTATCTAGTATATTCGTTTTAATGAAGGTCACTGAAAGATTGATTAATTATATTTTATGTTTAAATGATTAATTATATTTTATGTTTAAATAAAGTCATGTTCCAATTCTTTTTGAAAAGTAAATAGAATATTCACTATTGTTTAATGCGTTCTTCTTCAGATTTGTGCAGCCATGACCGGTCCTGGAAATATTATAGTGAAGGTGTCGAAAACCCAAACTCCTTCCAAGCGGTATCGGCAAACAGTTGCCTTGATTGGTTACATAAAAATGACGGTGGACAAGTAATCTATATAGGTGGCAACAGTACCCTGTAAGTTTTTTATACTATACTAGACTTAATCACATTTTTTAACTATCAACATATTGGTAATACAAACATACGTTTTATAGAATATTATAAATATATGTACCCATATTAGTAATGATAGACTTTTTCATGTTTGCAAAGAGTGGAATGAAAAAATAGAAACTTAAAAGTTGTTAATGCTGTTTCAGGAGCTACAGTGGTGATTTTTACTTAAGTACCAATTCCAAGTCTCCTTACAGTAAAGGGGCTGACGGTGCTTATAAAAATTCTTTACCTTCACAATAAGAATGTTACAATTCAATCTAAAATTTGTAATATTTTGAAAAATTGGAGTTTTACCTTGGTATATTTCCTTGATTATTTTTAAAAATTACCAACGTATAATAAAAAAATTATATGGCTGTCTTCAATATGGAATTATAGAATTTAATTGAAAAATTACAAAACTATGATGCATGTCCTTTTTTTGTTTAACATCTCTATATTTTTATGCAACAATTATATTTACAAAAAAATTAACATTGGGAACATGAATATTTTTTGGCTCTTAGTTTCTGTAACGAGGGTCTGTCTCTAGAACATTTGAAAAGGGATAATAAGTAAATAGATCAAGATAAATTAATACTGGGAAAGAAAATGGAAGAAAAGACCAATGTATCTTGGGCATTAAGAAAATTAAATGAAGTTTTAATAATATATTTTTTTCGAAATAAATATCAAGAACTCAGAAAGAAATAATGAAAGAACTTCCAGGGGTACTGTTGTGGAGACTTCACATTAATATATTTCTTACAAAAATATATTCCATGTACGTGACTAGCTCAAAAGATACGAATAATTTCTTAAATTGAGAATAAAATAACTATTTTTAATAAAACCTTCAAACATACTCAAGCCAATTTCATTGACACAGTAATCATTTAAATCAGAGAAACTCATCTACTTACGATTATATCACAATAAATATGTCTTAAAATAAATAAAGGTTAAAAGGAAAATTATAGTTTGCTTAATAATCAACTTCAGCTTCATTAAATAAAAACTTGTAAAGTATTGAGAGTTATGTGCAGTTATACCTTATTCTTAAAGCTTATTACTCAGTTAATAGTATAATTATAAATGCTCTATATTTAATGAACAAATGGTAACTGTGTTTGTTAATTGAAAGTAGCTCTTTAGGGCAATACTTTCCAGGAGACAATTGTAACGTGATCATGTTTTAAAAATTAAAATAAAAATTACCAAAAGACATATATATTTATATCATTTTAAGTTATATGTAGTTATAATGATTCTGCTTTAATATTAAAGAATACAAAATCATTAGTCAACAGTCATACCGCACGAAATATAGTGGAGCAAAAATAATTAAATTTATCGCAGTCGGTAGGATTCGAACCTACGCTCCCAGAGGGAATCTGATTTCTAGTCAGACGCCTTAACCGCTCGGCCACGACTGCTGTGAAGTCGTATGAATAAATTAAACACATAACGCCTTCTTTCTTTTACTTTCACATCGTCTTGAATCAGTTTCGTAATCACAGATGGTAAACCAGTTTTCTGAATGCTCCGTATAGTCCAAGAGCCCGGGGCCCCCAGACGTTACTTATTTTCTGAGTAACAAAAAGTATCGTACAGAGTAGAGTTAGGGTATACGTTGAAGGTACGCATACCTGCTAACTTGGGCCGACGGCCAATTCACAGGTACCAGGTGCTAGAGGTACATAAAAATATTGGTCACTTTTCTTAAATTCTGAGAGCTGATTTTTATATATATTTTAAAAAATTGAATTAAAATTTAAAATTAATAGTGCCAGAACGTTTTCGTCGGCGGTAACTTACGCCAGACGCTTTAAAGTTTGGAAAAAAATAACGTAAGTTTACTCTGAGTCTTGATTTTTATATATGATAATTTAGAAACTATTTTAATTTTTATGTTTTCGCGGTTTTATATCATAGGCCTGTTGAATCTATATTTTAGTTCAGTCTTGTAATTTTTTTAAATAATAATCAAACCATATTTTAGTGCCCAATTACAAATTATAAATTTCAGTATGATAAAAATTATTAAGTTATGAGTGGGAAGGTTCGTACGAAAAGTAACAAAAAAATAATTTTGTTACTAGCATTTTATCCTGTAAAAAATATTTATTTGTATTTTTCTACAAAACGTAGAGAAATATGTAGAGCAAATATTATAAAAAAAAATATTTAAGATGAATTACTTTCTTTATTAATAATTAAATTTTAGTTTTTAATATTCGTCATCGTCATCATTGGTATTTGAGAACTCGTCATCCAGCCAATCTTTGTATTGAGTATCTAAGTCATCATCATCATTTATATCAGTATTACTTGTTTCTGTCCCTGTAAAATCAAATAAAATATCATAATTATAAGTAAAATAGCTACACATTTATAAAAGAAATTTAAAAAAATCTAAGTTTTTGTCAAGCGATTCACTGACGGTAATTGGTCTCCATCGAACCAATTAAATTGATATCGGTTGTCTTCTAGCTTCCATCCGTTATTCTCTGGTCTGAAAATACCAAGCACCTTCATATCAGCAATTACTTCATATATCTGCAGTAATTCCAGAGACTAGCGATGTAATTTGCTCTCCGGAACTGCTGTCGAAGTTCAGTCTTACGCGGTGGTAAGTTGCTCGCATCAAAGTTTTTAATATTTTTCCGGATAAACTCTTCATTTACATGAGAAGCAGTATAGGTGATGATAAACTATTGAAGTCTTGCAGCAGCTACATCAATGACTCCGGCCACGTTATAAACATTGCAAATAAAGTTTTGGATGGTATTGAAGGTTTCTTCCTCAAGTTCACTATTACTACTGAATAACTCCAGTTCGCTAAATCTGGAAATTGCTTTTTGGTACTCTTCCTTTTTTCTAAGAATACTGAATGGCCTTTGTTTAACTTTATTAAAAAAAGCAGGATTGTAATCACAGCCAGTGATCGCATGAAAGCCTGGTAAACTTTGAGATAAAGACGGTTCTTATTCCTCGTAAATAATGATCTTATGCATACTCATGGCAAGTTTTAAATATGTGTGGGAGATATTTGGCCCCTAGAATTTTTCTGGCTGCATAGAAATAGTGTTAAAATAGTTTCTAAATTATCATATATAAAAATCAAGACTCAGACTTAGAGTAAACTTACGTTATTTTTTTCCAAACTTTAAAGCGTCTGGCGTAAGTTACCGCCGACGAAAACGTTCTGGCACTATTAATTTTAAATTTTAATTCAATTTTTTTAAATATATATAAAAATCAGCTCTCAGAATTTAAGAAAAGTGACCAATATTTTTATGTACCTCTAGCACCTGGTACCTGTGAATTGGCCGTCGGCCCAAGTTAGCAGGTATGCGTATCTTCAACGTATACCCTAACTCTACTCTGTACGATACTTTTTGTTACTCAGAAAATAAGTAACGTCTGGGGGCCCCGGGCTCTTACTCTAGTAATTTGATTGACAATATTGCTTATAAAATATTTTTATGTAACATAAATTTCGACGAAGTCTTAAAATCTCTTTATATCTTAAAACGAAACCCTTTTCTTTCACCTATTTATTTTCACCTTAGTTTCTTGCCACCCATATATATATATATATATATATATATTTTATTTGACCCATTTTTTATAAAACCCATTTTGATAATTAAAAGATATTACTTATGTTGTTATTATGTGTAACGGTAAACAGAAGTAAATGATTACTGTCCTATGTCGTCTGGTTATTAATTTCCTTAAATTACAGGATATGAAAAGAGTGTTTTAACTTTGATTTGTTAGAAAAGTTAACAAGGTTGTAAATTGTCATAAAAAGGTTAAAAACTTTTTATGTCATAAACGTCATGTGTTTGTTCATGATGTGTAATTCTTTTATTTTTTGTATGGGATTAGCAAAAAAGTAAGACTTAGCTGAAAACTTTATAGTCAGAGTCGATAATTTATTTTTCCTTCAGTATTTTAGAAAGAATTATTTAGGATGCATTTCACAACCATCAGAGGTTCCAAGAAAACTAAGAAACCTCATATTAAAACTTCTTCCATATTAAAACTTATAACCTATACTTCAAACTATGTACATGACTGCAACGATATTCGGATAGCAATGCTATTCCATTACTTTTGTTGTATCATCAATATTCTGGCATTACCAGTACCAGTTGTTCGTTTCGCTGAGTCAGCAACATAACTCGTAATATGATATTTTAACTATACAACGATGTTTCCCGGCGATGTCCATTTAAATTTTAATATGCTGAGCGTACGGAACAAAAGTTACTTTTTAGACGCCACACTTCTATGAAATCATGTAAATCATTAAGTTATTGAACAATCATTTGTTTCGGCTGATATTTTTCTTTTCAATAAATATTTGTCGTATATATATTTTTCAATATATGTTTATACCTATACTTGCATATCTTGCTTTCATAGCTTCGATATTAGCTTATTAATAATATTTTATAAATTAAACACGCTTGACTCGATAACTACAAAATATTAGTAAACATTGTGCCTTAATATGTGTACAACGTTTATTATTATGTATTCATAAATCAGTGTTCTAATTCTATAACAATTCAATCGTTGTATGAACAATTGTTACGGAGTACAAAACGTCATCAAGATAGTTGTATCTATATTTCAATAAAAACTAAGAGACACGCACATGTCACGCCCACAGACATTACGACAGGTTGGTAAATATAAAATTTGATTCTTATTAAGTAGGTATCTTGAAATGTGTATGTTTTGTTTGATCAAGTGCATTGAATAGAATTTAAGTCATTTTATTTATTTATACTTTTGATTCCTTTAAAATCTTTAGTATGTCAGAGAGGATAATATTTGTTTCGTATACATTATATGAAACTTTAGCAATACAGATTATTACGGTTTTTTATTCATATACTCGTAGTATACCTTTTATAAAACTTTAAAATCTTGACTTCCGACTTTATATTTTTAATTTTTTTGTCGATTAATATTATGTTCATATGCAAAATAAGGGTATTTACAGATGCCGGTCTTTTAAATTTAAAATTTGTGATTTATAGGAATACCCTTGAGAGGAAAATTATACATATTGTGACTAAAATTAATGGTTATGTTATCGATTAAAGATAAGGTGACGATATCACTTTGAAATAATATTCAAAGATTCTTCTAATGTAAATATATGTTTGGACTTTCATATTACAACAGTCTATTGGTACTGTCACGTTAATATACAATGTATATTACTTTTATGAACGTACTCTATTTCAGGCTTGCGTCCTCACCGGGCCCTTGCGTTATCCAGTATGTCTGATGGCTTCATCTTTGGTCAAATGTCAGGAATGATTAACGTCCTAAGAGAAGATGACAGTCCAATATTCTTGTCGGAAGATGATGTATCTTGGATAGGTAAATATTATTTTTTATTTATTATATCTGTGAATTGATCTCTGGAGACGTTTTATTCACAACTCCATTATTATTAATTTTATCACTGCTATAGACTCTCGCTTTTAATAATCAACGTATTTTGTGTCTTAATTACATATCTGATGAAATCTGTTTCAATTGCAGCGTCTATAATGAATGTAACTTGCATTGTGGGATTCGCCATTGTTGGAATTATCACTGAGATTTATGGCCGCAAGGTTACTTTGACAATTGTATCTTTCCCGGTATTGTTGTGTTGGGCGATGCTGTATTTTGCTAAGGAGAAGTATACAATATTAGCATCCAGAATAATAGTTGGAATAGCTTTTGGAGGCGTTCTTCCTTTAATCTATATGAACATCGGCGAATATGTTGCACCAAATCGAAGAGCTTTGTATGTAAATTTGATAGCATGTGGAATGGGATACGTTGGAACAATGCTCGGCCACATTCTAAGCATATTTCTGGATTGGAGGAACGTTGCACTAATAGGAATGATTCCAACAGGATTATCTACAATAATACCTCTCTTTTGGGTGGAAAGTCCGTTTTGGCTTGCAAATTCTGGACGATATGAGGAATGTGAAAACGCATTTAAAGCATTGCATGGATCTAATGAAATCTCAAATAAAGAACTTAAACAGCTTATAATCAAATCAAAAACAACGTAGTGAGCGATGCGCTAAAAATAATAATTCTCTGGTATATCTGGCAAAATTGCTCGCTGTCTTTTACAAAACAGCATATTTTTACAGACTTCTTTCTCTTATTATTATCATTGCTACCTACCGAGTAGTTGCGGGACGAATACTCTTAAGTACTTTAGCAATTTCCATGATACAAGATATAACGGACAGCAAAAATATATTTCTATATACTTTGTTAGTAGATGGTCTTGCTTTGTCCGGCACAGTAATATTCTGTTTCTTCTTGAAAAATTTTAATATAAGACCTCTTTTATTAATATCAGGTGTAGTAGCGAACTGTATACAGATTGCTTTCTGTACAACTTTACTTTTATATTCGAAAACTGATCAAACCACTATGTCGTGGCTAAAAATTGTTTTATTAGCTTTATATTTTGTTACAGTAAGTTGTGGACCTTATTCTGTACTAGAAACACTTTTGACGGAAATATTTCCTCTAGAAACTAAAGCGGTTACTGTATTTATATCAGGTGCCATAACAGGAGTGTTGCAATTTTTAGACATAAAGTTAGCTGCCAAAATGTTTTCTATTATAGGATACCATGGAGTATTTTTCTGTCATTCTGTTCTGGCTTTTGTATGTATTATGTACATGTACATTTATCTGCCAGAAACAAAAGGAAGGACTTTGAGAGAAATAGAGCTTTATTTTAAATATAATAAATTCCAAAGCGTACATAGTGTGAATGGAACCGAACAAAATAGTGATCTTTTGAACGACAATACTCGAATATAAATAAATATTAAAAGTCATTATTCTTAGGAGAAATTATGATTTAAAATGTAGAAAACCGTTTATTTTTTTTTACCAGCAGTGTTTTAAAAATTTTATTCACCGTAGTTTAGGGCACAATTTTAAAACACAATTTTTCGTAAGTAAAAGATTGTAGAAGTTTACAAACACATATGATAGGAAATATTCTTTATAAATATTTCGTGAACCATTTAGACTACCTGTAATAATTAAGTTTTATAAAATGGAAGTGATAAATGATATTTAATTAAAATATATCATTTCTTTCTAAAGCGTTCTTTCATAACAAAGTATTCAAAAGTATTCTTTGATCATGACAAAATTTTTCACAAATTTCATATGAATAAAAGAAGATTTTTTGGGTTACGTTTAAGAATAATTACATAGGACAACATTTTGTATTTAAACCCACATTTCAATATTTTCAGTACTCCATTCTTGTTAAGTAATATTGTTTAAGAAACAATTTGTAGCATAAAATGTAGTATTCTCATAGCTAAAAAGAAACAAATTTCAAGTAATGAAATACTACAAACTTTTTTTTGGCAGTTGATCATATTATTCTTCCGAGTCATATGTTCTTTCTTAGAGTATTTAGACGCCATTGACAGACGGTGAAAGAAAACATCGTGAGGTAACCTTAACTTATAATTTCAAATTATAACTTTGAATTCGTCAACCCGTCTTGAGCAAGCGTAGTGATTATTGTTCAAACCTTCTCCGTGTGAGAAGAGGCCTTTACTCAGCAGTAGGCTCTGGTAGACTGATGATGATGATGATGATATATATTATATAAATTTATAAAAAAAATATATATTCATAGAAATCGAAGGAGGAAATTATTAGGAAGGAACTTAGATATAATCATTGCATGCGAGGCTTTATAAGAAAGTACCTATTATTGTATTGATGATATTGTTTTTATATTTTTTTAACTTACTAACATAATATACAGACTTTGAAAACAGTTAAGACCAAGTTTCAGCGATCCTCATATTCATTATAAACTCACTCACATAAATACTTACTGCATTTATTTATCAAACTATTTAAACATATTTGAATGTAAATTGTTGCAAGTCGTTCATTTTAGCGATAAAATGATATAATTGAAAAAGAAACTAATTATGCATTTAACGCAACATGAATTAAAAAACCGTTCTACCATTACTGTTTCAAACTTTTAATGAAAATGTTATATCAACCGACACTGCAACAGGTTTGTAAAAATATATTTTATGAATTATATAAAAAATATATAAGTACTTTTTTAATGATTTTTAGAGTTTAAGTGAAAAGTATATTTACATTAGTCATAAATGTAGTAATTTACTAAGGTAAAAAATTATATACATGATCTACATCTCCTGTGTGTATAGGCTATGTTCAGGTGAGTGGTGTAATTACGAGTATGTTAAGTTAATTCTGATTCCAGAACATGTTTCTAGAGAACAAATTGATACTGAAGTCTATTTTAGTAGATTAAGGAACAAATAAAAGTAGAAAGAAATAGAACCTTTATATAAAATTTGCGTGTTATCTGTGAATAACGTGTTTTCTTTATTAATTTACGAAATTAAAAGTTTAGCCCATTATTATTTCTATACCTACCCCAGCTTATACATAATTCATTAATTCAAAAAATCACAATAAATATGTCTTAAAATAAATAAAGCTTAAAAAGGGAAACTATAGTTTGCTTAATTATCAACTTCAGCTTCATTAAATTAAAACTTGTAAAGTATTGAGAGTTAGATGCAGTTATACCTTATTCTTAATAAGTTCATTACTCAATTAATAATATAATTATAAATGCTCTATATTTAATGAACAAATGGTAACTGTGTTTGTTAATTGAAAGTAGCTCTTTAAGGCAATACTTTCCCTCGAGACCCTTATAACGTGATCATGTTTTAAAAATTAAAATAAAAATTACCAAAAGACATATATGTATATTTATATCATTTTAAGTTATAGTTATAATGATTCTGCTTTAATATTAAAGAATACAAAATCAATAGTCAACAGCAGTGGCGGCTGGTGGGTTATCGAACTGGTGGTTCACTTTACTAAAATATTGACAAAAACAACAATTGACATAAAATATGTTTATTTTGTGTACATTAATTCATAACTATATCCAACTCTGATACAAAGTCTATTAATCCACGAAACACTCCAGCATTACTGGACTCAATAGTTTCATCGTGACCTCGCAAAGCTAACTCAAATGCACCACAAAACTTGACACAATCGATAAGACGTGATAAAATGTATCTGTTTTTATCAACTTGTTTATTATACTTTTGGATATTACTTCTATACACAGAATCTAGCTGATTACGAATATCGACTGTGCCTAACACAGACAAACTCATTACATTTTGTAGGTGTACTTGTGAAGAATCGTGTTTTTTTTATTTTTTCACTTAAATGCGTCAAATCCTTGATTCCAGTTTCTGTCCAAATCGATTCTCCGCCAAAAATAATGCAAGGAAAACAAAAGAATGCATTAAGACGCTCACATCCACACAACCATTTCTTTCTATTATACATTTCACTTTTAAAACTTCGTATAAATGCTTTATTTTTCGATTTACACTCTTGTTTTAAATTTAAAAAGGCCCGGCCAATTTTATGTTCACTTTACTTTGAAAAATTTTGTTATTTTCTTTAATATAATCAATATTTATACTCATTTTCAACTAATAAAAAACAGTACAGAATAAAAGTTCTATTATAGAAACGAAATAAAAACTAAAACGAATTACGGAAATAATTATAAACAATAACGAATTAACGCATCACACATACAGTGAAAGTTGAAACAATACCAATAACGATTAACGAAATGTCAATCATAGCACCCATCCTTTCAATACGTCATACATCGGGTGCTCTCGGTAACCTTCGGCCGCTTCGTGCGGCGCTCGAGAACCGACTCGTTACTCGGTACATTTCTATGAACTATCTTTTGTCTCACGCGCCAGGCGTATTGATGCGTGTCTCATACAAGATGTATTAGCAGTCCTCGTGCACTCGCCGGAGCGCACGATATGAGTTTAGTAAAGCTCTCAAACTTTTTGACCATAATTGGAAATTAAATTTTTTATACCTTTTTGTATGTTTAAAAAATAAATATTAAAATGGTAATTTAAAAATTAAGATGACATAATATTTTGTAATTTTTAAATATTTTGAATTGGTGGTTCAGCGCACGGGCGCACTTAAGGTACAGCCGCCACTGGTCAACAGTCATACCGCACGAAATATAGTGGAGCAAAAACAATTTAATTCATCGCAGTCGGTAGGATTCGAACCTACGCTCCCAGAGGGAATCTGATTTCTAGTCAGACGCCTTAACCGCTCGGCCACGACTGCTGTGAATACATACGAATAAATTAAACACATAGCGCCTTCTTTCAAAACTTTTTTACTTTCACATCGCATTGGATGAGTTTCGTGATCACAGACGGTAAACCAGTTTTCTGAATGCTCCGTAATTCGATTGACAATATTGCTTATAAAATAATTTAATGTAACATAAATTTCGACGAAGTCTTAAAATCTGTTTAGGTATATTTCAAATCGAAACCCTTTTCTTTCACCTATTTATTTTCACCTTAGTTTCTTGCCACCCATTTTTATATATATATTTTTATTTGACCCATTTTTTATAAAACCCATTTTGATAATTAAAAGATATTACTTATATTGTTATTATGTGTAACGGTAAAAAGAAGTAAATGATTACTGTCCTATGTCGTCTGGTATTTAAGTTCCTTAAATTACAGGATATGAAAAGAGTGTTATAACTTTGATTTGTTAGAAAAGTTAACAAGGTTGTAAATTATCATAAAAAGGTTAAAAACTTTTTATGTCATAAAGTCATGTGTTTGTTCATGATGTGTATTTTATAATTCTTTTATTTTTTGTATGGGATTAGCAAAAAAGTAAGACTTAGCTGAAAACTTTATAGTCAGAGTCGATAATTTATTTTTCCTTCAGTATTTTAGAAAGAATTATATAGGATGCGTTTCACAACCATCAGAGGTTCCAGAAAAACTAAGAAACCTCATATTTAAACTTATAACCTATACTTCAAACTATGTACATGACTGCAACGATATTCGGATAGCAATGCTATTCCATTACTTTTGTTGTATCATCAATATTCTGACATTACCAGGGCCAGTCGTTCGTTTCGCTGAGTCAGCAACATAACTCGTAATATGATATTTTAACCATACAACGATGTTTCCCGGCGATGTCCATTTAAATTTTAATATGCTGCGCGTACGGAACAAAAGTTACTTTTTAGACGCTACACTTCTATGAAATCATGTAAATCATTAAGTTATTGAACAATCATTTGTTTCGGCTGATTTTTTTTTTCAATAAATATTTGTAGTATATATTTTTCAATATATGTTTATACCTCTACTTGCATATCTTGCTTTCATAGCTTCGATATTAGCTTATTAATAATATTTTATAAATTAAACACGCTTGACCAGATTTACACAATAATTCAGTAAAAAAATATGCCTTAATATGTGTTCAACGTTTATTATTGTTTATTATGTGTTCACAAACGATTGTTCTAATTCCATAACAATTCAATCGTTGTATGAACAATTGTTACTGAGTAAAAAACGTCATCAAGCTAGTTGTACCTATATTACAATAAAAACTGAGAGACATCTCTTTCTACATACAACATGTCATGCCCACAGACATTACGACAGGTTGGTAAACATAAAATTTTAGATGTGTATGTTTTGTTTGATCAAGTTTCTTGAATAGATTTTAAGTAATTTTTTTTTTGTTTATTTATACTTTTGATTCCTTTAATACTTCTACTATGTCAGAGAGGGTAATAATTGTTTCGTATAAATTATATGTTATTTTAGCAATATAGATCATTACGGTTTTTTATTTATATAGTAATGCTTTTATAAAACTTTTTAATCTTGACCTCCGGACTCTATATTTGTAATTTTTTGTCGTTTATCACCCATGTTCATATTCAAAATAAGGGCAGTTACAGATACCGGTCTTGTTTATTTAAAACTAGTAAACCTGGCGAACTCCGTTTCGCCACCAGAAGGCTTTTATATAACATTTCGTTTGGTGATTAAAAGATGAAGATAATTTTTATTTCATTTCACAACAGTAATGAATTCATTTCGATTACAAAAATGAAGTGTTATTTAGTTGAACTTCTCTAAGTAAATGAAAGTGAATCCAAAGTAGATACCGAATCGAATTATCCGTTTCATTGAAGTGGTCCTTTGTAAACCACTTTTTTTGTTTTTTGGTCTAACTTTAACACAAATAAAGCGGATGGTTTCCAAATTCGTGAACACGCAAAATATAACGCCCATGTGAAAAACAATGATTTTCTAAATTTATCCCGCAAATACTAAATGGTTTTAAGAGTTCAAACTACAAATACAATACCCGTTTGTCACATGAAATTAACTGAGCAAAGAACAATGAGTAGCTGTCAAACAATGTATCATGCGACGGCACCAGCTACTTAAACTATTGATTTGTAGTACATGTTATGTATGTATAATGGCGCTGTATGTGAAAAAAGATTTTCCCGCTTTTCTGTTGAAATTTTTTGTTATAAACCTCACGGAGCCCGAGACCTTTCCAAGTTACAGCGTCAGGATGGAAAACCGGACTTATTTTTATATAGTAGATCTCTTACAAATATCTAATTGTCATAAAATACGTCATTACATATCTGTCATTATACGTCGATTGCATAGCTGACAAATGTGTTTCGTTATTCCACGGTTATAGTGACTGACGTTTCATGTCAAGTTCCACGGGAATGCTGTCGAACGGGATAAAAAGTATCCTATTGCAATTTCCTGGCTCTAAACTACCTCCCTGCCAATTTTCAGCCAAATCGGTTCAGCCGTTCTTGAGTTATAAGTGGGGTAACTAACACGACTTTCTTTTATATATATAGATTTGTTATTTACATCCTAATTTCTAACATATCCACGAGAATAAATTTATACACACTATGACTAAAATTAATGGTTATACTGACGATCAAAGACGAGGTGACGATAACAATTTGAAATGATATGTCTTCTAATATAAATACATATGTGTATATATATTTGGACTGTAATATTACAACAGCCTATTGGTACTGTCACTTAACGTACTATGTAATATTGCTTTTATGAACTTACTCTATTTCAGGCATTAGTCCTCACCGGGCTTGCGTTATCCAGTATGTCTGATGGCTTCATCTTTGGTCAAATGTCAGGTATGATTAACGTCCTAAGAGAAGATGACAGTCCAATATTCTTGTCGGAAGACGATGTATCTTGGATAGGTAAATATTATTTTTTATTTATTATCTTTGTGAATGTATCTCTGGAGACGTTTTATTCACAACACCATTATTAATTTTATCACTGCTATAGACTCTCGCTTTTAATAATTAACCCATTTTGTGTCTAAATTATATATCTGATGAAATCTGTTTAAATTACAGCGTCTACAATGAATGTAACTTGCATTGTGGGATTCGCCATTGTTGGAATTATAACTGAGATGTATGGCCGCAAGATTACTTTGACAATTGTATCTTTCCCAGTATTGTTGTGTTGGGCGATGCTGTATTTTGCTAAGGAGAAGTATACAATATTAGCATCCAGAATAATAGTTGGAATAGCTTTTTAGGCGTTCTTCCTTTAATCTATATGAACATCGGCGAATATGTTGCACCAAACCGAAGAGCGTTGTATGTAAATTTGATAGCATGTTGAATGGGATACGTTGGGACAATGCTCGGCCACATTCTCAGCATATTTCTGGATTGGAGGAACGTTGCACTAATAGGAATCATTCCAACAGGATTATCTACAATAATACCTCTCTTTTGGGTGGAAGGTCCGTTTTGGCTTGCAAATTCTGGACGATATGAGGAATGTGAAAACGCATTTAAAGCATTGCATGGATCTAATGACATCTCAAATAAAGAACTTAAACAGCTTATAATCAAATCAAAACAACGTAGTGAGCGAAGCGCTAAAAATAATAATTCTCTGGTATATCTGGCAAAATTGCTCGCTGTCTTTTACAAAACAACATATTTTTACAGACTTCTTTCTCTTATTATTATCATTGCTACCTACCGAGTAGTTGCGGGACGAATACTCTTAAGTACTTTGGCAATTTCCATGATACAAGATATAACGGACAGCAAAAATATATTTCTATATACTTTGTTAGTAGATGGTCTTGCCTTGTCTGGCACAGTAATATTCTGTTTCTTCTTGAGAAATTTTAATATAAGACCTCTTTTATTAATATCAGGTGTAGTAGCGAACTGTATACAGATTGCTTTCTGTACAACTTTACTTTTACATTCGAAAACTGATCAAACCACTATGTCGTGGCTAAAAATTGTATTATTAGCTTTATATTTTGTTACAGTAAGTTGTGGACCTTATTCTGTACTAGAAACACTTTTGACGGAAATATTTCCTCTAGAAACTAAAGCGGTTTCTGTATTTATATCAGGTGCCATAACAGGAGTGTTGCAATTTTTAGACATAAAGTTAGCTGCCAAAATGTTTTCTATTATAGGATACCATGGAGTATTTTTCTGTCATTCTGTTCTGGCTTTTGTATGTATTATGTACATGTACATTTATCTGCCAGAAACAAAAGGAAGGACTTTGAGAGAAATAGAGCTTTATTTTAAATATAATAAGTTCCAAAGCGTACATATTGTGAATGGAACCGAACAAAATAGTGATCTTTTGAACGACAATACTCGAATGTAAATAAACACTAAAAGTCATTATATTTTAGGTTATTGTTTCCCAGCAGTGTAATCATTATCATTTAATCATTTTACTCGCCGCGGTTTTGGAGCACAATTTTAAAACACATTTTTTCGTATGTAAAAGATTGTAGGAGACTACAAACACATATTAAAGGAAATATTCTCTATAATTATTTTGTGAACCATTTAGACTACCTGTAGTAATTAAGTTTCACAATAGAACTAATAAATGTTATTTAATTAAAATATTAAAATATTTCATTTCTCTCTATAACGTCTTTTCATAAAAAAGTATTCTAAAATCTCCTTTAATTACGAGAGAGTTTTTCACAAATATCATATGAATAAAAATAGATTTTTTGCTCTTACGTTACGTCTAACAAAAACTACATAGGATAATATTTTGTTTTTAAACCCACCATTTCGATATTCATATATTTATACTCCATTCTTGTTAAGTAATATCACTTTAAATAACAAGTTTGTAGACCAAAATTCAATATTCTCTTTGATTTCTTGCTTAAGTTGAATAAAACCATCTTGAGCAAACTTGGACTCATAAATTCACAATTATAAGTTTTTAAATCGCCAACCCGTCTTGAGCAAGCGTGGTGATTAATGCTCAAATTTCCCGCATGTGAGAAGAGGGCTTTACTCAGCAGTGGGATCTGATAGGCATAGGCTGATGATGATGACATATATATATATGTAAATCATATTCATACAAAGACGAACGAGGAAATTATTAGGAAGAAGCTCATGATTATTGTAAACAAGGCTTTAACTGAAAGTATTGTTGAAGTGGTGATATTGTTATTACAATTTTTTTACTTACTAACATAATATACAAATTTTAAAAACAGTTAAGACTCCTGACTTTTTGCCGTCACTTAATTTTTAGCGATCCTCATTTTCATTATAAACACACTCACTTAAATGCTTACTGCATTTATTTATCAAACCATTTAAACATATTTGAATTTAAATTGTTGCAAATCATTCATTTTAGCGATAAAATGAAATAATTGAAAAGGAAACTAATTATGCATTTAACGCAACATGAATTAAAAAACCGTTCTATCATTACTGTTTCAAACTTTTAATGAAAATGTTATATCAACCGACACTGCAACAGGTTTGTAAAAATATATTTTATGAATTATATAAAAAATATATAAGTACTTTTTTATGATTTTTTAAATTTAAGTGAAAAATATATTTACTTTTCCTTTAGTCATAAATATAGTAATTTACTAAGGTAAAAAATTATATACATGATCTACATCTCCTGTGTGTATAGGCTATGTTCAGGTAGGTGGTGTAATTACGAGTATGTTAAGTTAATTCTGATTCCAGAACATGTTTCTAGAGAACAAATTGATACTGAAGTCTATTTTAGTAGATTAAGGAACGAATAAAAGTAGAAAGAAATAGAACCTTTATATAAAATTTGCGTGTAATCTTTGAATTACGTGTTTTCTTTATTAATTTACGAAATTAAAAGTTTAGCCCATTATTATTTCTATACCTACCCCAGTTTAAACATAATTCATTAATTCAAAAAAATCCTTGAAATAGATTTGCATTGCCTCTATTAGAAAGTGTTTTTAAAGGTAAACATTTTCAGAACTCACTCATCTCCGATCTCTGTTCTGAAATTCGAATCCAAAAAAAATGTTTAAGTAATAACCTTAAATAATTTCCAGGCATTAGTCGTCACGGGACTAGCTTTAGCAAGTTTGTCTGAAGGCTACATATTCGGTCAGATGTCGGGTATGATCAATATGCTCCGAGCAGATGATAGTCCCATAACCTTGTCAGAAAATGAGGTCTCCTGGATTGGTAATTTTTTTTTAATGTATACACTATAATTAAAGCTTCCAGATACTGAAATCAAATTTTGTAAAGTAACAAACTTAGTCATTAGCTGCAGTATGTGAGCGATGATTCGGGGAGACGGGGAGGAACCGATTGATTTTTTTATGTTATGATACACACACAAATTTGTTTTCGAGTATTTTTATCTGGTTTTATAGCCTTTTCATCAAATACGAAAAATATGTACGATATAAATAAGTTTTTGTCATAACATCTTACTATATAAATTCTGCGTTACGAACAAGTTGGGTCGAATTATTCAATCATCATAAGTTATCATCATGAACATAAATTTACTTCACCCTTCTCGCCGTTCTCAGAATTATTGACAGAACTAACATAAATAAACATTATCCACTAAAATAATTCTTTAAATTCACAGTTAAGCCAAATTTTCTTTAGATCAATAATGCTTTCTTTCTGAAATTCGTCAAAAACTGAAAATCTAGTAATCGTAACGTTTTGCTTTAAAATTGTCAAAGGTAAAGAAATTTGCTCTGCTACTCTAATTGGAACATCATGGTTCAGAAAATATTTCATAATCATTTCAATTATGATTAATATTTTAACATAATTTATATTAATATTAACAATTTCGAAAATTTTTTTTACAGCCTCCATCATCAATGTAACGTGTATTATTGGATTTGCCATAGTAATAGTTATAACTGAGCTATATGGACGGAAGATAACTCTAACTATTGTATCAGCTCCAGTACTGATATGTTGGTTAATGCTTTATTTTGCCAAAGATAAGTATACTATACTAGCATCAAGGATTATAGTTGGAATAGCTTTTGGAAGTGTCCTACCACTAATTTATATGAATGTTAGTGAATACGTTGGACCAAACCAAAGAATTATATTAGTTAATTTCATAACATGTGGAATGGGGTGCATTGGAACAATGCTTGGTCATATCCTCAGTATATTTCTAGATTGGAGGAACGTTGCACTAATAGGAATCATTCCAACAGGATTATCTACAATAATACCTCTCTTTTGGGTGGAAAGTCCTTTTTGGCTGGCAAATTCAGGAAGATACGAAGATTGTGAAAGAGCATTCAAAGCATTGCATAGATTAAATGAAACATCTACTGCAGAATTAAAACAACTTATAAGCAATTCGAGACAAAAAATTGGAAAAAATAATAAAAACGCAAAAGTTCTTTTCGAATTAGCGAAATCATTTATAGTTTTTTGTAGAAGCAGATATTTCTTCAAGTTTTTCATGATAATTGTCGTAATAAGTACTTATCGAGTGGTTGCTGGACGGATTCTATTGAGCACTTTGGCCAATGTCATGATTCAAGATCTTACTGGAAGCAAAAACATATTTTCATTCACTTTACTAGTTGACGGATTTGCTTTGGCTGGGACAACATTATTCTGTTTTTTCATTAGCAATGCAAAGTTAAGGCCTTTATTATTAATATGTGGTACGATAGCGAACTGCATACAGATTGCTTTCTCTACACTTTTGTATTGTTTTCCGAAATCCAGTCAACCTTTTATGACATGGCTTCAAATGATATTACTGGCTTTGTATTTTATAACTGTTACTGGTGGACCATATAGCGTATTAGAGACACTTTTATCAGAAATACATCCGCTAAAAACGAAGGCAATCACATTATTTATGGCGGCCACTATCGGCGGCATTTTGCAGTTCTTAGATATAAAAATAGCTTATGTATTTCTCCCAGTTATAGGTTACCAGGGAGTATTTTTAGTTCATTCAGCTATTGTTTTCTTATGTCTTTTATATATGCACTTTTATTTACCAGAAACAAGAGGAAAGACATTGCAGGAAATAGAATTGTTTTTCGAATACAATAAGTTTCATAGCGTCAATGTTTTAAATGAACCAGTACGAAAAAGAGATATCGAGATGGAAAATATTGTATTATTGAAGAAATAAATATAATCTACATATATTTAGTTTGAGTTTATAATGTTAATATTATTTTTAATAATAATTAATAAGTATTTTAAATATAATGGTTTTTACTATAATTTAATGAGACAAACTTAAGTTCATAATATGGCAAATGAGTTTAAAATATAATAAAACAAATTTCATTAGTGTGTCACAAATTTTATAACTGCTTTTATTCTGTTGAAAATACAGTTTAATTAACTTAATTGTTAATTTTTATTGTTCATGTTTTATAACTCAACAGCCTATATATATTTACATTTTTATTAGATAACTTAGAATAATATGTATTACAAATAATCAAGTTGAATTTGTGTCGGGTAGATACCATCCGTGAAAGCACTTGGGTGCGTGTGATGGTGTTGTAAACCTGACACGTCCAAGTTCCGTGAGATCTCGTGCATCTAACACGAGGAGAGCTGTGGCATTCTCGTCACTGCCCCAAAGTAAAGCACTCAATAGTACACCATCATCTTCATCCTAAAAACAGGACACAATGTTAAAATACAATACAATATTCTTTTCTGTAATGTAAGGAATAGAATTGTAAAAATTGATAAATTGACAATATCCTATATACAACCTTACATTCGTCTTGAGTCTTTTTCGTGAGAAATTTTTCAAAGAAAACTATCAGATATTTAATTTAGCATATTATTAATAGTGAAGATTTAACTATTACCTGAGCATCTGGTCGGGCAACAAATACAGGCTCGCTAGGATGAGCATCCACTTCACACCATGTCTTCACTTCACCGCTTTTTGTATCAACTTTAATTATCTGGAAATTTAATATAGGGTTTAGGCATGATAGAAGCAACACTTCTTGAAATGCCCTAATTTTAAAAATATTAATTTTATTTAAATAAAGTCTATGAATTTTGGTAGTTTTATCTTTTATGCTTGGATATGATTATATTTTTTTGGACATATACTTATTTAAATTCCATTAAAAGGTATACATAAAAAAACTAACCGTTCCACCATAAATTGAGTGCACTTGTGGACCCATTCCGTAAAAGTATCGATAAGGTCGTCCTAAAATCAAAATCAAATGTAAAAATTGACATGATAAAGGATTATAGTTATGTTTAATTTCTTTTAAAGTATATATTGTTGTTATTATCCACAAGAAATCTCACCATTGTACAATTCATAGTTTATTCTCGGTGTTTCTATCGGAATATCTGCTATAACTGACATCTCCACTCTACTGTTATTTGGGCTATTCAAAGGAATTTCGATTCTTTTCGCTTGTGATTGACACCATTTTGCATAATCAGGGTTGCTGTTGATGTTCTAGAATAAAAAAAATCTATCTGAATTAGGATTGTTGAATTACTACCTATAATAATAAGTTTTGCTAATGATTTTAACCTACCTTAATGGCCTCGACATAGAGGGCGTCAATTATTTTTGCATCTTTATAAGAACACACATCTATGATCAATTGGCTGTCTAATTCAAAACAGTTGATAATGTGCATAAAGAAAAAGGTCTCTGTAGTGTAACGAGTCTGTTCTCCAGTATGGCGGTTTATTAATACTATCTGAGTCTAGAAAAATACATACAAAATTGAGTATACTTTATATAATTTGTTATTAAAAAATGTAACGAAATATTTTTTTAAAGAAATAATACCTCGTAATCGTCATACCATAACACACTCGAAGAAAATGGCCGATTAGTTAAATAGCTTACTGCTGAATTTAAATAAGATATTGCTAGTGGTTGTTCAATGATAATAAAATAATTCTCAGTTATACCTGGAAGGTAATAAAATATGTATAATGCAACATATTTCTAGGACTAAAAGTAATTGTGCTAAAAATAAAATTACCAAAAGAATGCATGTATGATGGATGTAAGAGCCATCTTGAATCCACAGTATGAATAACTTCTACGAGATCAAACATGTCACCTGTAAAAGAATAAGATTTTTTTCATTTTTAATTTGAATCAAATTTAAAATAATATATATCTTAACAATAATGCATAGAATATCCATCGTACTGCTATCAAAGGCGTTAGTTAATTTTTGTATCGTTAATCTGATATCGTGTAATATTGAAACGCATATTCTGTTAAAAATAATTTTACCTTTTTCTGTGTAAGGAAATTTCACAATCATGTGTTTCAACAGCCCCTTAACCACGCCAAGGGCTATATTGTAAACGTCTCCTAAAAATGTGTAATAATTTGTGAATATTATATCCTAATATCAAATATATAAAAGTATTTTTTTTCATATATTGATTAATAAAATTTACCATTTTTCATAACATGTGGGTGCGCTGTGTGGCAAACGATTAATGAATTTAAAAGACTTTTCTTTTCTAACGTATCGAGAGATTCAGGGTCTATCCTGAAAAAATACAATACATTCATCGTATGAAAGGAATTTTAGTTTTGTTTTGTTTGGAAATCTAAAATAGAAAATATTCATCATATCCATAGCAGTTTCTTTGAATTTTATGAATTTAACTTCTAAAATCGACTATAAAAGCCGTAAAGTCTTTCGTAGTCTTTCAAACTCAAACTCAAATAACTTTATTCAATATAGAAGCATTACACTTTCTTATTGATGGTCACTTGAGACACTACCACCGGTCCGGAAAAGAAAATACCCTGACCTGAGAAGAACCGGCGAAAGAAACTCAGCGGGTTTTTTTTTTAATATATATATTTGTCTCATATATTATATACACAATTTAATATGAGATGAAATAGCCAGGGGGCGATCGTTTAATCTTAACAGAAAGATTGTTTCTATCACCAGTATATTTAGATTATTATAGTCTTATTAATAATATTAGTTTAAGTCACTTACTTGTAAACATTAGTATATTCTGTCATAGCATACATCTGATCTCCAAAGGGGCATACAGATATTCCACAATTATCTGTGACTGCCTCTGCAGGGTTGAAAATGGTTGATATTCTATAAAAATACAATATCATCACACCACTACGAATAATAGTTAATAAATATGATTTTCAAATGCCTTATCTATTTACTATGTTCTATAACAGATGAGTAATGTAATTAAATTTGTTTACCTATCAAATATTGTGTGGCAAGGATCTGGTACTGCTTCCGTGGCAAATTCTGTGACAACAATACGATTTGCTGCTCTGTTTTTTCTTAAAGTTTTTGAATCTAAGAACCTACATTGATACGTTGCCCGACCACCCTTAATCGAAAATCTGTAAAAAAATACATTATGTATGTAACTATACCGAGATGGAATTAATTAATAACACCACATATCTTTAAAACATCTAAAACCTATTTTTCAGAAAGTTAAACAAAATATTTATTGCATTTAACTATTTACATTACCTAGTGTTTATTTATTTAAATTTATTGTAATTATTCTTTTAAATTGCAATGTTATGAAACACCAAATCAGGATTAAATAAAAAAAATAGTCACTCGATTGATTAAGAATTGTATATGACAAGTATCGAAGACTTAATTTTCGTGATAATGAAAAAACCTAATTTGTTTTTTTCCAAATACCCACTTTATAAATAGAAGAACACAAAACTAGTTTTAAACGACTAATAGTAAAAAACAAACAAAACAACTGTAAGAATTGATTATTTAGTGTTTAAGACGATTCCAAAGATTTTTTTATATTATGGCATCGTTCGCACTGGTATTCCAAAGACTATTATTTAATGTAATGCTATTGCCGGCACAAATATATTTTGTAACGTAAAACGTCGGAATGACACCTGTCTTTTTTTTAGAGTGGATTTTTTTTAACTTTGGACGAGTACCGGTAGATGTAAAAGTTAATATTCAAAATCCAGTAGCATCGAAGTAACCGGTGAATACTTATTTGAAAACCAAATGGATCCTTCACAACAAAGCTTTAATTTAATGACATCTAAGAATTTCTCTAAAGAATTTCTCTAAAGAAGAAATGAAACTTATATTTTTCGGATTACGACGCGTATTTTATTATTTAAAAAAACAACATAATCCCGACGTTTAATACTTTGTAGCAACCGTGATCACGGTCAGAATAATAAGTACGCGTAGTAATCAGATAAATATTAGTATCATTTCAAAGTTTTCATATATTACATCCATAGTACTAAAAGATATAATTTATTATGTGTGTATGTTAAACAAATAATGAAGGTATAAGCACCTGTGAAGCAGTGCTGATCCGTCAAAAACATGACCAAATTCTGAGTTGCCAATTTTGATTGCACCAGAACCATTCCTTATAAGCGTACCTTGTAGCCAAGAAGGAATGCTACCTGTATTAGATATTTGAAATTTAGGTAAAAAAATTGTTACATCATAAAATAGGTATACTGAGTAATTGTATCTAGATTATTATTAAGTTTCAAAATGATAAATATTGAAGACCTTTAAGGTTGATAGCGAAATTTATCAATATTGAAAAAGTATACCAAATATTATATTTAAATAGTTCTACAAGTAAATTAAATAGTTCTATAAAGGTCTTAATCTTTATTTAAGCCGGCAACACCACTACTTATCAATATTTATCATTAAATTAATTTTAATTCGCAAACTATTTCACCTTTTATAATTATTTTTAAAATCATAAAATGGAAATAATAATTTGACAATAGTAGTAATAAAATTGACTGAAACAAAAATATGTTTTTTCGAGACTATGATTGTTTATTATAATTAATTGAAAAAAAAACACATTTTTACCTGTAATTTTACCCTCTAAAGGGTTTTTGATTTCTTGCGTACACGTCCTCAACATTGGTGTAGTCCATGACTGGGTCGCAAAATTGTCTATTTTGGTTTTTGGCATTTTGTGTTGTCGAATAACTAATAAAAAAGTGTAACTGAAGACAAAAATTTTATTTAAACGAATTATGTTAAGAAATTTTACTCTATTTATTTTGAGGAAGAATTACATATTTTTGTATAGCAACTATAACATAAATGTATAAAATTCTGCCAGCATACCTAACCTTATATTCCACTTTCTATGTTATCTGATAAGAAACATCGATATTTTAGCACTAACAATGATATCATATTGATTTTTTCATACCTTTTCGTGGGTAGAATTAGACGATGTTTAATTCACAATTAAAAAATACTGCTTTTATTTAAACTTTTTATAATTTTGCATACAGTACAGAATTTAAAATCCTCTTTTAAGAGTAGGAAGTACTTTGTATCTTACAATTTAAAGGAACTTCTTTAATATTTTTGGCACATATTAAGTAACACTTCCGCTCTATATATACAACTGTAACATATTGAATTTCTAGTGTAGTATCGGCAGTTTTAAAATTATGATATGAGATAACAGATAATATAGGAAAGTATGAGATAACGTGGCTCGATGACTATACGTATATTAACATACATACCAAATACATTTGGCGTATTATGAGGTACAAATTAGAATATTGTTTTTAAGTATTAAATATATGTGACATATAAAATGTAACCAAATAAAAAACAGGAACATAAAGAAGTATAATTAATAGCGTAATTATTTCAGATGCACTAATAGCTTTTAACTGATTGAAATGAAAATAAAACACCGGATTTTTGTTATATATTTAACTGAACCACATTTAATGTATTACGGAAGTTCTAATGGAACAAAGATAAGTTAGTATTATCATATTTTAGATAAAATATTTCGCCGTATAAAATACTCCCCGAAACATCGTTACGGTCATATTTTTATCGGTTAAAGAGAAATTATATCTTGTAATCCTCAGATTAGAAGGTTCTAGAACCTGTTAATTATATCACATTATTGTATCAAGGACTTACGTCATCCTCACACAATTTGTGACGTTTTTGAATTTATAGAATATTATCTTTATTATATCAAAAAAACCTGAAATGATTGTAAGTAAAAGCGATGTCTAGTTTTGATACACCAAAAGCTTTTAATCTAACGTCATTTCGTTGGAGCGATGGTTATGTGTCAGTGTAAATGTAGCTTGATGATTGAATGTGAGGGAACACCAAGAGTTTTTCGAAGGAGATAAAAATATTTCCTTCTTTTAAGGATTAATTAACAACCATTAAGTATGACTTATTTCAAAACACACAAATGTTGTTTATTGTGTTTAGTTGTGTTAATTGACCAAGATGTTTTGCAGAGCAGAAATAGAATAGAACAGACGAAGATTTATCCTAAATTTAAATTTTCCCAAACAAAGTTTTCTAAATCACTTAAAAGAGATTTTTTAAGCCTTACAAAGATACAATCCAGGGCCTTTAAAAATTCATTAGACGTATCTGCACAATTGCAAATACTTTTCCGATTACATAAGGATATGAGAAATGATTCCTGATACCATAAAGTCTCTTTGGTTCTATTACCATTTGTTTATACAAAAAATAACTCATTATTCTACAGAAAGCATAAAATACTTCGCCAAAATAACACCACAGTGATCTTATTCAAAAATCCCAAAGTAAAAATTGAAAAACTAAAAGAATTTACATCAATATCATTTGCCAATACCCTTAAGTAATACCAATTATATAGATTTTACAAAATTTTGTCTTACAATATATCAATCATAAATAATAATATTAAAAATATTAACAGTAATAAACTCTTTCTATCTCTTATTTGTGGAGAGCAAATACCACTACAGTAATCATTAAGCAATTTTTTAAATGTAAATAATTTACTTAGGCTTATAACATACTTTCTTTAAGTGCTAGTTTAAGTACAATAAACAATTATTTGTTTTTCTCCACGTCGATTGAGGTGTAACAATGGAACTGCAAAAAAAGCAAACATTTTAACCAACTAAGCCTGGATATGGCCCTACGATTAAAACATGATTCTTTTCAATACATTAATTTTAAAACATGTTAAAAAGATTTATCGAAAATTCTTACATATTTTTTTTTTATCTAAATAGAAAAGCGTTGTTAAAGTAATGATTATTAAATTTATGTGTTGGCTTTGAGAATCACTTCAATTATCTAAATTTTGTGGATTTATCTTAATTTTTGAGATTAATATTGAACAAATCATATATATATTTATTTTAATATTTACTCACTTAACTCATTTTTGCCAATAAACAACCTTTTATTTCCTTTACTATGAACATATTAGACAACTGTCAAGTGTCCCACGTTTTATTTACGTCGAAACCTACATACTAAGGTTAACTATTAAGTTAACTATTAAGTTACCTTAATCAAAACATAAATCAGTTCTCATTTAATGTAACCTACTACATACTTATCAATCACTGTTTATACAGACGTCTTTCATTTATTTTTCTTTGAATTATACCCTGTCCTGTAATCACAGAATCATTCAGTTAAAATTTAACATAATCATTCATAGCCTGTTACGAAATCCTTGTGTTGTCTTAAAAATGATGTGGCCGATAAATTTCGAAGAAATGTACAAAATATCAACTTACTCGCTGCGTCTGAATGGCGCACATCCAAATATAAAAAAGAAAACTAAATTTTGGTATTTTAAAATTTATTTACTCAGATTTATAGAGTTGCTTTGCTGCGGTCTTCTCTTTAATTCGATAATATTCTACGACGTTGTTTCTAAGAAGTACACGGAAGCCATCAAAAACGGCCTAATGGTGATCGTTGGTATAACCGTGATATTTAAACACTCAATACTAATAAACTATAACGAATCAATCAAACGTCTCATCAAAATTCTGGATGAGGATTATAAGGCTGCTGAACTATATGAAGAGAAAGAAAAAGATATCATATTGAAATCAGCGATGAGTGGAGTTAAAATTTGTCGCTTCTGGCTTGTGTCTGCAACGCTTACGAGTTTCATGTTCCCTGCTAAAGCTATCATTGAAATGATCAATTTATATATGAAAGGCGAATTCAAACTTGTTCCAATGTTTGACTTTACATACCCAAATATTATCGAAGTTCATAAAGACTCCACTGTGGCTTATATAGTACTATTTCTGCTGTGTCTGTCCTTCGACCTATTTTCTTTGTCTATGTACATAGGATTTGATCCTCTCGTTCCTATATTCATGCTGCACACTTGCGGCCAGTTGGAGTTAATTAGTAACAAGCTAATGAATCTCTTTTCTAAGGACGCTTCACGGCAAGATATTATGGACGAACTAAAAAGTATCAATGTGAAACTTCAGAATATTTACAAGTAAAGTATTGGTCTATATTTTGTATAATAAACTTTAACCAAAATTGAACAGTGCATAAAAGTACCATATTTAACCTTCTGTTTCGATATAATATGTATTAAACAGCTGAGATATTAGATTTTATCTTTAATTTTATCAAACAAGAATTTTTAAGATAAAGGTAGCATTCCCTCATATAGCAATACATGACTCATTAATTTGAGAATATTTCTTCTATACTTCATATATTCTAGCATAGTAATTTTTATTTATAATATATTTCATAGATTTGTTAAAACGGTGCAGAATATTTTTATAATACTGTATGAATTTAATATGAAAACAACAACTTTTCTTCTGCCATTCTCAGTTTTCCAAATAATGCAGGTAAATTAAAAGTTTTATAATTCCTGTTACAATTTTGCTTTTATTTACTATTAATATATGTATTTAAACATATTTTTGTTTTAGTCCTTACGAGACAGAGAAATCAGTTTTGAGTTTATATTCTTCTTTTCTGGCGCTTGCTTACACTTTTACATGCCGTGTTACTACAGCAACCTTCTGATGGAGAAGGTAGACGAAATATACAGGGCGACTGGTGAATTACTATCGATATTTGAGGACGTGATATTTGACGATCATATATGACAAAATAAAAATTAATATAACATAAATATTAATAAACTTCTAAGTAAAGTTAACCAAAAGTTATGTAATTAATTACGCATCGTATGAACACCCTACAGATTAGGTATACACCCACACTCACACATACGCGCGCGGAGGCGTGTTGTTGTATCAGCACGCCGCCGCACGCGTCCACACTTGGAACACTTGGAACGTGTACACACTTTATTTATTTATACGGAAATTTGGTCAAAAATTAAGTACCTATTTTTTTTACATAATTCGAATGAGAATCATGTACCGAGTATGCTCCTTAAATATTGATAGTAATTCACCAGTCACCCTGTATATAAAATATCATGCATATATAATAACAACAAATTCTCTATGATGAGATCTAAGGTTTTCACGAGTATTTATTTAAATGAAATTTATATTTTTTGGATTATAATGTGCGTATTTATTATTGTAAAATACTACATTCTCCCGACGTTTCGATTAATTTTCGCCAACCGTGATCATGTATGTAGTACACACAGTATAATCCAAGAATATTAGTTACATTTAAATTCCCTATGAGTTAATATTTTTAGTTAATATTTAGGTATGTGACCTTTTAGGAGTGTTTAGGTAGAATAAAAGCCGGCTCTTAGTAGAAAATAAAGATTCTTTACTGATAACATACATTTATTGCTGCACACACGATTTTATTTTGTTAATGTAATAGTATTTATACATAAAAGTATATTTTCAGAGTGAATCCCTCCGTAATGCGATATATTTCAGCGGTTGGGAGTCACAAAGAGATATTGAAATCAGAAAGACGATTCTTCTGATGCTGACCAGAACATACGTACCTCTTGGCATCAAGACTGTCTTCTATCCGATTTGTTTGGACACTTTTGCTGAGGTATTTTATTAAAACTAAAACTTAAACTATAATAAGAAACATATATACCTACTTGTAGTGAAGCATATTGCCTCTAATTTGATGTGATTACTTTTATCAGATGGTGCGTCAAGCCTACGGAATATATAACATCATGAACGCTGCTTGGGGTTAAATTTTCATATTTTGCTGGTATACTATATTATAGGCTTCACTTATCTATTACACGTTGTCGTCTTAATAACAGCGTTTTATAAAGGGTGTTTCTAAATTATTTTGACCCGATAGTTGAATCATAATTTGGAAATCATCACAAACAAAACAAAACAAAAGTTACAAAGTTTACATATACTAAAATTATCCATGTAATAAAGTTATTGTAGCATTGAAATTTTGATGAGTTATTTCTTTATACCTCTTTTGTAGCCTAACTTAAGAAAAGTGTTTTTTAATCACATGAAAATATAATTATTATAAATTGGTACCAAGAATAAAATCAAACATTTAATATTCCTTTCATATATTAATGTATGTATGTAATAGAAATATTCTTTCTAGAAGAAACGATGACATTAAAATTGATAATTTAAGCATGGATTCTAAAACAAAGATTGTTCTGTTATCTAATAGACTTGATAATATTATAATAATCAACAAGTGTTCTTTTCACACGAAAAAACTAAATTAAATGCTTAAAATTACAACAAATTTTGGATAAAACCAAATTTTACAGAGTTTTTTAAGATTTCTTAATACATATATGTAGTTTATGCAACTGTACTAAAATGATTTTAACGACTTATTCTTTAAAAACTGATTTGAATCTTTTCATGAAAAATTAACGAATAAGAATGTATTATTTAAGCCGAAATTACTTTAAACATATGAAATTTAAATGACCATGACGCTCTTTACAAATATTTCACTGAAGGACAAGAATAATACTTAAAGAATGTGCCGATATTATCTACGATTTATCTTATCAAATATACATTGCTTGATTTTTTATTAATTTTGTCTGACAATGCCATCTTGGACTTATCATACAATACAGCTAAAGTTGATTTTTTATACAAACTACTCAAAAAAAGTTAATATACAACTCTAAAAGTACATACTTCGAAACTTTATTTTTAATTTTAAAATCAATCATAATGAAGAAATAGAGCAAACCAATAAGATATATTAGTGATCACATCCATTATTGTGGGTGGTAACGTCTTGTACCCTGTCGCTGACAGATCCGGGGTACACCGACATAGCGGCCGATGGCTTTCGCAGTGGTTTTAGTGGTTAGGGCCTGCCCAGGCCGGCCCTCACACATCCCTTCCGACCCCACCGAGGCCGGTTGGACGGCTCGTAAAAAGAGTTTAACTGCGTCATAAAAAAAAAGTCTTTATATCATGTTCAATATTAATACTATAAAAATCGTACATAATAACATACACAACACAACATAATCTTCACATAACATAACAGAAACTATTTATGAGGATTTTAACTGTTTGAGATAAAACTTAATCTACTTATTTTCATGATAGTATGTAATAGCTTACAAAGTATTTCTTACTCAATATTTTCACAAGCGTTTCTTTTGTAACACAATTTAGGAAAATCACAAAAGTTGTTGTTGTAAAAGAAATTAATACTTAGAGTAACTAGATTAGACTTACAATTTAATAAAATAAACTACTTATGGAATCTTTGTTGTTAGTGTAACTTTTTTCATGTTTCCTACCATTAAAATTTGTCCCTTTTTTATTTATCAGCAATTTATATTTTATTAGTTTATTTTCAATTATAGGACTTTATAAGAAGATAAAATATTTCACGCAATCATCAGGCAAGTGTAATTGCTATATCAAAAAATCGAGTTAAATGTGTTTCCTATATTATGTATATCGGATTTATTACACATTCGTTGTTTTTGAAGATAGAGACGCCATCATCGCCGACATCACTAATATCACTTCTTCTAGAACGTTCTATGATATTTTAAAATGAAACTTCAATTGTTCTTAATGCTCCTGTATTTCTCGAAGGTTCTTCATAATTACATTCTTCAATGGTCCGCACTTACTGAACCTTGCGTGCGTTATATGATATCGTGCGTCATATTTATACCAAAATTGAAACATAGTTCTATTCTCCTTTTAAACAATGTTTGATTTCGTTTTACTTTTAACAATAATCTTGAATACCAATGAGTTTTAATGATGACAGGCTCAACTTATTTTCACGGCGCATCTGTTATTAAAGCTGGTAGCGCCGATACGGCGATTCTGACAGGCGGTGCGTGCTCTGCACCTGCCTGGTTATGTGTTCTCTCTTGGTTGGTTTTCGTTATGTTCTTGATCAGTCGCGCGTCTCGTAGAGTAGATGGGACAGGATCAAGAATTGAGGCTTCATCTTCCGAAGTCATACCGTTATGTATATATTTTAAATCTTTCGTTCATTTTAGCCAGGCCATTCTGTTTATTGTAACAAATAATATTTATTTTTTTCACATTAACTACCATTCACTATGAATTTGTTGTATTCTTGTATAAGAAATAATTCCTTTTTGCACTGAAAAGTGTTATTTTTAAAATAAAATACCATTGAACGCAAACTTCACTCTTTAGTTTCAGATAATAAAAACCAAGACATAACCAAGTGCATAAATTGACGAAAAATATACCATGGTAGCCTATTGAATATTATTGTCGTTGCTAATTTTATATTTAAAAACTGGATGACACTTTTTCGAATCATAGGAAATATATCTGATATTAGTATTTTAAATGCTGCATTCGTGGCTACTGCTTGAACAACGAAGTAAATTCCCTAAAGCAACATTTTAATCTACAGCAAGTAGCATACATATTATATATATCACCAGGTAGTAAATAAAGATACAAAACAAAACCTATCAAACAAATATTTGAAGCGGTTCTAACTGTGAATATTAAGAATCTTATTTTAAATCTTTAAAAAAAAAAAAACAAAATGACAATGAGCTAATTGTTATAAAACCGTCTACATTTATGGTACTTAAAAGTATTTCTGAGCTCCCGCTTATATCTTGTGACAATGTACTGAATAAAACAACCACTGGCAACATTGTTAATACACAAAATTGTTGATAATATAACAACCTTAAAAAAAATAATATGTTTTCGTTCCATTGAAATCATTGACGACAGCACCCAGACAGTTGCTCTATTTCTGCTTTTCGTAATAAGTTAAAAGCTGCAGTTAATTTTCAGATACTTCCAATGACGCGTGTAATTTTCAAAATACTCATTTACATTCTTCAAATCGCCCCTCAATTGCCAACCATACTGGACTTTCGATCCAAAGCTGAGACAAAATAATAGCTAGTTAGCGCGAATGGTATGCTATCTATTAATGCCACTTGAATCTAATGCAAAATTATACTTAGTACATGTCCAAGTATAATTCTTATATTTGTGGCAACATTTTTAACCAAATTAATGATAGCGGATCTTGAGTTCGGCTCAAAATATTCTCCAATGAGTGATGACACCACTGAAAGACATACAAAATATAATTCTAGTAAGAATCTAAATTACTTTATCCCGAGCGAAGTGAACAATACATCAAGTTAAGCCCACTGGTAGACTTGTTACAGTTTTCCTTCGACCTAAATATTCAGTTATTACACCAGATAATCCAACGATGTATGTTATACATATTTACCAATGACACTGTAAATAAAAGTATATGAACATTATGATGTTTGTATCCGTGATTAACACCGAATATATTTGTGTATAAAAATTTTACAATGTTGAAAATATCCTGAGAGTAGTCTTTATACATATGTAGTTACTGTAATTTTTCAATTTAAAAAAAAAAGAAAGGTAATATTTAATTTTCAAATAAGCTCATATATTATATTGTATTATGATTATATAACTTTGTATTGTGACTTTTTATATTCACCTAGAGTAGAATGAAAGCAAAAATCCTTATTATATTGATTCTTGTAAGAGTCAAAATTTAATCAGGATCCTAATAGTCCAAGAGCCAGTAACAGATTTATATGACCAAGTTCCTCTCAAGTGATAATTAGTAAAACGCATCAGAAAATCGAACCATAAAGCCTCGTGAACGTCAGCTGAGGCTCGGTGGGGGGGATGAGCAGTTGTAACCTCCCACGCTTGAAGAAAAAAAAAATACATTCACTCATTCCCTCTCGGCTAAAAATTTATCAAGTTATAGCTAACCCAATACCTCAACAAAAAAAAAAAAAATCAGCTGGCTATAACATGGTGCATTGTGCGTCAGCTGATGTCTAGATCATGGAAAAAAAAATCTTCACTTTCAGTGATATCCTCTCAAATAAAAATTTACTTGATGATAGCTAATATGTAACTATTGATAAATATATACGTCAGCTGGCTGTATCTCGGTGGAAAAATCGTCAGCTGATACTTTAAAGGTCGTTACGTAGAAGTTAGCCAGAAGCATTTACTGACTATTTAAAGGCATCAGCTGACCAGGTTTTCCCTCGACTTACTGCTAGCTGATTTTTTTTATTTATCACAGTATTATATTTAAAATCAGCTCACAAATTTTCGTGTGGGAGGAAATGACGTATCTTTAATTATTCGGCATTGCACTCCAATATGAGTGTTGAGGTGAAACAAATATTCCGTATCAATATTTTTCAAACTTATGCGTATATAATCATATAATTTTGGATACATTCCAATATTTCAATAATCATTTTGTATAAATTAGTATAAATTAACTAGTTACTCGATAAAAAATATTTATTATAAAAAAATTATGACAAATTACAATGCGAATGACAATGTTATTCAATCATTTTCGGCTTCGCTTTGGCTGGAATCACAACCATCTCTGTCAGATTCATTGTCCGAGTCGCTGTCAGAGCTGTCTGCTGTCATATTTATTGTCAACTTCTTCCCAACCATAGTCTTCCGGATCTTCAGAAGTTGGAACCTTCAAATGTGCATTAGACCAAATTTGAGCAATGTAACATGCTCTTAAAAATTGCTGATACAGCTCTGACTCGCAAGGTGGTAGAGAAGAGCCATCAATACCTTTCTTTGGTAACTTGAATGTTTCCGTATCCAAGAATTTATATGTTTTTTCAAATAACGCTACTCTTGCCTCATCGACCTTTTTCAGACGATTAAATCCATACATATGGCAAACAAACTCTTGTATTTTCTCAAAAATATTGTCTTTATCCTCCAATGATTTTAACATTTGGATGAAACACTCGATGAAATCATTCGATTTAGCCATGATTGAAAACGGTCGTTTTTTTTTTTTCCTTTTCGAAAAAAAAGCCGGGTTAAAATCACACCCTGTGAATGCGTGAAATGCTGGAAGTGCGGCGCTCAAATTAGATCCTAAAGATTCATATAATTGAGTAACGTTAATAAATCTTTGGGCTTTTCCAACTCCAACTTCCATGCAAATGTTGACATTATTTGATATATTAGTCATGTTAGCTAACATAATTATTAACACGTCAGTGTCGGAACAACGAATCGTCACGTTTGCATTAATATCAATGTTGCAGACATGAAAAATCATTTTTGTGTCCGCTTCTTCGTGAGCCGGGCACGAAAATTCATATTGGAGTGCAATGCCGAATAATAATTAAAGATACGTCATTTCCTCCCACACGAAAATTTGTGAGCTGATTTTAAATATAATACTGTGATAAATAAAAAAAATCAGCTAGCAGTAAGTCGAGGGAAACCTGGTCAGCTGATGCCTTTAAATAGTCAGTAAATGCTTCTGGCTAACTTCTACGTAACGACCTTTAAAGTATCAGCTGACGATTTTTCCACCGAGATACAGCCAGCTGACGTATATATTTATCAATAGTTACATATTAGCTATCATCAAGTAAATTTTTATTTGAGAGGATATCACTGAAAGTGAAGATTTTTTTTTCCATGATCTAGACATCAGCTGACGCACAATGCACCATGTTATAGCCAGCTGATTTTTTTTTTTTGTTGAGGTATTGGGTTAGCTATAACTTGATAAATTTTTAGCCGATAATATCAAACAACAATATATACCTATCCATGAAATATCATCTTGTGTGAGTGGTACATCGTTGTCTTCTTTACTCAGAGCATCTATCATACCAGACATCTGACCGAATATCAACCCGTCTGAGACACTGCACATGGTCAAACTGAATCCAATCAATGAATTAGATAATAATCATTTAGATAAGTCTTTTAAGAAGTCGTTTTACAATGAAAGGATGCTTTAGCTTAACGAGATGTCCTCTGCCGGTGATCACGATTGCTGGCATGTAACCGAAACGTCGGCATTATGTAGTTTTTAAAATAATAAAATACGCGTTGTATAAACCGAAACCGAAAATATTGCTTTCATTTAAATGTTTACTCTTGAAATTCTAAGATCTCCTTCTTCGTGTAACATTATGACAAAATGAAATTGTTTCTTTTGAAATGCAATTAATTTCAAAATAAGTAGAAGCTATTAATATTCGAGACATGGGGTTATTCTATTTTCATTCCGAACAGCAAGGACACTTTTTTCTAAATATAATACGACAAACATACCTGCTGCTTTACGATGGGTAACATGTTGAAGTCATGAAAATATATATAGGGTAAAGTCACTACTAATACACACAATTAAAAAAAATCTAATAATGTAATTACATCCTTACTTTATATTATTTAATCTCACGGACTGAGTTAAAACTATCTTTGTAAACGATGAAAAGATTAACCTTAAAACAGCATTTTAGGATATTAAACATAAATTTTATTGTAAAATTATTCCTTTAAAACAAACAACAAGAGAAAAAATATTCAATACGTCTTAATCATGGCTTACACTTGTTTATACAAACGATAATAGATCAATGAAAGTAAAGGCGTAGTTCATTGTGATTTTCAATACGACTATTATCTATACTAATATTATAAAGCTGAAGAGTTTGTTTGTTTGTTTGTTTGTTTGTATGAAAGCGCTAATCTCAGAAACTACTGGTTCGAATTGAATAATTCTTTTTGTGTTGGATAGTCCAGTTATTGAGGAAGGCTGTAGGCTATATAACATCACGCTACGACCAATAGGAGCAAAGATATAGTGGTAAATGTGTAAAAAACGGGAGAAATTATTTCATCTTTGAAGCCTTCCGTTGCGTGCGTCGTGAAAATGGTTCAAGATACACAAAAAATATATATTAAAGAATAATAGCTCTTTTAATGATCTAAAAAATAGTCCGCGACAGTATATGTCTATCTTTTAAGATGAACTCACAAAAACCTTTTTATGGTACCTAATTTGGTCGAATTAATTTGTTTAAGTTGTATCAACATAATAATATTAATCTTTATTCAAATAAACAAATAAATATGTTGTTGGTTAAGAGTACTTCATTGTGAATAAAAAAACATAGGTTTTATCCTGAAAATTCTACGGGAACTCAACCATTCCGAAAACCCCGAAAGAACGGGAACTATGTGGGAAGAACCAAAAATCTGCCGGAAGTCACTATTCCAGGGGGACGAAGTCGCGTCAAAAGCTAGTAGATTAATAATTGTGTATTAAATTCACACAAACAATTAGTTTTACCCGGTAATTTAAGAAATTATCATTTTATGAAACTATTAGAGCTGATACATATGTACTTAATTTACAATAACTATACAAAATATATATTTTATGGATTTCAACCCAAAGAAGTAAAACTTTAATTTATTTAGTCAGCTAGTAATCTGATTAAACAAATACATGCTACGCCTGATTTTCCTTTCTTTTATTCTTTGTTTTCAAATAATGTTATCGATACAGATTTGAATAAGGATATTTCTTACCATACTTTCCATCATAATGTCTTAAAAATGTGTGTTCCAAATAAACCTATTAATATAAAAGAAAGGTGTATACAATTATATTACGAATTATTTGCTTGAAAGACATTTGTCTTGATTTTTTTTTACTCGTGTCATGAGTTATCATTCAATACGCATTTTTCTTTCGATTTTACGAGTATTAAAGTGTTTTGAGTGTTCACACAAATGTTTAAATGGAGTTTTCATAGCATAAATCTATATTCAATATATGCTTTGAATATTCCAAAATTAAATAATGTATAAATTTATAGTGTCAATAATGGAATAATCTGCTATATTATATAAACCAAGACATTTAATTTCAAATATATTTTAATTACACAATTAGCACAACACATATAGGACATTAAAATATCGAAAATATAAATACAAGTCTTAATTAAATAAAACCCAGCCTCAATGTTTAAAGTTACTACTATTTCTTTTATATATAATTAAGTATATCTATTTTAGTTGTTGACCGGGTAAGAACCACCCATGAAAGCACCTGGTTGCCTGTGAAGGGGTCTTGAAGCAAACACGTGCGATTTCTTTTAAATCCCGAGCATCCAGAATTAGTAAGGCAACTGCGTGATCATCACTTCCCCATACAAGTGAACTTAAGAGTACACCATCGTCCTCATCCTGAAAAAATAGTATATAATAATTTGTTTTCTCTTTAAATGGTCTATATTACATATACAAGTCTTGTAAAACAGAACTAATGTGAACTAATTCGCGAGTATTCTTTTAAATGAAACAAATTTTTTCGGAACACTACGCGTATTCTATAATTTTTAAAAACTAAATCACGGACAGATCTGTTCTGTTTGCTGCAAAGTAACCGAAACTTTGAGTGTATCTAGTTTTTAAGTTTTAAAGCGTAGTTTCATTTAAAAAAGAACTGATTAATTACACGTTTTAAGTCCAGACGATAACTTTATTCCTTGTTAATTGGTTATTATTATTATAATTAAAATCATGTAGTGTAATATGACAACTTTTAAATGATATTGTTACTGTCTGTTAAATCTTACCACAGCCCCCGGCCGAGGCACGAATATCGGTTCACTTGGATACGTGTCTTCTTCCAACCATATTTTATATTCACCGGTTTTCGTATCTACTTTCACTAGCTGAAAAATATTAATTAAAAATATTATTATAATTTTATATCAAACAATATAAAGAGAACAAAAAAAGGACAAGGTCTTTTACATGCTTTAGAAAATTTTCGTAATGAATGAACATTTAATTGACAAATATTTAAATACTCACATTGCCCGAGCCGTTTTTATCAATGTCGGAACCGATACCATAGAAATATCTGTACGGTTTAGCTGTGGAGTTACAGTAAAAAATGATAAATGTTTAATTTAAGGATCAGTTGTTCTAAGTTGCAGATAAATAACTATATGGTTTACATATATATATTTTTAGTTGTATGGAAAGTAGCACCACTTGGGTAGTTAATTTAGGAAATTCTAATTTATAGATTATAGATTCTTGATTAAAGGAATATGGCTGTACATAGACTGAAGACATTTCAGTACAAGAACATATTATTTAGACTATCACTGTCAATAAATGATCGATTTTTTTACCATTATAAGCATCGTAATTGATTCTTGGAGCTTCGCATCCAATATCTGCAATCAACTTAACTTCTACCTTGCTGTCGGCTGCGTCCAAAGGTATTGTGATACGTTTTGGACGACACTCACACCATTGACCATACTCCGGATTAGATTGCATTGACTGAAATTACTAACATTATTTAAAACTATTCGTAAAATTTGGTACTACAATACTGAAAATCTTACTTTTATCGCTTTAGTATACATAGATTCAATGATTTTTCCGTCTTTGTAACTGCACAAATCAATAATAACTTTTCCATCTAGTTCAAAGCAATTGATGATGTGCATATAAAATATGGTATCTGCAGTGTATCTTGTCTCTTCACCGGTCATTCTGTTAATAAGAACTATTTGTGTCTGAAAAAGGACAAAATATTTTAAGTAAATATTACATTTAAGATACTTTTGTTCAGTCATTTGTATTTTTAGAAAATTTGGATTTACTTTTTGGCTAGTATATTAAAGGTAATAACTAACTTCTAATACTAACTTCTTCATCTGGATAGCTATGCAGAACGGAGGAAAACGGGGCAGTGATAAGTAGTCTCCGAGCCATACCCAACAAAGACAACGATAAAGGGTGTTCAATTATCACGAAGAAGTTTTCCGTTATGCCTTAAATTATATAACGATTATAACGAATGTTTTATAACGATCATATAATTCAATTTCAAAAGATATATACCAAATGAATGCATATATGCTGGATGTAGTTTCCATCTAGGTGTCATGCTGCCAACTATTTCCGCTGATTCAAACATATCTCCTTAAACGTAACAGCATATTTTAAATACTAGTATACTATATATTAAATAGATTATATTTGATATTATTATATATTACCTTTATCGCTGTATGTAAACTTAACAACTACGTGTTTCAGACCATTTGTTTTGCTCAATCCTAGATTGTAAACGTCTCCTGTAAATGTTTAAAATTAATCGTTACTACATTGAAAATAATAAAATAACTAAATTAAAATAAACTAAATTAAAAATTATACAATACGTCACTTATGTTTATAATAAATAATGATAGAATTAATGGATATTTTTATTTCTTACTTTACGTTATTATTAAAAATCACATGCATAGAAACATAACTTTATGCATTTTATAAAAGCAATTTTATTTTGTTTACTTAAATATAATATTATCGGGCTTAGCTTAACTCAAGAATGGCTGTACGGGTCTAGCTGAAAATTGGTGGAAAGAAAGGAGATGTTCTTTCTTTTAATATACTTTTAATCCAATTGAAAAAGATAAAAGTAATTACTTGACCAAATCTAAAATCTTCTTATTTATTATCTTTAAGGAGGAATAGAGTTCGCCCGGTCAGATATACATTTCTGATTCTAAAACTCACGCAGACTAAGTCGCGGGCAACAAGTAGTGTATAATAAACATGATGTAGTAACTTTTGTAGAGTGCGTAATAATTTATGCTGTAAAATCCCTTACCATTTGGCATGACGTGTGGATGAGCGGTGTGACATACTATTAAAGAGCTCTCTATTTCTTTCTTGCCAACAGTTTCTAAGTTTCTGGGATCTATTCTGTGGAACAAAATAATATATTTAGTCAAATTACGGTTGTTTATTTTCCGTGGAAGTATACTGTACTAGATTTTAGAACACTTATAAAAGAGGTCGTTGAATATTCTACTCGTAATTCGATAAATTTAAATTTAACAAATTTATATTAAACTATAAATAAATTAGAGGATTAATATAGTGTAACAATTTCATCGGCTAAAACAAGATTTTAATAATCAGTGTGCAAGTGACCCTGGAAGGTATTTTACCCTAAACCCAATTCCCAGGTCATAAATAAACAATTGCGCCCTGTGGTCGGTAAATAAACTTAACTATCTTATTTTCACAAAAACATTGGAATAGAAGTAGACCAAAACGGGATTTATCATATAGAAGGAGTAGAAGTTTTTAATTGAATTAATTTAAATTATACTTTTACCTCTTAAAAACTTAAATATACGTATTATACTCAACGTATTATATAAATTATACTGAATGTCACAAAACGTGAGTCTAAATAAACTAGTAAATAATAAATTAAATAAATCTACAGCAAATTAAAGTTTCAAAACAATCTGATGCAAAACTCGCGCTCGCTTAATTCTTCTCCGAAATTGACCCAAACGTAGATACCAGCGAAATTCAGAACGAACAATCAATTATAGATAACTTGAAAATAAAACTTACTCATAAATAACGGGTACTTCAGTCATCGCATAAATTTGATCTCCAAACGGATAAACAGATACCGCGGTGTTATCTGTCCTGTCCAGATTCAATTTAAATGTTGAGGATATACTGAAACATTCATTAGTGTTAATAATATTTGATTGACTATTCATTGGGTAGAATTTATGAGCTATTTACTTTTAATATACTTTAAAGTACATGTATTACAAAATCTTCAGTGACTTATCTTCTTCTTCTTCTACCTGGCACTTTCCCAGCTATAGCCAGGACTTATATTGAGTTTAATATAATTCATTTGTGAGTAACATTATTATATTTTTTTTAAACTCATTATTTTAAATTAGAAGAAATTTAATGTCCTTCGATTACCAAGGTCTGAATAAATGAAAGCAATATATTGATGGAAGTACGTTCAGTTGCTACCAATGAGTATTTACAGAGTAATTTAATGATAAATGCTTTTATTATTATTGTGTATAGAAATGATTACCGGTCAAAAATACTCCTACAAGGGTCCGGTACTGCTGTCGTGCCGAATTCTGTGACAACGATGCGATTCGCCGTCATATTCTTTTTGTATGTCTCAGACTTGACGAATTTACACTGATAAGTAACTTCACCCTCCGATATATCGAACCTTTAATATAATTTTATATTTTTAGTAGGTACACTTTGTTTCAATTTTTTAAGTACATGAAATTTAAGTCTATACGTAAATAAAATTAAGTTTCTGGTATAAGTTCTTATAAATTTTATCTTTAAATTTATATAACAATATAACATTCACAAATTCTTTATTTGTCTGTATCGAAAAATCTTCTATCAGTAGGTAATAATAAGATAATATTAAAAAAACTGACGTTATTTTATCGTTATAAAATATATTATTCAATTAGGTAATAATATCTTAAACAGTAGAATACCTGTGTAATAAAGCCAGTCCGTCAAAAACGTGTTCATATTCACAATCCCCGATTTTATTACGTCCCGGACCATTCCTGATGAGTGTACCTTGGAGCCACGAGGGAAGTTTACCTGAAATATATATAAAAGATTCATAAACGTCATCAGCCTATCATAGCCCACTGCTGAGCAAAGGCCTCTTTCTCACATAGAGAAGGTTTGAGCATTAATTACCAAACTTGCTCAAGACGGGTTGGTGATTTCAAACTTATAATTGTGAAATTATAAGTCCAGGTTTCCTCACGATGTTTTTCTTCACCGTCTATCAGTGATGTCTAAATACTCTTAGAAAGTACATATGACTCGGAAAAGTCACATTGGTACTTGCCAGGATCGAACCCGCGCCTTCGTGCATGAGAGGCGGGCCCTTTTAACCACTAGGCCACCACTGACTTAAAGATTCATACAATATTAAAATTAATGATTAAAACAATTTTAAATCTTAAATATTTAATTCTCTTAAACACAATCAGAGGTCAGAAATTGTACTTATAAATTTCATAATCACGAGTACATAGTGGCAGGATCCCGAGGCCCTCGGACCCTACTTATTTTCTAATAGATAAAACATGGTTATTTAATAGCTTAGTGTTAGTGTCTACAGTACACCTGTACATATCTTCTAGCTAATGCCCACGGACAATTAAATGAAACTAATATTTTTCGGATATACTACGCGACCTTCTTTTTCTAAAAAAATTACATACTCCCGACGTTTCGGCTACTTTTCAGCAACCGTGATGTGTTATAGCCTGCCTGTGATATGTAGTAGTAGTCGTCATAGTATATGCAAAAAATATTAGTTTCATTTAAATGAAAAATCTTTCTATCCGTCGGACAATTTTCAGCTACCAGGTAATACAAGTAAGTAAAAATTGTACTTACTTTACTTATAGTCTGAAATCTGATTTTTTACGTATGTCGTAGGAAATATTGTAAATAATTTGAAAATAATCTTGCCAGACACCTTCCGTTCGTTAGAATTGTTACCAGACCCTTCAAATATCGCTAGCAAATAAACTTAAAATTCTTATGTTTTTTTAGTATTATTCTACTATCGTTTGGACAAGTAGATGAAATTTACTGATTTTATTATTATTAAGAGCATTCATTGGACAAATTACAAGACGATTTTGAGGAAACAGTATTTAAAAGCATTTAATTATAATAGTATTTTCTGATGTTATATATGTTACTAACCTATTATATATGTTTTATCCATCAGAAAATGTGATAGGTTTGACTGTCCCGGGATCTAGGACTATATGTAAAAAACCTCACCCTTCACTTCTCCACGAATTGGTTCCTGAATCTCCTCCTCACAATTCCTCAGCCATATATCCATATTGTAATCATATAATCTCTCTGTGTCAGACATTTTAATTCTTAGCAGTAACAATTGACCACCTTATTCTGCAACAATAGAGAGAGCAATGAACTTATTGCAACCTTATCTCCAACAGCTCATTAAATGTTGATAAAGAACGTTTTCAACTCTTCGGAGATACTGAACGATTTAGCCGGCATCATATCCATTTTATTATTTTAAATGAGGTCAACAATTTAAAATTATAGGTCTCCAGGGTCAGAATGATTTAAGTTTCGACATTGTGACAGCAAAAATTCAGTTTTACGAACCTATATATACATTATACATAAAAATATATTATAATAATTTCTAGTAATTTAGCAGCTTTAGTCAAATGCCTAAATGTCTAAAGCAGCCAAACTATCTTTTTGTAACATGAATTTAAATAATTGTGGATGACTTAATTAAATTTATAAACTTCTTGCACAACATAACACCCGACTTTGAAGAGAATAGTCGATTTCGGTTCAAAAGTATGTACTCGGAACTGGAAGTACACATGTACATACATTGTTATCGTAATTTTTTAAAAGTGTTTATTTTTATAAGAAAAAATCTAATCTTGAGTTCGCTACTGAGTTCTCAAAGTTGATTAAAAATTAACTTCACCTAGAATGACTTTACAAACAATTTTTCAATTGGTGTAAGCCATAATGGTGTAAAACACATCATTACTCTTTGAGTACAATATATTGCATCGTTAAACGTGACATTGAAAACACTGGTCAAAGGTTAGTGTAGTCAGATGAATCATTCGTTGAGTAAGTCGTGAATGCCCAAATTGATATAAAAAGAATTGTTACAAATTTTTACTCCTTTTGTTGTTGTTTTTTTTAACCTCTACCTTGTTTAATTTTTGTTTGATATAAAGATCTCTTGGCAGCAGTTATTTAATTCACTATATAGATTAGGGATTTAGAGCGACTGTAATATACGCAATGAATCTGCGGTGGAGGAAAAAAATTATCTGAAACTCATACAACATTGAACAAAAAAATTGTCCGCGAAAGCTGAATAGACTACAAGGGTTATAAATGTTTTCTATCCTTTTAGTTGGCATGACGTTAGATGGATATTAATTTCTACAACACAAAGCGTTGTCCATTCCATCCAGTCGCGAAACCCGTAATCTATGGAAAATTTATGGAGAATCCTAACACAGAAATTTTGAAGGAGCATAGTAACACAATACTCAGAGATCAATTTTATTTGTTAAAATCTTCTTTACTCAAGTGATGGTACAATAAATTACTCGTATTGATTTAATATCCGAATAATGATCTTTCAAAATGGACTCTTTTTAAATCAGTTGGACCAGTCTAAAACTTTTCACAACCACCATTAAAAGGGTGTTTTCCCACACTTTTGTAAAATATATATTATATATAAAATAAATTGTGTACCTATACTTTTGTTGTCTACCTAAGTTTTTTCTACGCATGACAAGATTTATATTCATTATACAATTCATTCTATTACTGTGACATCCAAAACAACACAAACTGGATACATGTTCATTCATCATGTATTTTATATTTCCTTTGAATTTTATTACCCGATAGTGATAAAAATATTGATCAACAATCGTACAGGTACCACCTAAAATTTTAATTGCTTCCACATTGCATAAGTCATCAAACAAAATTATAATTTTGAAGTTATTGTTCCCATACTTGTCTAGTTTGTTTCGGCTTATCATCTTAATGGTTCTCACAAAATATTTTTAAATACGTACCTTGTTTTAAATACCGTACCGTCTAAATCTTTCAATACATAAAGTATTCTCACTTTTCATTAATGACTAAAAACAAAGAAAAAACTCTGTCGTTTTGAATAAATTAGATAAAAAAAAATATTATTATGTTGTCTTATTTTAGGATCAACAGAATACAATGAACTCTTAAAACAGCATTGTGTTTTATATAAAAAAAACTTTTACCTTGAAATAGGACACTCGACCTTGGTCTTAGTCACTATATAGTTGTTATAACAATATTTTAGCTTTTAATAATTCAATAATCAGCTATAATTCAGTAGAATATTTGCAATCAATGTTGTTAATAAATTGTTTAAGACTTTTATAGCTGTATCTTGAAAGTAATAATGACTGTATAATATTGCCATATATTGATGAATTGATCGAAAGTTAAAACTTACCGTTAACTGATGATTAATGTGCATTCATTTGTTATTTTATTTTTTTCTTAATATTTTTATTTGTCGTCGAGATAATAAAAACTTGATACGGATGCAGGTCAATTTTAAATTTTTATCTGAACACAATGTTGACATAATTAACTGGAATTTATTAATTAAATAAACAAAATATATTCTCACCAAATACTCTTTGATTAGAAGTGCGAATATTTTGTTAAAATTATTTATTAAAATCTTAAAATTATATACTCGAATGTTTAGGTAATTATTATTAATAAATATAGTTTTTCAGTAAATAAATATAATAAGTAAATTAAAACAACCACAGTTTTCCAGTAATATATATTCACAGATTGCTAAATCATTACCAATCCGTCTTTAAAGTAAACTTTCATTCTAATTTACCTTAAGTATTGTAAATAATTGTTATGTATTATTTACCTCATACAAACAAATTAATCTCTTTGTGTTTACTTCGAAAACATTGGAGTACTTTATCAGTTTACGTATGTGTCAAATAACTCAGAAAAAAAAATAAGTTTAAAAATATAATAGCGGTGACACATAGGATAGATCTCAGATAAGAGAAATGTATAAGGGAGTCCGGGAATATTGAAAAATGGATAGATTTAGTTGTAAACTATAATATTTTTAAATAGTCATTACTTTTATACGTTTAAATTTTATCTCTGATAGATAATTTATAACTTTTTAAGGTATATTTACCTTTCAAAGGATTTAGAAATACATGAATACTACATTAATCTCTCACAATCATCATTCTTAATATTTTTGTTCGCGTAAACAAAGACCTAAATATAAATCAGAAGCAATAAAATCATTTTCGAAGCAATAAATTTTTATGGACTCATTTTCGTCTTACACATAACAACACTGACAAATTTAAGAGATTTCGATAAATAAATAAATAAAAGTAAATATTACTCACCATACACAACGACCGTTACCAAAATATCTTTCGAGCACAATATTTAAATATTCAATTGATTTTAAAGTACTTGTGATTCACGGCACATGTGTCTTGCTGCCAGTGTTCAGGACGAAGTAACATTTTAACATGAAGCTTTGTTTAAGAATAACTTCGGAAACAAAACAACTATCGTCTCATTCCTCATTTAACAGTAGCTCTGTGTCTGCCGAGTGTAGCGTAGTATTTTGTTTGCTCTCATTTTTAATAAAATGCTTAAATATACGTAGTACTCTCCCGCATTGAACTGCTTTCAAAAGTATTATGTCACTATCCAAATGCAAACAGTCTAGAGTGTTTGGCTTTTATAATATTTATTTATTTCTTTTTATTCACTATTTTTTTATTGTTACATTTACTTGAGTCTATAGCGCAATAATGAATACGGATAAATATTACTGTTGGTATTTTTATTTGTGCAAAATGAATAACGATATTGTTAGTGATTGCGATGAAGATATTTTGAATAACTTGGAAAGGTTTCAAACCATATACATTATATAATATTATGACATAAAATGACGATTTTGCTATAGTAATAATTAAGCTATATTACTCTTTTATTTACTTTATCTTTACTCCTATTATTAGATGATATAAGTAATGAATCAATATATAAATCAGTCTACAGATAATTTAGATCTTTCTATATTTAATTAGAATGAAACCGAAATCAAATCTCATTGAAAACGTTTTCTATTTTCATCCATAAAAATCATTGAAATATATTGAACCCCTCACTGACTTATATAATAAAACGCAGTATATTTATAACATTTTTACTTTTTATATAATAAAAATTACAATAAGAAATTATTCTAGAAGCTAACTTTGGTATACAAAGGATTCTAGCACTCTACATTAAATTAAATTTATAAAATTTTTATATCAATATATTTTCAACTAAACTTTTCGATTATTATTTACTAATAAATTCATCACATTTGTTGCTAAATCATTCTCTATTCATACAAAGATTTAACAATATAACTAATCATTAAACAAAATACTGTACATTAATCACAATATAACTAATAAGGGATTTAAAAAATTATCATAAAATAAATATTAGTTTAAAACATTCATTTTATAGTATTAATTTAATAGATTTATAGTCATGAGTATAACTAGACTTCTTCTTCCTGGAAATTTTTCCAGCTTTAGCCAGGGTCTGCCTTACATGTTGTGAATAGTTTTGGCTAATTGGTTTTACGACCGGCCGCCTGCCTGACATCAACTCTCTTTTGGGAATCAGCATTAATAAGTGATGTCAAAATATTTTTAGAAATGACTTACATATGACTCGGAAAAATCACATTGGTACATGCCCAGGCCAGAATCGAACCCGCGCTCTCGGAAACGGGAGGCGGGCCCTCTAACCATTAGGCCACCACTGACTTCTATTGTAAGTTAGACGTCGGGTAAAAACCACCCATGTAGGCACTTAGGAGTTGGAGACGGTGTCTTGAAGGTACAACGAGCTAGCTCCTTTAAGGTGACAGCGCACAGACAGACCAGGGAGACGGAGTATGAGTCATCAGCCATCACAAGAGCCGTTAGAAGAACACCATCGTCCTCAGACTAGAAATTGAAGTTACAGGATTTCTTATGAATAAAAACTTCACATAGCTATATAAGAAATGATCCGTTGTATGCGTATAGTAAGACATCAGTTCAAATATTTAGTACTTGCATTTAATACGTGTCGTCTTTCCTTTTAAAGAGATTTGGTAATCTTGTATTACAATGGTTATATATATATACATATACCAATTAATACATTTGATAATTGCCAAACTTTGAGCAGGACTTATAGTTTATTCGTTGTGTATTAATATTTATTTGTAAATAATATTGTTGATTTACCTTTCCGTTCAAACGTGGCACAAACACAGGCTCGCTCGGATAACATTTATTATCAAACCAGGTCTTTGTTTGACCGGTGACTGTGTCGACTTTTATTATCTAAAAAATAACTCTCAATTAAAAATTCTGCAATAAAAACAAAGCAATAAATAATGTGAGTCAATTTAATGCTCTTAAACTTTAATAATTCCTTATATAATTGTAATAATGTATTTAAGAATTAATTTCAAATATATATTAACATTTAAAAATAATGACTTATACTTATTAAAGAAACATTATGATGATTAGGTATATAGTATAATAAAAACATTTATTTACAAAACTTTTCCTTATTTCAAATACCGTCTTTCTTAATACATACAGTTAGTTGAGTTCTCTGTTATACTTAAACCCGAAACAGATCAGTATTATAGAGATTAGATAAATCATAAATATACCAAACTTCTAAGATACCACTTGTTATAACACTCACCAAACCAGGATTCTCAGCATCAACATCTGAACTGATGGCGTAAAAGTATCTGTAAGTTTTACCTGAAAAAATAACCCATACATACAACAAGCTTCAATACTCAATGAAAAACTACATATCATTTTAATATAACTAATATTTTTGTATGTACAACGAGTTTTTTACTAGTATAAAACTACATACTCTCGACGTTTCGGTACTTTCGCTGCAACCGTGATCACGGGCAGATGATATGAATATCATATCTTTGACACCATTACAGATTAATTTCATAAATTGTAACGGAACGATAAAATTCCTTCAGCATTAACTGTTTTATTTAAATATAAGTTTGTTTTCTCATCGTTACTTTCTTTGTATAAATTTTCAACAACAACAACAAAACCCGTCGATATATTATGTAGATACACAATGGTGGTAGTTTTTTTTTAATAATAGGAGCAACTTCGCACCAAAAAAAATTATTTTATGTAGCTTTCTATAAAACAAATGACTTAAAGAATGTTATATTTAAAATATATGGGTCAATTAATTTGAATTTTAGCGCAAGAATCGTTTGTATTATATATTCTTATTTAAACACATGCGAAGCGTTAAGTCTATCATTCACAAATCTTCGCAGATTACAGTATTGAAGTAGTTTATTAAATTAAAAACGGGAAACGCCTCTTATGTAAACTAGTATTAAACATACATGTAATGCTAACCATTATAAGCATCGTAATATATCCTTGGTGTTTCACAGCCCAAATCAGCCAACAGCCTCGGCTTGAAGTGCGTCAGATCAGGTGCATTGAGGTCTATTTCAATTCTCTTAGGTCTACCTCGAAACCATTCCGCGTAATTTGCGTTACTTTGCATTGTCTGAAAACATTATTATTATCGGAGGTATTTATTTTTAAATTAAAATGTTAAAACGCATTTAAATAAAATTTTAAAAGTTTCTTGGATCGGTCAACAAAATTTTCATAATATAATCAACCATTCGTTCTAACTCTTCCAGACAGTTTTTTAAAAGCCGGCTTGGTTACAAACTTCATTTTTATTATTTTAAAATAACAGCGTTGTGTATGGTATTTGTAGCAACTTACTTCAATAGCTTGTATGTACATCGCGTCCAATATTTTAGGATCCTTGTACGAGCACAGATCTACTATCAATTTGTTAGCAGCTTCATAACAATTAATGATGTGGAGAAAAAATAATGTCTCCGTTTCATACCTCTTTACTTCCTTACCACTCTCACGACTTATTAGTACAATGTTTGTCTAAAATTGAAACATATAATTTATTTAAATAATTATACTTTAAATCAGTAACATAAAAAGTCGATTGCGGGAATACATCTATTCAAAAAATTCAAATAGTAATTTCATTAGCTCAACAATTAAATACAAAGGATTTATCTCATGTTCTCTTAAACCTTGTTAAGAACCTTGTCGTTTTAAACGTGTTAATTGATGTAAACTGATATTCTTAACCTTATGTTCCTGATACCACTTCAGGCTCGAGGCGAGAGGTCGGTTCCTTAGCTGATTGTGTACCAACCTACATATTGACACCGACAGGGGCTGTTCAATTATGACGAAATAATTAGCCGTTATACCTGTTGTATGAAGAAAATAAACATTGAATGGAAACCATTTGAAAATCATTACAATTTAATAATAATAAAAATATTCAGACTATACAGGGTGACTGGTGAATTACTATCAATATTTAAGGAGAATACTCGGTACATGATTCTCATTCGAATTATGTAACAAAAATAGGCACTTAATTTTTGACAATATTTCCGTATAAATAAATAAAGTGTTGACACTTTCCAAGTGTTCCAAGTGTGGACGCGTGCGGCGGCGTGGTGTTGTATCAGTATGTGTGAGTGTGTGTGTATACCTAATCTGTAGGGTGTTCACACGATGCGTAATTAATTACATAACTTTTGGTTAACTTTACTTAGAAGTTTATTAATATTTATGTTATATTAATTTTTATTTTGTCATATATGATCGTCAAATATCACGTCCTCAAGTATCGATAGTAATTCACCAGTCACCCTGTATACAATTTCTTTTTTGAGTTTAAACATATTGTTTTTGCGTCATCAAAATTGATAGTTACGAAAGTGAAAAGCTTACAGTTTTCTGTTTCAAATTCGATAAAATAAAGTAAAAAAGTATTTCAAAAACTTTATCATATATTAAACGTGACAAAGATGTGAACGTGAAAATGATTTATTTTTTATCCGACTAGCAAGTGAAAGCAATGTTTTTAAACGGAGTTATTGTCCTAATTAGATAACTACATATAAATATAATTTGAGAAGATAATAAAGAAAATACTATTTATTGTTGAACAGTTTTGCAAAATATGTATAAATTAGAGCAATTTTTACAAAAGAAAATTTTAACGGGCTTGGCTAGACTTGAATTAAAAGCGTTTAGACCACCAAAGTTTGGGTTGCGTTTGTAGCAGTAATAAAATGTATGAAAAATAGTAAAGACTATAGAAAAATTACTAAACCAAAGAAGATATTTACCAAATGTATGCATATATGCTGGGTGTAATGTCCAACGTGGTTTTATACTGCCTACTATGAAGGCGTTTTGAAACATATCTCCTGTGAAATTACATATAACCACTTCATATATTTCTTTATATCAAAACAATAAAGGCAATAATATATATCCAGTTTAAAATAAATTACTTACGATTACAAAATATTTATTTTTAAACTCACCTTTTTCCATAAATGGAAACTTAACAACGACATGTCGTAGTCGGCCTTTAACGAGAGACATGCCGACATTGTAAACGTCACCTTAAAAAGTTATTTTTAGAATATACATTTTTATTAATAAGCACAATCACAGTATGCAATCATTGTTAACGATTTGATTAAATTAAACAATTTTTGAGTGTAACTTGAAATATTAATATACTTTTCTTTCCGTGTTACCTATATAGTTACTTCATGAAATGAGATCTAACTTTCGCGAGTATTCATTTATATGAAACTAATACTGTCAGCTTACTAGGTACGCGTTAATTCATTATTTTAAACTACATACTCCCGACGTTTCGGTAACTTTGCATCCGTGATCACAGACAGACGAGATAAAGGTAAAAATAAAAATAATGAAAGACGCGTCATCATCATCATCATCATCAGCCTATCAGACGCCCACTGCTGAGCAAAGGCCTCTTTCTCACATGGAGAAGATTTGAGCATTAATCACCACGCTTGCTCAAGACGTGTTGGTGATTTCAAACTTATAATTGTGAAACTATAAGTCCAGGTTTCCTCACGATGTTTTCCTTCACCGTATGTCAGTGATGTCTAAATACTCTCAGAAAGTACATATGACTCCGAAAAATCACATTGGTACTTGCCAGGTTTGAACCCGCGCCCTCGGCAACGAGAGACGGGCCCCTTAACCACTAGGCCACCACTGACTGAAAGACGCGTAGTAATCCGAAAATATTAGTTTCATTTACTTCAAGAAACCAGCCTTTGATTAAGAAGTTTGTTTCTTTGTTGTTGAATTTGTCCATTTTGTTACATTCCATAATTCATACTTCCACAAAGATTTCAATCGGTACGAATATAAAAAAAATATGTGCAACTATTCTGTATGAATATAAGTATATTGATTAGCAATTTTTACAAACTGTAACTTTTCATACGTTTACTATGATAGTACGTACCATTAGACATAACATGAGGATGAGAGGTGTGGTTCACAAGAGCGACACTCTTCATAAGATTCTTTCTCTCCATAGTGTCCAATGTCACCGGATTTATTCTATAATTGCAAAGCAATCACATTATATACTAACCAATTCATTCCATTATTGTATATTTTAGAGTCAAAGAAATATTTTGATTAAAATGAAAACGAAACTACATTTAACTATACTAGACTTCTTGTTTCTCTTTTTATAAAAAAACAAACTTGTGTGAAATCGAAATAATCAAAAGATTTAAAAGCTTATATTAAAATATAATTATATAGTATATATTGTTATGAGTTACCTATGAATGACTGGTCCTTCTGTGAACGCATACATTTCGTCTCCGAATGGATAAACTGAAATCATAGCGTTGTCTGATAAAGCGTCGCCTGGAGAAAATAGTGTAGCAAATCTGCAAATATAAAAAAGTGGTAGTAGAATTATGAAGGATACAAAAGGAAGGAGTATTTGCTTTATAAAAATATTTCAGATACATAGTTCTTACTAATAAAAACACGGTTGGATTTCTATTCACACATGTAATTTTAATAATTTCATTCTAACTTTTGTGTTTTAATACAAAAACTATTTATATTAAAAAATATCATAAGAGCACAGTTATATTTGACAATAAGATATTATATTTAATAGCTCTAAGTATGAAAAAAATTAGTAAACTAAAAAAACTAATATTACTAAGATTACTACTCGTATTTTATAATTTTAAAAACTACATACTCCCGCTGTTTCATCTAATTTTCAGCAACAGTGATCACGGGGCGGAACGTCGGGAGTATGAAGTTTTCAAAATTATATAATACGCGTCGTAATCCAAATAATATTAGTTTCATTTAAATGAATACTGGCAAAAGTCTTAGAACACTTTTTCCTGAATTACAAGTGGTTAGAAAAACAATTCTTACCTATCGAAAATCGAATGACAAGGATCTGGAACTGACTGAGTGCCGAAGTCAGTGACAACTATACGACCGGCGGACATGTTTCTATTGTAGGTGTTGGAACGAAGAAAACGACATTGATACGTCACCTGACCATCTTGTATGTTGAACCTGAAGATTTAATAAAAAATATTAAGAAGTCACGCAAATAAATATTATAAAGGGGGATTGGATTTGCATGAAATCACGGTACAAGTGAATCTTTTTCGAAACGTAAGCACATGGCTTTCAAATGTAATTATTCATAAATTATTCCCTATAGGGTAATAGAATTTTAGAAGATAGAGATGATAATGGGTTTTTTTTGATGTCGCAGGGAAACCCTTTTTACGACCTGTCCAACCGGCCTTGGTGGGGCCGGAAGGGATGTGTGAGGCTCGGCCTGGGCAGGCCCCTACTCACTAAAACCACTGCAAAAGCCGTCGGCCGCTATGTCGGTGTACCCCGACAGACCCCGATCTGTCAGCGACAGGGCTCACCAGCGACTGGCCGGTCCTGGCAAAGACCGGACTTACTCCCTCGGAGAAGAGATGATAATGATTAAACAATAGAAGCTAATACTTCAAACTACCCATTTTAATGATAACCTACTAATATAATTCAACAATACCATATACATAGAAAAAGTTTGATGAAAGACGATATACACTGACATCATAGAGTTAATGACAAATACTGTGTACAATTAATATATATTACACACAAATATAGATGTGCATTTCATCAAAATGAATGATAATATATGTACATATGTATCTGTTGCAAGCCACTTAAAGCTTTACTGGCTTTGGCTGCTCTGCCCAGCCTCTTTCACTTGCCCCTTGATGGCTGTAACGAGACATGTGATAAATGGACGAAAAAAATTTCAGACTTAAATGTTATTTTTTATTTTATTTACACACGTACACATGTTTCATAAAAGGTGGAGTTATGGGGTTATGTACAAGCTATTGAATCGTATATTTTTTTAGTAATATGACATGAAATTATTAAAAATAAAGAGAGAGTGATGAGAATTAAAATTCATGTTGCTTTATTAGAGTTCAAAATGATTCGTAAGGGTTAAACAAATAGAAACATTTCAAAGTTTATTTCAATAAAGTTTACATTTAGTTTGTTATTTTGTTTACCTGTGGAGTAACGCAGAGCTATCAAACAGGTGTTTGAATCTCATTGAGCCAACTTTTAAAGACCCGGGCCCGTTGCGGATTAGACTTCCTCGGATCCATCTTGGAAAGTCTCCTGGGAAACCGTTTTATGTAAATTACCTCTTACTTCTTAATACCTGTGTAACCTTCTTGTTAAAATTCGTATCCAGTGTGAAAATAATACAAATTGAATCTTCGTTATATTCTATTTTAATAATAATTAGAAGAATCTATCTAACATCAGAGGACTAATTCCGATGTGGGCTGTTTCAATCTAATAATATTTATTTGTTAATTAGAGTACTATTTACAAAGTGCTTTTTTTAAACAAGCGTATTCTTTAAAAACATTTTTATTTAAACACTTTAGGCACTTTTCGGCCTTAAAAGAGAAAAACATTAAATTTCTTCATATTATTTCTTTAATAAGAATACATATACTTTTTCTTGCCTTTCTTCTTGCCTCCGAAAGAAGACTTATTACGTAGATTAGAACTTACCTACAAATAGTGCTTTTATCAATGCTACAAATAATAAAGTCCCACTGTTGATTGTTGACCTTAAACCTTCATACCATATATGTAAAGGACTATATTTACTTTTACTTTGTATGTTATTTACCTGTAATTTCGCCGGTTATCGGCTCATTGACTTCAACTTCACAAGACCGAAGCCAGACTTGGTTGTCACAGTTTGGATAAAGTTTTTCTTTACACTGTTCCATTGTATTATTTATTGCAATTGCTTGTAATTGTTCACCTTATTTCAATATAAACAAATGAATCATTTATATAACTAAAAACAAATATTTGTGCAAGAAATTATGAATTGAACAACACCAATATCAAACCTCTACTGAACTAAGCGGTCTCAATGATATGAAAAGTCTAATTTTTAATATGAAAAAACAGCAACTTGGCAATTTTTAGATCACTTTAATCATTTTTCGTATGAAATTATCAAAAGAAATGCTTCGTGAACATCGGTAGTAGACTCATCACATTGCCAAAAATAAACCGGAAACAACTATGAAGCTCAGAGCGAGCGAACGGTGCGGTGTTATTCAGCGAAATAACAGTTCTTAGGGCGGCTTCACCCCGACATAGACCTTCATATAAACCTGTGTTCCCACTGCTCAAGATGAAGCGGGAATCAAAAACATATAAACTAATTGTAACGATCTTGCTATAACAGAATAATCTTTCCACGAGTGCAAATTAATATCTATATACATTTGTGATAGAAATCAAGCAAAACCATCTAACATTCTAATTAAAAATCATGAGATTTACGTCATTATTTTTTAATTTAAAACTGAAATTAATATCACTATTGTTTATTCTGACTCAGAAAATTATTCATCAACGATATTTCCGCAAAAAATTTAACCTTATCCGTGAGTGTATTAAATTCCCTCAACATATTTAATTGTGTAGAATTTTATGTGCCGTATTGAAAAGCCTTATCACCAACATACTACCTTTAGTATAGTAAATAAAACAGGAAAAGGAAACTCGTATGATTGTTCAGGGTTAATTCCTTAAAACTATAATAATAAATAAATGAAATACACATAAATAGCACACGTTTGTTTAAGCCCCATCTCATTAATCGTAATATGTTTTTCTTTTTTTTTTTTAAATAATCGCTTAAACTATAGCCGCGCCCTGACTCAATGAACTTGAACGGAATTAGAAATATATACAGAGGTCATGAAAAAAGTACTTTACAGTTAAAAAAATAAAATTTATTAATGAAATGAAATACAGAATATCTTAAAGAACAGTATATTAATACTAAATGTATTGGTTTCCATCAACAATATTTTATTTTCAGTATATATCTGTATGTAAATTCCAGGAAATGTATTATATTGAATATTCGTATTTAAATTATTTAATTGCAGCAGGTTACCTTGTAATCTGTTGTTTTATCATACTTATTATTTGCAATTTTGGTAACGTATTAAATTAGTTTTATTATACGTAATAAATAGGGTAATAAGAGATTGATAAAACAGACAGATGACCTAGGCCCTGTACATATAACTTCGACTTAACATTGACTCCAATCATCAATTAGCATTGAACATCACTAATCAGGTAATTACTTTGCAGTTGTTCCATCCTCAATTTAGTTCGACACTCACTAATATTGGATAATCATTACTTATCTTTTGTTATCAAAAACTCAAAGCGCAGGTCGGGATAAACAAATCAGTTTATAATTTTAATCTATTCACTTATTTTTTCATGCAAATTTTAAGTTTCTGTTGTGCAAGTATAACAAATAAAGCCTTTTAAATAACTGACTGTTTTTGTTTGTAAAGAAATATGAATGAAGCTTTATTAAAAGAAAGCTTTATTTGCAAGGTCGTATATAAGGTATATAATTATTTTAACCCAAAATAATTCGATTGTTATAATATTATATACAAAACATTTTTTAAAACGCTATCAAGATTATAGCTATAACCCATATAGTCTAGAAGAATTTAAATACACACGGTGAAATATTTGTGAATTATAAAAATACACCAACTATATTATACACTTTGCTCCTGACATTGAAATCGTCAAAGCCAATAGAATAGATCGGTACAAACCATAAAAGACATCGTCCCTTAGAACAAGATAAAATTATATTTAAATATTTTGTCTATGACATAATTACGAGACCTTTTTTTAACTTGAATTAAAATTTATAAGATACAGTACACCACCGAAACCGCGACTTTAAGATATTGTCGAAATAACAAGGAAATTTATATAAAAAAAATCAAGTTTTATGACGTACAACTTTATTTAAACCGTTAAATTATTGTTGCATGAGTCAAAGTATGATGGCGCTAATAAAAAGTATCCTCAATATACTGTATGATTTTTATAAAGTGATGTTAAGTTTGAACCCTCGTATCGTTTATAACTCGGGTCGTATGTAGATTGGATGATGTGTATAGAGTGTAGGGGAACGTTCCGTGGCGACCTCGCCCCTACAAGGTCACTATAACTACATCGTATATTTGTTTCGATTCTTTTATTTATTTAAATAATATTATTATATCAATTAAGTTTCATATAAAATCTTTACGAGCCAATTGATTGTGTTATAGAGACATTTAAAAGAGTATTTAAACATTTCTTTTAAGTATTTTGTCAACATATTTAGTTTTAAATATTAGGTACACTAATTGGTTTACCCTAAGTTCAAGTATAGGAGGAAATAGTAAGTTGAGTTTTTAATATAATTAAATTTTAAATATACGATGAGTTAATATGTTTATTTAACACCTCAAGTGAATCAATATTCCTCTCTGATTTTGCGAATTCTTAATGACTGTTGTTCAAAATAAAATTTCGAAGCCTTTCTAAAGTTGAGTTGTAAAACAGTCACGTGAAATAAGACTTGGGACTTCGCTTTAGGGAAGTGACTCACGTTCTTGAAGGCATTGTATTTATTGCTCTTGGTTTAAACTATAGGAACAAAGGAAATAATTCTCTTAGACACGTAACTCTTATATATGTAGTATTAATAAATCTTAAAAAATAGAAGCATCCTGATTGTTTTTCGCTTGTGCATAGGTTTTTTTTTCTGGATGTACATATTAGTACAAAAATTAATGTAATATTTTATTTGTAACATTATACGTATTCCACGATTATCCATCATTTAAAGGACGATCTATTTGTAAGAGCAGGATGCTATGAATCATTTAAAATTCAATTTTCCACTCTTCATAATTACGCAAAAACGTGATCATTTGAAGACAATGAAAAAAACTGCACGTGAGTGTTATGAATTTTATCATGTTTCTTAATAATACAAGTAGGTTGTAAATTAAACACATTTTAGAAGATGGATACAATTTTTCAGTTTATTCACACTTTAGTTTTTACGAGCATCTTAATACTCATAATTTTAGTTTTAATAAACGAAAAGACTATTACATTTTTAATTATTAAGTACATGATTTAAGTTATACATTTAAGTTTCTTGTCTTTTTCTCCTGCAAGGCTCGCAAACTCTACAGGGTGTACAGTAACACCCTGGACATATTTTTGATGGATGGACGAAGTATTCATCACCAACAGCGTGGCAGCGGCCAAGATTTAACATGTCTTCCAAATCACATCTAAAATCATACAATACAAGATAACTTTTTATTTAATGGGCTTGTGTGCATTAAGGAAGTACGGAATGTAAAAGTTTCTCATTTATAATTCTTCTCCTTCGCACATTATTTATAGTAAAACAGAATTTATTGGATACGAAACGCGGAAGGCTTCGTTTGTAGTTTGACGGTTCAAAAATAAGCTAAACATACTATTATATAGATTAACCAACCACATTATCAACTACCTAGCTAGAAAAGGATAAATTCCCACAAAAATATTTCTGACGATCCGTGATTTCGCAAAAAAAAAATAGGTTTCACATTTAATCGAAATATAAAGACACTAAAGACCAATTAACATAATTTATATGTCTTAAGTCCAAAAACAAATTAATATTTCTAATGTGATCTATGTTTTGGAAATTTTTAGTATAATTGCGTGAGAATGAAATATATTTATTTCTATTACTTGCTGTCCTCTAGGAGCCTCGTCTCTGCTTCGTTCAGGTTGGGCACCGCGTACTCCTGGATCCCGTTCTTACCAACAGTCACGGGCGTCGCACAAATCGGCATGTTGTAACATTTTTCAGGATGCGCCTGTTCTACTAGCGCGCTATCGATAAACGTTGGTTTTTCGAAGAGTCCTTTAAAATATATACAGAAAAATTATTCACAAAGAACTTTTAAAGGCCAAGAATATGATCGTTTATAATTTGACTTGAACAAAACTAGGTTTTTGACAAATATAAGGAGTTTAGAATCATAAAACGGTCTCTGAGAAACATTTTTAACCTTTCATAATATTGACAACAAATCTAGCGGTAGCGAAGCCCATAGAAAGATGACCCTGTTCACTGTTACTCTTCACTTTACAGATGATGTCGTCCGCTTCTCTCACAAGACGTGTCAGACAATCAACCTGAGTCTATAGAAACAGGACATAACATATAAATAACTATATCCACTTACTGCAAACACAATATATGCAAATTAATTTAAAACGTATTTCCATAGTATTTAATAATATTTAATTCTCAAATTACATCGTTTAATATGGTACTGTAACTCAAGCTAACCAATGAAGCTTGACCTTAAACCTGATACTCATCGAAGGTCAGTTGCTTCTCAAGGGAATAATGGGAGGTTACTAAATTGTTTTATAGCTCTAACCTCTAGGGATCACCCATGAAATCATTTTCATTGTTCTAACTAAACAACTATCTGATAGTATGATGTATTAGATTAAATAATGTTTTATTAAAAGAAAAATGGCATTAATATTGCTATTTTACTGCTGAATTCTTCAAAAACAAAATATCGATCATAAAACTATTGTAAAATAAAAGGATCGTATCAGTAATATCTTCAATAGAATCATAATGAGCTCTTCAAAATACGATACCTGTGGAAAATTGCTAGCATTACCAGCGGAGAACACAGGGACCCTCGTACATCGGCCGGTCCCACAGATGACGGGAGTCGACCTGGTGGATGGATCAGATCCAGTTATGGAGCAGAACAACTGGTTGGCCCTCATAGAGTTTATAGCGTTCACGCCAAGAACCTTGCGCTTATCGTAAACCCGAGCTAGTTGCAAAGTCTGGGGGATTTACCGGTAATAAGCTAGATTAACTCAGATTTTGAGTTTAAATATGTACTCGATTAATGTGTTCGTGGTTTACAATTACTAACATGTATACATAGCGCAAAGTTGCAATCTACAGGAGGAGTTTGGATGGCTATTACAGCGTGGGGACAAAATTCAGCGCAGGCTATGGTCACTGTTCGCACATGTTGGAGGTTCTCGAAAAATAATTCTCTGTCTTCAATATTGCAACACGGCGGCATCACGTAGTGACCGCCGCAGATGAGAACTACATCTGCGTCCTGCAAGATTATGTTAACTCAGAAGTATCAACAACCGATTTGATTTACACAACTAGGTAAATCAAAGTAAACTCTTCTGTAATCTGGGTTGTGACGAGTATTTACCTATAATAATATGAAATTTACGGTAATGAACTTAGACACTTTCCAAATCGATAGGTTCGATAAGATTTTTTCAAGTAGGTTTTTAAATACATCTCTCTAAATGAAAGTACACCTTACAAGTTACTTTAAATATATATTTAGTACCCATAGGGCTGTTTTTAGAAAGGCTCGTCCTTGATAGGCTTCTATCTCTGTGCTGGTGTCTATGTGAGCAACGTCTGTAGCCATACCAAGGACTTTGTTATTTGGGTCATCATCATACAAGGCTAGTGTCTTAATAAGCTTCTCCTGTTTTAAGAACAGTGACGCCACACAACCCACGTCACTACCAGCGCCGACGACGGTTACCTTACCATCAAAAATAACAAACTTTAATATAGCAACTTCTTTTTCTACCTGGCAATTTCCCAGCTATAGCCAGGGTCTGCCAAAAACTTTAATATAGCAACTATGGTCATATGTAATCATATAGACAGTACATGCTGTAAAAGAATACAAACTTTTTTAGGTGGAAATCTTGGTACTGGACAGTATTTCTCACATTCCCTTTCGAGATGCGCCAAAGCTTCGGACATTACATAGTTCTGGTATTTAGCTATCGTTTGTGATGAGACATTGTTTGATCTCAAGAGGTAAGTCATTTGTCGGAACATGGCTGAGTTACTATTAAGTATATGTAGCACTATTAAATGTGATTGTTATTTGTATTTCGTGGAGTTATATCAGAATTTTTGTTACTGTTGTTTTACATATTTTTTACTTATTTTACATTTTGTTGATCTATTACGTTTCCTTTTTTGGGTTTGTCAAAATACGGAAATAAGATGACAGGTAAATTAAAAAAATACAGAGATATTTCTTGATGAAGTTTTTAATGATTAAAGAATAAATTCCACTAAAACTTGTTATGACTCAATTCTTTTTGCACGAGAGTATATTGTAACGAAATTAATTAATTGTTTTATTTTATTACTAGCTATCCTAGTTCGGTTATATCGCGTTTCCAAGAGAACCTTTCAAAAGTCTGGGATAAAAACTATCCTATGTTCTTTCTGAAGGTCAACTCCATCTCTGCACCAAATTTCATAAAAAATCAGTTCAGTGGTTTAGGCGTGAAAGTGTAACAGACAGACAGACAGAGTTACTTTCGCATTTATAATATTAGTAGGGATTATTGGACAACTAGATTCTCAGTGTACTTTATCCTTTCGTTGTAGCTCTTCTTCGTACCTGGACAGAGCGATATGCTTTCTTCTTCATAATGAGAACAAGGAAAGATTTGGAGTTTATCCGCGTCTGTGTTTCTTTCGCTTTATAATTTGAGAGTTTTCAAGGCTACAGTGAATAGACTGATAGAAAGGTAGTGCATTAACCGTCTATGACTTAATTCCTACCCACCAAAAAGTGGAATGACATACATGACTGGAAAATTCCAATCATTAATAAAATATAATAAGACTTTATTTTTAAATAAAGTTAATCATACACTAAAAGGATATTTAAAATAAAACAAACATAGAACAGACATCAAATTTTATAGATAAGTTTCCATATAATAGATACGTAACATTAATAATGGGTATATTGTCTACGGACGCGGCATACGAGGATTCATACAACACAGGAATTAAAAATGACTAGAACTATACAGAGTGAGAGCCGTCCAGAATAACGATTATTAATAGAGAAATAAAACAACTTTCATACACGCTTACAATCATTATACACAAGTTAAAATACAAATACAATCTGAGATTGAAAAAAAAAAACAATAAATAAAAGCTTCACTTAATAAATCTATTAACTAAATAACGTATAATATATTAGAATAAGTACAAAAACATTTTATTGGCAGTTGAGATGACTTTTATATTAATAATGTTAAGTGTTACGTGTCTTTAGATATCACTACATGCTTTGTAATATAATATATAAACAAATAAATCATCCAACACATGTTTTAGTTCAAACTAAAAACTAAAAATACAATAATTTAACAAAACTATATATATTTACAAATAAATATATATAAGACAAACGTGTTAGTTGATTTAACGTTATAAAAAACAAAGCATTAATAAAAATTAATTCTAAACTATACAGTGCATAGACTAAAATATAATATAGATAAAAAAACAATCTAATTTATAGTCTGTGGTCATTATTTGAGGTTAGACATGTGACATTTGATGACATGAATGACGAAATCCACAGATAATATAACAACTAGACGGCCCGTGATATTAAAATCCCTAAATATAACGTGCAAAAGCCCTTCCTTACTCACAACCCATTTCGAAATACTTAGAAGTATATCATAAGAAATGTGCCAATCACTAGTTACACTCCGCTTTGTATTAATATTGAGGTTTCTGTTATTCGAAACATATAAACATACATACATATGTATATGTATATATACAAGCGGAGTGAACAAATCTTACATCTACTAAATAACAATGGAAGCGGTAAGACAATTTTTTTTTTTTGAAGACGAACATTTAAAAAGAAAATTCGCTAAGAACATTACTATTATATATATTAAATATTATTGCACTTACATCCTTTTAGAAAAAATCTTTATACTGATGTAACATTTGATAGGAAGGGACATCCTAATTACGATTAATGTGCATTCCATACTAAAACTAAATTATTCGATAACATAGAAATTCATTATTATAGATTTATGAAAATACAGCATCTGTATGAAAAAGGGAGATTACCGAGAACGAATATATTTAAAAAACTGTTTAATATTCCAACATCTAAAAGGATCCAAAAGATATCATTAAGACATTATATTTTTAATGTAGGATAAATAGGAAAGAGACCTTTAACTGATTACTTATAATAATTTCAATTCTTGTGCAAATGAACATTCTTTTGATAAAAATTTATGTACAGTTTTCGAGTTATAAATAAATAAATTTCATTTCACTCATTTCACATGGATGACAATGAATAAATGACCAAAAAATATATATTCCAATGGTTCTAGTACATGTTTTCACGTCACACTACATACGCTTCGTCACCCGTTTCTCATACAATAACCTAAATAAATATGTGCGAAGATTTATTAATGAAAATCTGTTCACGTAGTATGTAGTGTGACAATGCTAGCTTGTACTAAACAGACAAGTAGCCGGTTCGAATCCTGTGCGCGTTACTGTATTTTTAATTTAAATTCAATATTACTTTTATGTGAGAAAAATTCCGTTCTTAGGAAGCGTTTTAACCAACAACTTGAACACCTACAGTTCGACGTATCGTCGTTCATAAATCTTGTATTGTGTTCAGTTGGAATGTGAACTCAAAATGCACATACATACAGACGTTTTCAGTGTGGACAATATTTTAATAGCTGTCTTAACAATATGCCTACCAAGTTTTAACGAGAAAAAATATATTTATATAGAAAAAAAGTATTAATTCTTAGTCGATATATATTATTATCTTTACAATTAAATATATCAGAAGCAAATAAAAGCTGCTCACTACTATACTATTCTTAGGGGACTAATTGGCAAAGGTTTTACAAGATATACAAGTTTTAACCGTGAGCTGTGGAGATTCAACGTAGTTTAATATATAATTATAAAGCAGTATATATACACGATATTCATATACAAAATAACATGAATTGTAATAGATTTGGTCAGTGTGAACGCGCCTTACTATAAAAGACCATTCAGATCATCCGCCTAGTAAATAATACTAATGAAGTTTCCACAAATTTTATTTAAATTTCATTATATGTGCGTATTGTGAACAAACCTCATGTACGAGTATATTGTGACAATGTAACTATTATTTGATATCCAATAGGTTGATACAATTTTCAGGAAAACAAAACAAATTAACAAAAAAAATAGAATCATCGAATGGGAATTAAATCAAAGAAGAATAAATCTCGTTAAACATATAATTTAGGCCGAAACTTCAAACGTTTCCAAGGTACATGGGAACAAACAAACAAACATACAGTTACACAAGGCAAGAAGTGTCGCGAACTACTCATAACATTCACCTACCTACTACCTCCGTGACTACTAAATATTATTTAACTTTTACAACACTACCGGTTTTTTCTAAAATGCGTATTATTATCTTCTAATAATATTATTCCGTTATATATTTGTCTATCAGCTTATCAACAACTACTCTCAGCTAAATCGAAACATTAAACGCTTACAAGTACAAGGCTTCCTCTATAACTTACTTTAACCTACATACATTCAACTAGTGAACGAGTGAACGAAAGAACGACAGAAAGAACGAACGAACTATATAATATACAAGTGCTACTGATTACAATTGTCTATAGAGATGTATAGAAAGAGATTCCCTGTTTTAATTCATGGCTTCTTAAGGTATACAAAAGGTTACGATTAAAAAATAACAGATTCAACTTCACAAGAAATATTTATAAAAAATGTTATTCATCTAATATACATTGGAAAATACTTAACGTACGAAGGTCTTTATGGCATGGCACTTGGCTTGTGGCTTGTGGCGACACACTCAGTGATGTTATCGATTTATTATTAATCGATTTATAATGTAATCGATTTATTCATAAGTCATTATTGCACGGTCTCGACAATGTTATTAGTTAGTGAAGTTCCGTCGAACTCACTGGATTCATTGAACGAATGTAAACATGAATGAACGAATGAAGGACTGAATGATTATATGAACGAACGGATCGAAAACTTCCAACGGAATTTCACTAATTAATTCCTTAAATCTAAGTAGAAGGGAAATCGCGTAGACGCTAACATTTAAGACAAACTAAAATTATTTAAGTACGTGACGCCATATTATAAATATATTAAACATATGTATTGAAAAATAATCTTTATAGAGATATTATTTAAGGTATAAATTATAATTTGATGGCAACAACGGCATGATGCGTGTTAAAGTAATTGAGCAATCATATTTGTAATGTTTGAATCCAAATAATATAAAAATAGCAATATCATAATAAAATATTTCTTTCGAAGTTATAAACGAGATCGATCAGTGACTGGCTTAGAGTTTAATACAAACGGTTGTTTAATATAAATCATTCTTTTAACTCAGATCTGTTGAACGACTAGACTTACTGTGGAATGTGGCTTACGATCTGTGATGAAGTTACAATTGTATGAAAACTAATATATATAGGGAAATAAAAACTGTAGATATTATTAAAATGTATATTATTTGTGCTTCAGCGTGTGCGTTCAGTTCAAACGATTATATTAAACTGTTTTAGTCTTGTCTGTTGTGAGATGTGATTTTGTTTGTACGTTGTAGGTATCCCTAGTACGAGTTTGTTTCGATTCAAACTAACGTATCGACGATTTATTTATCACGATATAAGATGCTACATACATTTGATGAACTTTGAAACAGTATGTTAGCTAATTAATGATTCTCGTACAGGGCTATGTGTTAGTATATTTGGGTAGTATGCGTTTTATTGTGCGATAATCTTCACGTCCAGTGACTAACGTATCAACGTCGTTTCGTATCATACGAGGGATCTGGAGTTAAATGCAAAAGTTATTTGGGGCTTCGCTGACGTCACTCGGCACTAACACTATAGAACGAAACTAAAACTATGAGATGCGGAGGCGGGAGGTCACCCGCTTAGCTCCTTAGGAGGTAATATCACAGATACCTAAAGGAAATTAACACGCAGGGGAGGGGGGAGGACTAGCCCTCCGGACCGGCGCCGCACAGCTGCTTTAACTCCTGCAACTCCTGAAACATAGAAACCATACATTTATGAATACTTTGTTGTGTGTGAAAATAGGATAACGTTTGTGAATCTGTGTGCTTGTCTAAGTCTAGGAAGTGTGATTGGGTGGGCGTATATAAGGGTAAATACTTGTATATGTTGCGTGTGTGTGCGTGTGTGTGTGTACCTGGTCGCGGTGTTTGAGTAGCGCGGCCCGTAGTCTCTCGTGCGCATGTAGCAGCTGCTCGCAGCTCACCTTGTGAGCTTTCTCCAGTCGGGAGCACTCCGTCACGCCGCGGTTCACCGACTACATACATATAATATATTTAATACAAGTTTATTCATATTTAAACAGTACAATACCTATGTAATAGCAATGTATGTAGTCAGTGGTGGTCTAGTGGTTAGAGGGCCCGCCTCTCGTTGCCGAGGGCGCGGGTTCGATCCTGACTCGGGCAAGTACCAATGTGATTTTTCCGAGTCATATGTACTTTCTAAGAATATTTAGACATCACTGATTAATGCATTCCCAAAAGAGGGTTGATGTCAGGCAGGCGGGCCGGTCGTAAAAAAAAAAACAATTAGCCAAAACTATTCACAACATATTCAGGCAGATCCTGGCTATAGCCGGGAAATTGCCAGGTAGAAGAAGAGCAATGTCTGTATTTTTTGTCTTCTATTATCTCATAGTTTCCATAACCCACCTCAGAGTCTATCTCTCTCTTTCTCCTGAGTAGTTCGTCCTTGTCTCTCGCACTCTTCGCTAATGTCTTAACATCTTCCCTCCTGGAGCTCGCCAATCTATTCAATATCTCCTTCTTTTGTATATCCAACGACTCCTGAAATAAATTAATACATTTATCTTAGTATTTATATATAAAAGAAATTACTGAGAAATTCTGTTCTATTGATATAGTACCTTCGTATTTCGAAGGTAGTCCTAGTAGGTTCTTTTCAAATTTGGTTGAGAGAGGAGCTTGGACAATGGAGGTGAGCGTATAACGCGCGTTAGATAGGGTCCTTAAACCTACATCTGGGTCACAAGTCCCAGTCACTATTGAAACTCCTCTGTACAACGATGGACCCGACACACGCACGGTGAATACATTGAATGATGAGAGCATTCGTCTCTACCGCAGTGAGTATATATACAGGATGACTGGTGAATTACTATCAATATTTAAGGAGCATACTCGGTACATGATTCTCATTCGAATTATGTAAAAAAAATAGGTACTTAATTTTTGATCAAATTTCCGTTTAAATAAATAAAGTGTGGACACGTTCTAAGTGTTCCAAGTGTGGACGCGTGCGGCGGCGTGGTGGTGTATCAGCGTAATTAATTACATAACTTTTGGTTAACTTTACTTAGAAGTTTATTAATATTTATGTTATATTAATTTTTATTTTGTCATATATGATCGTCAAATATCACGTCCTCAAATATCGATAGTAATTCACCAGTCACCCTGTATATAGACAGAGTATGATAGTCGGTGGTGGCCTAGTGGTTAAAAGTCCCGCCTCTCATGCACGAGGGCGCGGATTCAATCCTGGCCCTCATAACATGTGAACTAACTACATAACATGTAAGGCAGACTCTAGCTATAGCTGGGAAATTGCCAGGTAAAAGAGAAGAATATCTCTCGTGTATGTACGTACAGTGAGGTGTTTCATCTGGTGGTGATGGTCCAGCCTCAGTTGTTTGTCGAGCGCCGCGTATATCGCGTGGTGGTAGCGCAGCCGCAGTTCTCTTTCCGCTTCCGCTCCGCCGCCATCTTCCGTTTCCTCCGCCCTAAACATTATATACACATACATATTAATATTTTAGTACCACTATGATTTATACGAAACTAGCTGCACCCCGCGGTGTTACCCGCGGATTTCTTGAATGTAAAGTAGCCTATATGTTATTCCTAGACATCAGCTTCCTGTATACAAAATCTTATCAAAATCGGTTCAGCCGTTTGAGCGTGAAGTAACAAACATGTACACACTCACAAACTTTCGCGATTATATTATTAGTAGGAAATTACGACTGTAGGGAACAATAATTCGTTTAAACTATTTGGTAAATCATTTTAAACCTTTCTTTAGTACAGTATAGGTGAATAGACAGATGTCTTTAATATATGTAAAGAAAATTCGTTGCCGTATTTTATTTATCTGTATTTAGCTGCCGAGACTGTATCGCCATTGGCTTATTGTACTGTGCTAATTATGTGACAGATACTCTGGAAGAGATTTTGTGCTGTTGTATATTTGGAACATTACAATAAATAAATTAATTAATTAAAATTTGTGAAATAATAAACTTTATATGTCGTTTCTTTGTCTACAGGTTTGTGTTTGGGTAATAGGTAGTAAATTGGAGTTTATTTTTTTTTATAAGGTTTGTAATAATAAAACTCCTTGTCTACAGAGCAACACATTCATGTCTTTTATTTCACAATCGAAGATTGTATAAGCTTATATGTATATATAGTCTCGGAGAACTTCGTATCGCCCTATAATCAAGAAATATCTGTTACGTTTTTTTAATAAATAAAGTTAGGTTATACCTTATCCTCAGAAACACGTGTTGGTTATGCTATTATGTATTAAATAGTTGCTCATATGTGACGTTTGTATTTTTAACATAGCGCCATCTACGGAATACTTAACTCAGTCAGCAGATAATTGTAATAATGACAAATAATTTTCTTTAATAGACAAATAATTAATTTGCAATAAAAAATATTGTGACTATAAATTGAGATGTAAGCTATCCTATTTCAAGTTGGATCAAAAGGCACACTGAATGCAAATCAAATTTAAAATCGGTTTAGTAGTTTAGGAGTCCATCGCGGACAAACACGTGACACGAAATTTATATATATATATACAGGGTGACTGGTGAATTACTATCAATATTTAAGGAGCATACTCGGTACATGATTCTCATCCGAATTATGTAAAAAAAATAGGTACTTAATTTTTGACCAAATTTCCGTAAAAAATAAATAAAGTGTGTACACGTTCCAAGTGTTCCAAGTGTGTACGCGTGCGGCGGCGTGCTGATACAACACTACGCCGCCGCCGCGTCTGTGTGTGTGTGTGTGTGTATACCTAATCTGTAGGGTGTTCATACGATGCGTAATTAATTACATAACTTATGGTTAACTTTACTTAGAAGTTTATTAATATTTATGTTATATTAATTTTTATTTTGTCATATATGATCGTCAAATATCACGTCCTCAAATATCGATAGTAATTCACCAGTCACCCTGTATATATATATATAGTGAGTTATATGTATTCTTACATATTCCTAGTTGATAGTCTCTTCACAAAGAACTTAGCGGCCACGGGTCTAGTCTTAGTATTTTTCCTCCTCAGCGCGTCTAATTTCCTCGCTAAATCCGCCTTTTTTTCTTTAACTATTTTACTGTTCAACAATTCTTCTAGCGTCTTGTTTATATCTTCTTGTGTTTCGTTGCCGCCGTTGAATTTACTATCGGTCTCCTCTGAAATATTTTTTTATATGTGATTTATCTTATGTTATTATATAGCGATTTAATATAAATATGTTATATTTGTTAATACCTGGTATTATTTTTTCGGGTTCCGTCGCTACAGTCGGTATTTCATTGTCCTTTTTCTCGACGGCAGCTTTGATGGGACTTCCATCGATATTTTTATTACCGAGACCGAGAACCTGTAATATTTCCGTACATTTGAATCAGAACAATAAAACATACTATATTCTAAATTAAGACAACGTTTTCATTGAGTACAGAGTCTTAAGGGAACTGCACTAGATTAAACTACTTTGGATAATGAGATCTAAGATTTTCGCTAGTTCTATTCATTTAAATGAAACTAATATTTTTCGGATATACTACACGATTTTATTTTTATAAAAAACTACATACTCGTCTGAGCAATACCACGGTTCCTGAAAAGTAGCCGAAACTTTGGGAGTATATAGTTTATAGTTAAAAAAAATCGCGTAGTAAATCTGATAATATTAGTTTCTTCTTCTTCTACATGGCAATTTCCCAGCTTTAGCCAGGGTCAGCCTTTTTATATATTAGTTTCATTTATGTATATAGTTTTTTACGAAAATAAAATACCGAAGTTTATCCGAAAAATATTAGTTTCATTCAAGTACATATATATTTTTTACAAAAATAAAATACCGAAGTTTATCCGATAATATTAGTTTCATTAAGTACATATATCGTTTTTTACAAAAAAGTCCGAAGTATATCCGTAAAATATTAGTTTCATTTATATAAACTACTTCGGATTTCACAGTTTGTACGTTTTTCATGTCTGTGTGTATCATTCTACTCTCACAGATTGTACGTTCTACATAACCCTGTGTATCGTTCTACTCACCCTTGTGGGTCGTTGAGGCGTCGCCTCTGCTTTCGGTTCTTCGGTGTCGTCTGTGAGTACGGCCAGCTGGTGAGCTCGTCGCTCCATATCTGTTTGATACTTGATAGGATTCTCTAAAGCCTTCGCCAACTCGCTGTGACGACCTGGGACGTAATCCTGGAAAAAACAATTATATATCGTAATAATATCTTATACATATATTACACAAAAATATATGTAGTTGGGTATAGTGCAAATCCGCGTAACTACCATTGGATAATTCCGCGTATGTACATTGGAAGCAGATCATCAGAAGAAAGTTTTGAGCTGAAATATTGTTGAAATAGTGTATCAAAATTTATTACTGCTAACGCCACCTATGCAAAAGTATGTTAACTGTGTATCTCATATATTGTCAAAGTTAAATTTGAATAAATAGTCTGTTGCGAATACTTGACGTGTCTTTATAAATATTTTTTATATTAACGACTTTTAAGGTATTTTTTTCCCAATGAGCAATAAATTAAATACTAAATAATTATCTAATAATATTAATTCACAAGTTATATTAATTAGAGTATTATCCGCCATACCTTTACTTGGACGTGCAGCAACAGACTGGCGGGTAGTGGAAGCCCTAATTCAGTCCGAAGCCCCACGTGTCTATACCCGGGGCAAAGCCCTAACACAGGTAAGACGCGATGTCCCACAAGCCTACCGCCCTCCTCGTGAGCCGCAATACGGACCATCGCTAATTCAGGTAGTACTACCTAGATGAACAAATAATGCTATGAAACATGGTCACTTACTTCACGATGGATTATAAACACATTTAATGTAGTACTAATGTAAAGACTAACTTAAATAAAAATGGGGGGAATAATATTAGTAACATAACTTGAATGACATTACGTAACCGTTTATTCACTCTTGCCTTGAAGTCATTTAGTTTTTTAATGCTAAGAAAAACAGATGAAGGCAAACTATTCCAATCCACTTCTTTGCAGCCGTGCATGCTACTTCATTAGGATTGGAAAGTTTAGGAGCTAAGAAACTTGCCTTGTGTAGGTAGTCCGGTGTTAAAAAGAGGCTGATGAAATTATATCGGGAAGTCAATAACCAAAGTCTATCTACTTTACGCGTGTGGCCAAGCTTTGTCATTATCTTGATTGGTTTAAACTAAATTTTGGTCATTATGAGGCATTTTGAAATTCTCTCATTTGATCCAAAGCTTCTTCTGTCTATACGTGACAGTCGTACATACAATCGGAATTCTATTTTATATATACAGAAACTATCCCATGTAACGTGATACCTACTAACAAAGTTTTCTTGCAGCTTGCCTTCATCACAATAAACTGTCTCATGTGAAGGTTAACGATGCCTCTTATCCCTACTAATATTATAAATGCGAAAGTAACTCTGCCTGTCTGTCTGTCTGTTACGCTTTCACGCCTAAACCACTGAACTGATTTTAATAAAATTTGGCACAGAAATAGAGTTGACCTTGAGAAAGAACATAGGATAGTTTTTATCGAAGACTTTTGAAAGTTTCTCTTGGAATCGCGATATAACCAAAATCCACGCGGGCGAAGCTGCGGTCGGAAAGCTAGTACATAATAAACGAAAGCGATTGTTGTATACAAAAAAAGTTGTTAGTCACGGTTAAGGAATACTTTTGATGGCGTTAAATTACATTTTACAACAGATTGAAAATGACTTTTTAATCCTCATTACTGCTGTTAATTACATTTTATACAAAAAGTTATAAAAAATGGCATGTATTACTAAATAATAACTTTTCAAATCAAAAATTTAAACACTTCAAACAAATACTGATTTAGCTACCTATCTTTTGATTGTGATTTGATGTGATTGATCTTTCTTAGCGTTTGAGTGTCATCAAATTTTGTAACGCTAAAAATAATTGTAAGGTAAAAATCACACGACATATGGTTTTAATTTTCAATAAACAAACGATTAGAATGTAATATGAAGTTATGTTTGAAACAGATGTATTTAAATTTTAATAATGAATCGTCGGTAGCACAGGAGCACAATCAAATTGCCTCCAATATGTGTCATCAAAATATGTACACCTAAGTCTGTTTTTACACGGTCTTTTTGTACACGGTTTGAAAATTGAATATTTTTAATTTTTTTACACGATTTTATTCCATTTAGCACGATTTGAAATTTTATGTACTTAATTTTTTTTTGTGAAATTTAATTTTTGCGAAGTATGTTCATATCACAAAAAAGTATTTATGAAAGAAAAAGTCTGAAACCATCGATAGTATCGATAGTTTGCGAACACTAGCTTAAAGATTTAAGTGAATTCCCCTTTAGCGCGTACAAACAATTTTTACTGGTCAAAGCAAATGTGAATAGCACTAATTTAGGGGAATTCCCTTTATGTGCATATGTATGTTACTTTTAAGATTAGAGTGCATATCTTTTTTATCATTAATTACTATGCTTGTGAAAATAAGCATTATATATTTGATTTAATAAAATAAACATGAATTCTTGTTCTTAAAAATTCTTGTTTTTCACTAATTTTAATAGGTTTTAGAGATTATGAAGAAATCACCCATTTTTGTATAAGATCAATGTCTTTTTTACACGGTTTTTTTTACACGGCTTCTTCTGGAACCAATCTACCGTGTAAAAACAGACTTAGGTGTAATTATATTTGACTCTGGTAGGTTGGTTTAAAATCATTTCACTTCCCGTGTGAGGTAATTATGTACAATGTTCCGTAAATTAAAGTCATTAAAACACTATATTAAGGACGTAGGTTCGAATCCCGTTCGTATCTTTGGATTTTTCGTTCCATATTTTATATTTTCGACTATAATATAAATATTATTATAAGAATCATTTTCAATCTGATAAAAAAATTTGACCATAAAAGCTGAAAACGTTTAAGAACTATATTATATACTTGTAAATATTTGTTCTGGACAATTTTAATTGTTATTTATAGTCAATACTATATGATAATAATTGTATATCGATGTTTCTTTACAAAAAAAGCATTAATTTTTACAATATATATTTTTTACTATTTTAATTTCTCTGATATATTTGTTTTTAGTCATCACTTATATAAGTAAATTATCTTTAAATAATTGTCATTTTCTTTATTAAAACTGTTCTGTCTCATCAAACTATAACACTAGCTTCATTTGTTCCACGTGAACAAGCTATACACAGCCATGAGCCAACAATGCATTTCGTAGTTTCAAACTAAAATAAAAGCAAAGTTTCGTTGCGAACAGACTTTATAAACGAACACAAAGTACGCGTCTGGCTCGCTACTCTAATAAAATAACTTCAACCCCGCTACAAGTTACTTCTGTAATGTTTTCTAACTACTATACAGAACTTTCAAACATAATAATGAATAATAAAATTCACGTAGTAGTAGAAGATTACTTGAAATTTTAAAAATATCGGCTATTAAATAGAACAAAAGATTTAAAAATAGTCATTCGTAGTTTGAAATGCTTTTATCTCTAAATATTTGGTCGATGGAACGAAACTTTGATGTAACAAGAAAAATAAACTGAAATATCTGTTTGTATTTTAAGATAATTCAAACACTATTATGACTTTTATATTCAGAAGCTAAATAATCAATATCAAAGTAAACGTATTTTTGTTTTAAATGTAGGGTACATACTTTAAAGAGCAAGCGAGACAGAGAGAGAAAGAAAGAGACAGGAATAAAGTTAAACAGTCGAATATAGTTGTAACAATAGGCCGCAACTCGTATAACTTTTGTGACGGTTAGTAATTTGTTTAACTAAGTCTGAGAACAAGTTTGCAATACTTGCGACCCACTCAAAGAAACGCACAACTTATTCATGTTATTAAGTCCTTTACAAACTACAAATATGTATATTTCTTATTAAAAATATAAAATAACTCCAATAGAAGCTGAATATAGACCTCACATGGCTGGAGATGATGATGATGAATACAAGCTACGTTCACATTAGTGCCACGGCTCGTTCAAGCCTTTCGTATATTTCAATCTACCCCAAATTTATTTTGAGATGACTCAATTGAATCAAATAATGCTAGGCACATACAAAAAGTTTTCTGGCACTTACAATTTCGATGTTTTCAAGACAAACGTGAATATACTCCACGAGACACCTTTATTTAAACCTACCATTTTAGTTTACTTAGTCAAGCTCTAACCAATACATACAATAAAATATCCTTAAACATATAGTTAAGTCTTCATCGTCATCAGCCTATCAGAGCCCACTGCTGAGCAAAGGCCTCTTTCTCACATGAAGAAGATTTGAGCATTAATCACCATGCTTGTTCAAGACGGGTTGGTGATTTCAAACTTATAATTTGATATTATAAGTCCATGTTTCCTCACGATGTTTTCCTTCATCAGTCAGTGATGTCTAAATAGTCATAGAAATTACATATGACTTGGAAAAATCGCATTGATATTTGCCAGGATCGAACTAGCATTCTCATGCACGAGATTTCGGCCTTTAACCTCTAGGCCACCACGATAAGTTTTATTTTATAGAAAAAAAGCTTTTAATCTGAAATAGCTACCTTTTAAATTATACTAATTTTTTATTCGGATGTACTACGAGACTTTAATTTTGATAAAAATTACACACTCAAATTGATATCTCGTCTTCGTGATCACGGTTCCTGAAACGTAGCCGAAACATCGATAGTATGTAGCTTTTTACAAAAAAAAACACGTACATCCAAAAAATATTAGTTTCATTTAAATGGATAAGACTTGCAATGATCTTAGATGTCTACAGTCGCGTAGTACATCAAAAAAAAAATTAGCTTCATTTAAATAGATAAGACTCGCGAACATCTTAGATGTCATTATCAGGCTACCTTCGAAAAAAATATCAGTTACATTTAAATAGATAATACATACTTAATAGCGAGATCATGTCATATCAATGTACCTTCTTAAATATGAACGGTTCATCATCATACACGGGGTTTATTCCGTTGTTGGGCACGGTCTTTGTCCTGTACTTCTTCCTCACGGTATCCGCGGGTAGACCGAACATATCCACTTCCACGTACGTCCCCGTACGACGCTCAGTCAACAGCTGACCAGAGATAACAGCCACTGATAACGAACCCGCTATGATGCCGTCCACTGTACTCTCAGCGAACGGGTCTAAACGACGATCCTGGATTAATATCATAGTATTAGTGACCAGTCTTAAATAATAATAGTATAGAGGCCCGGTGATGTTGTCAAAGTAAATAGGGCTAAAAGCTAATGCAATCATATAATAACGACCAATCTTAAATGATACTCAATGATAGTATAGTAACGTCTAGAGTCTAGGTGAAATAGCCAAAGGCTTTACAATAGTGCTAACAGTTACTGTTAAATCGAGACTCAAAAAATATCTAGAGCGATCTATACTTACATGAGACGCAAAATAAACATGTAAACTTAGGATGGATGAAAAAAAAATCATATGTAAGAGAAATCTTGAGCTTGTGCATTGAATATCGTTTCTATGATAGTCATTAGATAAGATTCAAAGTTTTCGTTGCACACTAATTCAACAACAAAACTAACAGTATTATATAGAAACGAAATATATTTTTATATGCTAGATGTTCTTGCACGAGTGTATACTCAAAAATAAACCTTTATTATATAATAATAAAGACTAGTGTATATATTTTTATATGTTACGTGTTCTTGCACGAGTGTATACTCAAAAATAAACCTTAAATATATGGTTATAAAGGCTACTTTGTATAACAGACCTTCCTCCTCATGAACTCAGGTTTCAGTAAGTACCCACAGCGTCTGTTGTACTCGAAGGTGCCCAGGTTGAGCTGCATGGCCAGGTCCAGGGTCTGGTAGTTGAGAGCCACCAACTGACAGCCGGCGTTCCAGAACACCTGGGATAATATCACGTCATATAATATAAATAATAATAATAATAAGTTAAAAAATTCTGGATTTACCACCACTCGCATACATCACAATGCAAAAAGCTGCAATTTTGTATACCTGCCGAATTTTTGGAATCCGACATTGATTCGGTTAACTGACTGACTTACTGACTTTTTTTCAAATCCCAGAAACACCTGGTCACTGACCCGTGTGACGGGAATATCTGCCCCTATTGTTAGGGAGATATAAAGGAAAAATAATAATAATAATAATTTATTAACACCCATGAAACAATGTACATAATTTGTTTTTAGCTTAATAACTAAATCTAGGGTTATTACATTGTCATCTTTTGAAGTATACCTCTGACTCTAAAACTAATATAAATTGTGATATTAGAGTCAGCGATTCCTAACACCTAATCTACATATACTTCATAATTACCATTATTACTACCCTATAACTATGTACATTTATAAGGACCTGTCCCTAAATTGGGATGTAGGGATTTTTTTTATGAGAAAATAGGGCAACCGAGCAGACGGCCTACTTGATGGTAGGTAGAACCGTCGCTCATTGACATCTACAACGTAGATATGCACATGTGTTGCCGCCCTTTTTGAGGGAAAATGGGGAGTAAGGCCTCGGCCTCGAATTTTGCGGGCAGCGGAGCGGCGGCGGCGGTGGCACGGCAACGCATACTGTTCTCCAAACTAGCGGGCAGCGGGCACCGCCGTATTCGAGGGTCGGTCCATTTGATTATACGCGTAAGATCCTGCCGCTCCCGCTGCCGCTCCGCTGCCCGCAAAATTCGAGGCCGAGGCCTAAAAGGTGGGAAAGGGAGGGAAAGGAAAGGGTGGGAAAAGGGAAAGGGCAAAGGGGATAAATTCAGTAGGGATATGTAAGAATATTTACGTTCAGTCAAAAGCTATAATACCATTTTGCTAAGAGTTATTGAATAATAATTTAAAGTATCAGAGACATTGATTTATATTCAATAAGTTACACTATGTACAACATCTGATTAATTGATTTTACATTTCCTACTTTAAGTTAGAAAATCTTCTTAGTGTATTTCAATGTTTCTTTTGTACTGAAAAATTATTGATTGTATAAATTAATACTCGGGAAAGACTTAGATCTCAGTATTATTGATTGTGTTATACTGTCAGGGATATAGTGTAAATCCGCGTAACTAGCATTGAACAATTACATCTATCTACATTGGAAGCAGGTGATAAGAAGAAGGTTTAAGCTGAAATATTTTATATATGATGTGAAGGAATATAATCGTGGTTGTGGTAAATAATTAAAGCTTTTTAATTACAATCAGAGTTTTATTGAGATCTTTACAACGTGACGAGCGAAAAAAACGAAAGAGGACATTAATACACACAGGCGCCGCACGCGCTTAAAACAAAAAACTAATTTGGTTTGCGTTCCAATTCACACTAACACCCCTCCCTTGGGACGCAACCCCATCTTTGTTATACAATACAAATGTTTTTCGGTAGTAGTGCCTTTAGTTAAATTATCAGCAATCATTTGCTCACCCTTAACATAACAAAACTTTATATTTAAATTATTAACATGGTCTTTAAGAAAATGATACCGAATGTCAATATGTCGTGACCTAGGCAAGTAACAATCATTATTAGACAATTTAATTGCACTTTGGTTATCACTAAAAATGACGAGTGGTTTGTTCTGTTCTTGCCCGAGTTCATCCTGCAGTTGTTGGAGCCACAGCGCCTCCTGCGCTGCCGAGGACATCGACATGTACTCCGCCTCAGCTGTGGATAGTGCCACAGTTTGCTGCTTCTGGGATCGCCAAGATATAGCACCACCCTGTAACAAAAATATGTAACCCGTGCACGACTTTCTGTCGCGCATATCGCTTGCCCAGTCAGCATCACAATAACCTGTGATTTCCTCATTTCCATCTTTGGTGTACATCAGCTTGAGACCCTTAGTACCTTGCAGGTATCTGAAAATTCGTTTGACTGCAGCCCAGTGTGCAGCTGTAGGATTTCTATTATATCTACTCAGAGTGTTAACTGCATATGATATATCAGGTCGTGTACCTTGAGCCACATATAGCAAGGAACCAATAGCTTGTTGGTATGGACAGTCACAGTTTGTTTCCTTCTCATTTTCATCACCAAATTTCAAACCAGCTTCACAAGGTGTTTTCACGGGTTTACAGTCTGACATTCTGAATCTTGACAATATTTCATTTATGTATTTTTCTTGATCTAGTAACACTTTATCCCCATCTCTTGTAATATGTAGACCAACACATTGATTTGCTGGACCAATATCTTTCATATCAAAATGTTGTTTCAATGCCTCTTTGAAAACATTCTTAGTACTTTCTTCAGAAGTGAACAGAATTAAATCATCCACCCAGATGGCTATATAAGTATTCTTTTTATCATTATAATAGACACAAGTATCTGTTTTTGATTGAACCATACCTAGTTCATGCAGGACAGAACTTAACTTCAGATTCCAGAGTCTACTGGCTTGTTTGAGTCCATAAATAGACTTTTGTAACATGCATACCTGTGATCCTTGTTTATACTCTTCAGGCTGTTGCATGTAAATGTCTCTATCAATCTCTCCCTGTAAAAAAGCAGATATAGCATCCATTTGATCTATTGCCAGCCCATATCTAGCTGCTAAGGCAAATAAATAGCGTATAGTTGTATACCTGACCACTGGTGAGTATGTCTCTTCATAATCTATGCCCCACCTTTGTGCATACCCTTTTATGACAAGCCTGGCCTTATATCTTGTAACATTTCCAGTCTGATCTGTTTTTACTTTAAACACCCACTTATATGGAAGTGCCTTTTTACCTGGGGGCAAGTCAGTCAACGTCCATGTATTATTTTTCATCGAGGAAGAGTATTCCTCGTCCATAGCCTTCTTCCATTCTGTAGCTTGTGGAGATGTGAGTGCTTCCTCAACAGTCTGTGGGTCAGTTATATCAGTAAATAAACACAATAAGCCGATTTTGTCCTCATTTTGTAATTTTCTTGTCCTTAATGTTACATTACTGCGATAATCTTGTTTCACAGGATATGGAGGATGGTAAGTTTCATCAGGATCATCAGTTTCATACTCACTTGAGTCCTCATTTTCACCTTGTGTATGTAAGTCTTCACCAGACATCACAGGTGCAGAAGTGGGTAACTCCTCGGTGTTCATTTTGTCTTTCTGACTGCCCAAGTTTGTACTCTCTTGTGAACCAGAGCTGGTAAGGGATGCTTGACTGTCTTTTACTGGAACATAAGTTTCACAATCAATTAGTACACTGCCAGTCTCATCACAGTTTTCAATGAAGGCAGCATCTCTACTCTTGACAACTTTGTGTGATTTAGGGTCCATAAAACGATATCCCTTTGAATTATCGCAATAGCCCACAAATATCATTTTTACTGACTTCTTATCCCACTTTTGACGTTTTTCTTTTGGTGTAAGAACCATAGCTTCAGAGCCAAATATTTTCATATGAGATACGTTGGGCTTCTTACCTTTCCACATTTCATGTGGGGTTTTACCTTGTAGTGACTTTGTCGGGGAACGATTTACAATATATGCAGCTGTTGCCAGAGCTTCGGCCCAGTATTTCTTCTCTAGGTTAGCATAAAAATAGCATACACCGTGCTCGTTCAACTAAAGTCCTGTTCATTCTTTCCGCCGTGCCATTCTGCTGTGGAGTATACGGAGTAGAGGTCTGATGAATTATACCATGGTTAGATAAGTACTTTTCAAAGTTTACATTGCAGTATTCGGTGCCATTATCAGTTCGAAGTTTTGTTATCTTATGATTCAATTCATTCTCTACTTTCAACTTGAAATCTTTAAATGTCTCTAAAATATTAAACTTATCTTTCAGGAAATAGACAAAGGTCATTCGTGTGTAGTCATCAATATAAGTGATAAAGTATCTCATACCTCCAAATGATTTATTCTCCATGGGGCCACACATATCAGAATGTATTAGTTCCAATGGCCTTGTAGCTCTTGAACCAACATTTGTAAATGGCATCCTTGCTTGCCTACCTTCCATACAGTGAATGCATGTGACATTATTTTGTTCCTGAGTCAGAGTCACACCATCGGTACAACTGGGTAGCTTCTTTACAGCTGAAATGTTCAAATGGCCCATTCGCAGGTGCCACAGGTAAGTTTTGTTACTATTCTGAGAACTGGAGGCTAAATGTGCAACTTCATTAGTGGTATCTATTACATATAACTTGTTTTTCAATCTTGCAGTGCATACAACTTCCTTTCCATTTCGAACTTCACAACCCTTGTCATTGAAGTTAACCCTGTGTCCCTTGCTCGCAATGGTGCTAACTGAAAGCAGATTGGCAGCTAGTCCCGGAACATACAAAACATTGTTAACTTGTATCACTTTATCTTGACCTGTGTGTATATCAACACTACCAACTCCTTTCACGGCTAATGGCTCTCTGTTAGCTACAGTAACATTTTTTATAGATGGCTCGGTGACATTATAAAGCCAATCCTCTCTGCATGTCATATGAATGGATGCGCCTGAGTCAAGAAACCACTTATCATAACAGGTGTTATCTTTAATTGTTACTGAGAAAGCTGATACAAAATTGGAGTTCTCTCCTTTGTCTGTTCGCTGTTTCCTGGGCTGTCTGCAATATTTTGCAAAATGGCCAATCTTGTTACAATTGTAACACCTTGGTCCCTTTGTTTTGACCGATTGCACTTCATTTTTAGTCTTCTTAGTGTTACTGAAGAAAGCCGTTGACTTTGATGTGTTAATCTCTTGTATGAGTTTAGATTTTACTGAGTCAGCACTTATTTGAATACCGGAGCTCTCTAATCCCATGATCATTGGCTTGTATTCGTCTGGTAAGCCTGCCAACATTAAAGTACCAAGCCACTCATCGTTAACATCAAAACCAATATTACGCAGTTTGTGTGCAGTGTTCATAATTTTACTTACATAGTCTTCAACACTATTGCTCGACTCCAGTGTAGTATTAATAAGATCTTTGAGTAGACCCACTCTTCTAGTTAAGCCATTGTCATCAAAAGCCTTTTGCAAATTCTCCCATACTTGTTTTGCAGTCTTGCATTCCTGAACATGTACGTAATTCTGTGGGTCCAACAACAATATAAGTTTCGACTTCGCCTTGACGTCTTTAGTAGAATCCACAGGTTTGTCATCGGGGCGTTCGACACAGCACCACAAATCCTCGTGTTCCAAATATGTTTTCATACTGAATTTCCACGTTGCAAAGTTTTCTCTTCCTATCAGTTTCTCCAAATTAAACATATTGGAACCCATCTTATTGGATTTCTTTAACAAATTAAGAAATTTACAACGTGATCGTAAATTTTTCTTAACCTCAAATTCAAATTGCACCGACAATTTTTACTGATTGAAGTCAATTTTCTTCTCTGATATTTCTACGGTACCACACCGGAACCACGCTCTGCTACCATGAAGGAATATAATCGTGGTTGTGGTAAATAATTAAAGCTTTTTAATTACAATCAGAGTTTTATTGAGATCTTAAAACGTGACGAGCGAAAAACGAAAGAGGACATTAATACACACAGGCGCCGCACGCGCTTAAAACAAAAACTAATTTGGTTGCGTTCCAATTCACACTAACATGATGACTTTTAAGGTAATTTTCACAATTAGTAATATAGTGTTCAAATTATTACTAATTGTGAAAATATTTCAGCTCAAACTTTCTTCTGATAATCTGCTCCGTCTTAGTGGTTTTTAGTGTTATATGTAACTCACTTGCGGCATACGAGAGTCTTACATAGATAGATAGATAGATAGATATATGTTACTCACCTGCGGCATAAAGTTAGAGGAATCGAACCTCGTCCCGGCGGGGTAGACGCGCGACAGCTGGTGTTTGTTGTAGTTAACGAACTCTATGGGCTTCTCCTTCAACAGGGTCGTGGCCTGCTTCTCATCGAACGACGACATCTCGTAGAAACGATTCTTCTCTGTGTACATTAATAGTTATTAGTACTGAAAAATTATCATATGACTTTGAATCTGCTATAGATATCATGAATGTTAGATAAAGTTGAACGTTTTCAAAAAACACTGGATAGTATGTAAGGATATAATATTTAAGTGAATATAAGTTGCTGATTTAATTAACGATACTCCAGTTGTTTTTGTGCATGTTTGAATGAAGTAAATTTATTTAAAAACAAGGTACTGCTTATTAACAATTTATCATTTATATATGTCCTTTATGAAAACCAACGTTCTTTTTAAATTTTATCTGACACTAAAGTTACAATCTAAACGAAAGAGTATATTTCTAAGACTCAAATCCCATAGAAACCCTCACACCTTAGTGCCACCTATAATTCCTTGCCAGTTCTCTGAACAAAGATAACAACAAAAAAGACTTCTTTCAGGAATATAAGCAGTCTCCATCGATAGACTATTTACTCCTTTACAGCCAAACAGATATAAAACACCATTTATCTCTATCTCTATCTAACTAACGCATAATACATATATATATATATATATGTCCACCTCTTTCTATCTCAGTTGTAGCTCAATCATATAGAAAACACTTTTTATCTCTATCTCTATTCAACTAACGTATTGTATATATCTCCATCTCTTACTATCTCAATCATATAGAAACCACTATATATCTCTATCTAACTAACGTATAGTATATATTTCCATCTCTTTCTATCTGTCGTACTCACTCTCAGCGTTTTCAAAGGATGAGAAGTGCACCGGTTGTACGTAGTTCACTAGTGCTGATATCTCTGCTGCTGCGTGAGTCTCCCTCGCTGGCTCGCCCCCCTCCCCGCCGGGTTCACAAGCCTCCTCCCCGCCCTCCTCCTCCGAGGAAGATTCTGACGACTCCGAGGAAGATGATTCCTTACACACCTATATAACATAGGATATAATAAATTTACAGTTTAATACAATCATTAAGCTGGCATTATTATGAGAAAATAACTTGATCATTTGGATTTTTTTCCCTATATCAATCCCTACTAATATTATAAATGCGAAAGTAACTCTGTCTGTCTGTATGTTACGCTTTCACGCCTAAACCACTGAACTGATTTTAACGAAATTTGGCACTGAGTTAGAGTTGACTTCGAGAAAGAACATATGATAGTTTTTATCCCAGACTTTTGAAGGGTTTCTTGAAAACGCGATATAACCGAACTCCACGCGGGCGAAGCTGCGGGCGGAAAGATAGTATTATATAATGTTAGTATGAATACGTCATAAAAAGTTAATTATTGTATGGCTATTATAAAAACAGTACCGTGCGTTATACAAACGGGTATGTAATCCCCTACACGACAATCGAAATAGTTAACAAAATATTTTATTTCTCTATATGCATTGCTTAGTTAAATTTTACATGTGCAAGCTTGTCTTGTCTACGTTTACTGAATCTTGGTGACAACTTTGAGTGGCTCAAAACGATCCCATACATATATGAATTAAGTTGATAGTATCCACAGACAAACTTATATATATATAACACTATCTCAATCAACTCACCGACACATGAGCCACCTCTCCATTCCCTTGAGGCAGAGCATCTTTCTCCGTACTTCTCGCATCTTCTTTCTTGTGATGGTGATGATGTTTCTTCTTGTTCTTTATTATAATCTTATTCTTCAACAGATTCGGCGGCGGGAGCTCTCCTCCTAATCAATATACTGTATTTACGAACAGCGATCTTCACTTAGCATATATTAATAATTTATTAAAGGTACCCAATAATGTCTTTGTCAGTTGCCAACCATTTATCCCTACTAATATTATAAATACGAAAGTAAGTCTGTCTGTCTGTCTGTCTGTTACGCTTTCTCGCCTAAGCCACTGAACTGATTTTAATGAAATTTGGTACAGAGATGAAGTTGACCTTGAGAAAGAAAATAGGATAGTTTTTATTCCAGACTTTTGAAAAGGTTCTCTTCGAAACGCGATATAACTGAACTCCAAGCGAGCGAAAAGCTAGTATTCTATAAGTTTGTATTGTCACACTACAAACATGGAGTTAACAGTTATTTTTTTTTATAACTTATTTCGAATTACAACCCATTATATCTTATAACATATACTTGTAGTATTAATGTAGATTATTGAATGAGAAACTTGAAAAACTTCGTATAAGCTACGATACAAACATGTGATAAGAATATTGAGATCTCACTTCTATACTGAATTCAGTGACGATTGTTTAAAGTTGTAGTTACATAATTACTCTTCTTTATATTACGAAAATAAATAATACTTAAAATACAGCCACGGGCAAAAGTATTAGGCACCCTACAGTAAGACAAGTTTTAGGGTGTTTTAGCATAGCGAGTGTAAATAAAACTGCATTTATGATTAAAATGGTTTATTTTAAGAAAATAATTAATATTTTGTAGGTCCACCTTTTGACTTAATAACCGCAGCCACTCTTTTTGGCATTGACTCTACCAGCCTGAAACATTCTTCTCTTGATATATTTTTCCATTCCTGCTGTAACGCGGCCAATAGAACTTGTTTATTGCTAATCGAGTGCCTGCGGATATTTTTCTTTAAAATGGACCAAATATGCTCAATCGGGTTGAGGTCTGGTGATTGTGGTGGCCAGTCCAAAAGATCAATATGATTTTCAGCAAACCACTTCATGGTATGCGCGGACTTGTGGCAAGTGGCGTTGTCTTGCTGAAATTTCAGGCCATCGGTGTTTGTATCACCGAAAATTTGCGTTATCGACGTTGCTAGTGCTGTTTCCAGAACTTCAGTGTATTTAACACTATTCATTCGTCCCTCACACAACACCATTTCGCCCACTCCGTCGGCAGCCATGCAGCCCCAGATCATTATTGAGCCTCCACCATGCTTAACAGTGGGAACCACACTTTCTGGGTTGTATTCTTCGCCAACCCTTCGCCTAACATAAGTCACACCGGGTGTTCCAAACACCTATGCCAAACGAAAAAAAAACACATTTATTTTCAAAGTTATTATTTTTCATGCAGTACGTTATTTTAAAAACATTTATGTGTTTTAATATTGTACATAAAATAAATAACAATACCTCAAAGTTAGATTCGTCTGACCACAGTATGTTGGACCAATCTTCCACTGACCAATCTCTATGTTTGAGTGCCCACTCAGACCGATTTTTCTTATTGTGTTCTGACAGCCACGGCTTCTTCCTTGCTTTACATCCTTTTAATCCAGCTTTAAGAAGTCTTCTTCACAGTATAAACACTCACTGAGCTGCCTTTTGCCTCAGATAATGCTGCAGCGAGCTCTGAAGCAGTTTTTTTCCTGTTTTGTAGAGACTGCCTAATCAACAATCGATCTTCCCGTTCAGTAGTAACTTTTCTTCTGCCTGTTCTTGGTCTATTTTCATGGGTGCCAGTCTCTTTGAAGCGATTTATAGCATATTGAACTGCACATCGCGAGCACTTCACTTCTCGGTATTTTAACCTGAGACATGCCTTGTTCATGTAAAATCTTAATTCTTAGACGCTGTTCAGCACTAAGTTCAGATTTTTTCGGCATGATTAACACGTTAAATGTTAGTCTTTAGAATTGTGATAGGAGTAGTTGCGTAGAAGACGTGTATGTTCACTGCAAGCACTGATAACACACTATAACCCGAAACGCAAAAAAAGCAAATTCGAAGAAACACCGCTTAGGAGCACACCTGGATGTCATAAATATTTTCTTTTATCTTAATTTGGTTAAAAATTGCCGCTAATACAATAGCTAAACCATAAAACACAGACTTGACCGCAATATAATGAGATAGTGACTAACAATAGGGGTGCCTAATACTTTTGCACGCAGCTGTATATCTAATCATTGCTAACACTACTTTCAAACGTTAAATATCAGATACAATATAAAAATTACCTAATAGAATAATAAGCATAAAATTAACACAAATTGTTAATATGACATTATCCCTATTAAATTCCTAATAATCTCAGTTTTAATACTCAACGCGATCCAATAAAAAACTTACGAGGTGACAGCAACACTAAAGAAAGACAATAAAACTAAGAGCTGTTTAAAAGTTATTAAACAGCTTTATGAGCTATAACATACAGCTTACACAGCTTTGATAGCTGAATCAATTCAATGGAAGGGATTCATTTTTTATAACACACACAGCGAATCATCACTTCTGAATATCAATTGTAGACGATTTAATGAAAAATTGTATGAAGAATACGCGTATATATGTAGATCTATTGAAGCCAGTATAATAAAACCATGGAAATAAATAAGAGGCTTCGATTAATGAGACGAGATAAAACTAAAGTTTTCATAATTCTTAATTAGTTTATAAAGTTGAAGGGACAAGACAAGGTAGAGCGATCAAGTGAGGACCTCAACAAAAGATCCTGTAAAATTATGCACCAGGAAGGCATCGATTTGAGAGGAATGGCATAGAATTGTCAAGCGAGTCACCACTACCCAAATGACCAAGACCACTCTGTCAAAAGTGATATCGACTGAGAAGAATTCCATAATTCATTGATTTAATACTAATCTCGCCAGTGTGTAAGGAGCCTTAACTGACAGTGTGTGTGTGTGTGTGTATATTTGTGTATGTGTGTGTGTGTATACATCAGGTGTTAACATCAAAGCCGTTTAATACGCTCCAAGATTGATCGTTTATGATGCGTTATGGCTTTTATGTCACAGACGATATTTACGACGCTGACGGCACACGAGACAAAGACACTGTACCATACACATATAGAACGTAGGGCCGGAGATAAAAATTACATCTTCAATACACTTTAGTTCAAAAACATTAAAAACTATATCTAACTTAATAGAAATTAAGTTGAGACGAAATATTTAAATATAAAAGATTAATGCTTATAAGACTAAAAGCAAATTTAAAACACATTATCTGAATAAACTTTTAACTCGCTGGTTAAAATGGTCTCGATCAATAAATAGCTTCCAAAAATATATTCGGATTCATCTGTTAAATTATTCTTTCTAATAATTCTACAATAATTTATCTATTTTTCCTCATTTGGACCAATCACAACATTTAATATAAAAATTAATCAAATTCTGAACGTTGATTAATATATTTTTTAAGGCTTCATTCGCATTGGAATCGTATCATATTTTGCAAATATCAACGTTTATATTTTTTTACTTAATTATATAATAATTTGAGTAATTATTTCGCTATACCTATACGAATTAAATAGTTCTCATTGAATTTGGGAAGGAATAGTATCAAGTATTCAAATTAATATTAAATAACTTCAAAAACTTTTACATTATTTAGTTAAGTAACAATTAGCCTTCACTTCAAGTCGAATTAACTTGAAATTTGTCAAAAGATATAATTAGTACAACTTTTATAATTATTTTTATACAAATAATTCTTTAATTACTTTCAAATGAAAGAATTCGTTTGTATTTTTTTTATTTCAAGTTTTAATTCGGTTACAAATCAAATCTAATTCGCTTAGTAAAGTTTCAGAGTATTGTCGGATATTTCGAAGATTCTTAACTAACTGGCAGCTTTGTAATGAAGAAGCGATGTCTTATATATACCTATATAACACGTTGATTCATTATAGGGCATATAATTTTAAAGTACTAAATATTTTTATTTAATTATATTAAGTTCCTCTGAATATATTATTTTACACTACATCATAAATATAAACGTCCAACAATCAAAAAATATTACTATACATATGTTACAGCATGTTATATAGTAATTAGTAACCATATCTAAATTCTACTGACCTGGTTCTAATTGGTGTGAGTCCAATGGTTTATCAAGCAGCATATCACCGAAGATGTCTCTACAGTAGTTTGCTATTTTTGCCTGCTGGCGAGGATTGCAGTGATTCTCAAAACTTAGTATGACTGGGTAGTCCGAAGTCTTGAAGGCGCTCTCCGCTATAGCTTCTAGTACTTCCTTAGCACTTATATCAGGTACGAATGTATAACCGTGTACTATGACAGGCTCCTCTGTTCTACCGTTCCAGAAATCCAGTTCTACACACCTGGTAAAATAATACAAGTCTTCATATAAACTGAAGGAATGATAATCGAAAAAATTAAAGGTTTTTCGTGGTAGAAGTGGGAGCGAGAGGTATGATAGCAAAATCTCGCTACAATCAACTAAAAGACTTGGGCTTGTCCAGAACTACATAGTATTATTCATTCTTGGAACATACTTCGAAGGCAGCCCTAGTAGGTTTTTATCAAATTTGGTTATGTAGAGAGAGGAACTTGGACAGTGGAGGTGAGAGTTTGACGCGCGTTAGATAGGTCCCTTAAACCTACACCTGGGCCGCAAGTCCCAGTCACTGTTGAAGCTCCTCTCACTACAACGACGGACCCGACACACGCACCGTGAATACATTCAATGCTAGGAAGTTTCGTCTCATTATAAACTACCTCAACCGTGACCTCGGGCAGAGAGGATGAGATTCAGTGAATTATAAAAGTCAGTAAGTTCGTTTTTAAATTGACTTAGACATACATATACTTTGTTCCTTTAAAGTTTAAACGAATATATTTAATACAGACATTAATTACATTAATTTAAAACAAATATTTTTTTTTATAAAATAATATTATTATTTGAAATCTAATATATTAATTACATATTTAATATTTTTGGTCATTTACATGAAATCTAAATCAATTTCGAGTATTAAGATTAACTAATTATTGTAATTGCTATTAATATCAATTTAATATGTCAATGAATTAAGAATCATTTATTACAAACTCTTAAAAGAAATCATTCATTTTGTTGAACAAACTTTAATTTCTGTATGAGATATCATAGATGTAGCTGGTTCGATTCCTGTTTGTGTTATAATTATTAACATATATAATTCATTTATTATCTGGTCAAAATTTATTCATAAGATGCTCTTAAAGGAATAACTGTAAAGATTTAAGTCTATCTACTAAATTATTATTTTTAATTTTTTTAAATACTTTTTTCTTATGTATATAACCTGAGTTTGGAGTCCAAAGATATTTATACATTACAATATCAACAATAATTTAAAATTCGTAAAAGTATTATTTAACAAAAGAATAAAAATCCGTAAAAAAATTAACACCAGTGTATTTCTGTCAGATCACAAACGCAGCAAAACGCAAATTAAATTTGGAACGCGACAAAAAAGAAACCGCAAAAATTTAACAATCATAAACACGTCCCACAACACCAGCGAATATCCGGACGGACAATCAGTATAATTATTTTTAACATACATACAACAACAACAGATACAAATGAATATTTACATTGATTAAATAATATAATTATATAACACATTAAAATCAAATCAATTAAATATCTTCCACAACGTGACTCGACCGACGATAGAAAACTTCGTTCATAACAAATTAATCTATATTTCAACTCACATATTAAAATATCTTAAAAATTCAACATTGGCAGAATGAATGCGATTCAAGGTATTGTCAGTAATTAATAAAATAATACTGGCAGCGCATGATTCTTTTTCTTTTTCTTTTTTTTGTTAAAGACAACAAAAGAAAAATATATTTTTGAATATGGAATGCTTTCTCGCATTATGCAAGCGAATTTCAGTCGGAGACCACACCGCAAACAATTCACACAGATACAACGAAATACACTTCAGGCATACGAACTATGTTTGTAGCAATGTTTGCGGTTTCATAGATTATAACTTTATATACGAATATTGTAGGGTGTGTTTAATTACATGATTTTACATTTTGGGACTAAAGAGCATGTAGATTATAACCTTTATAATTATGTTTTTAATAATTAAGCAAATGGGTGAATAAATTCAAATATAGAGTGTGAATATTTTTGTAACGAGCAAGATTCGAATCTGCGATGTCCGGGTCATCTTGTCCTATTGACTATGCCAACTAAGCTATCGGACCGTGACTAGTGTAGGTGAAATGTAAAAATATTGTATACCTATTATTTTTATTCTTATACACGTATTTCATATACAAAATTTACCTTACATTTATAACGCAATATTTCTTTTTTAAAGTCCTTATTATCCCGTGAGCAGTTATATTAAGCGGATAAAAGATTCCTAAGCAGATTATAAAAAGCTCAACTTACGGACGTTCGAGTTGAATATAAAATATTCATAATATTACTGAAACATTTTAAAACAGACTTATGTGATATCGACTTTATTTCGGAAGGAAAAATTTTGATAAAAATCCTTTTTATAAAGATTCAAGTAATTTTATTTTACGAAATTATTTATAATAAATCAATAATAATTATATTTATTTATAACTCATAAATCGCACAATTTACGAATTATTTTCATTCTACGTAGAATTTTATTATGATAAATCAAAATCTGTAAATAAAAAGATAGTTCAGGATACATCAGCTATGAAGCGGTCAGTTTGGTAACAGTATATAGACAACATTGTTCATGAAACGAAAGGTTTTACATCATATACAGGGTGACTGGTGAATTACTATCAATATTTAAGGAGAATACTCGGTACATGATTTTCATTCGAATTATGTAAAAAAAATAGGCACTTTTGGGTAACTTTACTTAGAAGTTTATTAACATTTATGTTATATTAATTTTTATTTTGTCATATATGATCGTCAAATATCACGTCCTCAAATATCGATAGTAATTCACCAGTCACCCTGTATATATCGGCGCTATCAGCTTTAATAACGGATGCGACATGAAAATAATTTGAGGCTGTCATCAATTCTTATTAAAACTCATTAGTATTCATGATTATTGGTAAAAGTAAAACGAAATCAATGATTGTTTAAAAGGAGAATAGAACTATGTTTGAATTCGAGTATAAATATCACATCTGGACGCATGAGAGTTCAGTTAGTGCGGGCCGTTGAAGACTATGATTATGAAGAACCTTCGAGAAATACAGGAGCATTAAGAACAATTGAAGTTTCATTTTAAAATATCATGGAAGGCTCTAGAAGAAGTGTCATTTAGTGACGTCAGTGAGGCTGGCGTCTCTCTCTTTAAAAACTAGGAATTTGTAATAAATCCGATATATATATTCTTACCTGCACCCAGCTAATAGTCCCTGTCGATATATCTCAACGCTAGATTTCCCAGTTATTTGATGCCCAGTGAGGTACGTATTATGTGAACTATTGATGAAGTAGTGAGCCAATGGTTGGTCCATATCATCACAGAGGTCCAACTTACTTGGCGCCACTATAGGATTGTCTTCTGACATCAAAAACCTGGTGAAACACATTAATATCAAGTATTGACAAATTTTTGCGATGTAGACATAGTACATAACGTTGGATAATGCAAATACGCGTAAATACCAATGTATAATTCCGCGTACCTACATTGGAAGCAGATCAGAAGAAAGTTTAAGCTGAATTATTTTCTATATTATTTTATTTTGATTTTTAGTTTATTGGAGAAAAAAAACAGAGCACAGGAATGTAATAAAAAATATACACAATAATACAGTAAATTAAAGACAAATAATACCTGAATCCTTAAACATTTCTCACTAAGAAATATAGATAAATTAAAAAGAGGGGCCGCTTGGGCACGCATCTCTTATAATACACTTGATAAAAGCGAGGTGTACAAAGTGTCTAAATTTAATTTAAGGATGTGAAGGGAGTGATTGTAAATGTAAACGACTTTTAAGGTAATTTTTTTCACAATAATTATTTAGTTTTTATTATATCCCCGACGATATATGTATTTACGTATACAAAACTATGATGCAGCTGTTTAAGCTCAAACAACCTTCGCTCCCTTCAAACATATAAATAAATAATTAAAATAATTAAAGGTAATAAACGCGAAACATCAGAGTTATTTGGATACAGAGCTGACGTACACTATGCTAACGTTTATGAGTTTATGGTACAACGATACCTTACTATAAGTATGCACGACCAAACTATACAGGGTGACTGGTGAATTACTATCGATATTTGAGGACGTGATAATTGACGGTCATATATGACAAAATAAAAATTAATATAACAAAAATATTAATAAACTTCTGAGTAAAGTTAACCAAAAGTTATGTAATTAATTACGCATCGTGTGAACACCCTACAGATTAGGTATACACACACACACACACACACTCGCGCGCGCCCCGTGGTGTTGTATCAGCACGCCGCCGCACGCGTCCACACTAGGAACACTTGGAACGTGTCCACACTTTATTTATTTATAGAGAAATTTGGTCAAAAATTAAGTACCTATTTTTTTTACATAATTCGAATGAGAATCATGTACCGAGTATGCTCCTTAAATATTGATAGTAATTCACCAGTCACCCTGTATATGGAAAGTTTGTAATTATCATTGAAAAACTTTCCCAAATGGTAGCAATTTCGTTTCATGGGTGAAAAACTGAAAATTTTCCGTATTTTCTTTGACGATACTTACTTGTAGTACTGTACATTTAAAGGATTATTATTTTATATATTGATATTTCATTTGTGAAATGATGATGTTAGGTAATTATTGTAGATCTAATCTTTTTTAACGTTACTGATCTGTTGGCTATCTACCTTGTTGAGATCATTTAAAAAGCTATCTACTATTCCTTCTAAAGATGGAGTACGACTTATATGTATTATCAATCTTACGACCAAGAAATTTAAATCATTTTCCGTAACCGTAGAAACGCATTGACCGCCTAACGATAGTCCCGGATCGTATAAGCTATCTTGTATTTCGCCTACCAAGACACAGACAGTGATATTTACTTGGTTTTCTCCTCAATCAATCCTCCCACTCACAGAATTTATCCACTTCATCCAATAGTACTTAATAGTGGGGTATTTAAACAATTAAATGTAACTTAATATGGAAAATCTCCCAAATTCTCAGTTTATATTAGTAAGACAAATGATAAAATAGCCACGTACCTTAAAAACCCATCAAAAGTCAACTGCGATCTCTGCTGGTGATATTTATTATACTCATGGACCTTTATAAGATCCTTGGCTCTTTGGATGTCGGCGTATGGATGAAGAATCTCATTCAGTCTCGGATCTCTTTGTACCTCGTTCAAGAAATCAACCAACTGGTTCGCCGACAAGTGGGCTTTACCACCGGTGCTGAAAATATGATCTAATTGAAAATTCTTCATGACAAACTACGTAATTCAAATACTAGAATGCTCCAGTTACAGAATCGGTGAAAGTTAAACAATCAACATAGTCTTGTAAACAAAACTATGCCGGAATTAATTATATTATTATTTGACAACAAACATCTGGTCAGCCCGAAACGTACTAACTGTTAAACTTAGTTGTCCTTTACCCTAATTGTTAAAATTAATAATAGCTTTGATAAAACTACATTTCTAACATCCCATTGAATCAATTGGAGAATTATTTTTAGAAGAAAATTAGATAATTTTATCTATGCTTAATAAATAGAGAATTTTATCTATGCTTAAGAAAATTATTTGTTCTAAATGTTCTATTCTAAACACAATGTAATTTCAGTATAACAAAATTTTATTAAATAAAAAAAGCCTTCCATCATTTTGGAAAACAGATGAGGAACGTCCACTGCTTTCCTGATTTCAACTAGAAATTGTCAAGAATCGCCGAAAAGAAAGTCGTTCCCAAAATAATCAAATTGTATCGAAATAAGTCTATTCATTTAAGAGCTAAGGAGTCACAAAGACAGACATCGATATGAAACTCATAACACACCTTTTAAAACAAGGTAAAATTTATTCTTGTTATAACTATACATCTTACGTTATACAAGTAATCGAATGGTAAAGTGCAAAAATATATTGCAAAATGATAAATCAATTAGAAAAATCTACACAAACAAATATAAAATCTATTTTAAAAATATCGCGTTGTACATATACAGGGTGACTGGTGAATTACTATCAATATTTAAGGAGCATACTCGGTACATGATTCTAATTCGAATTATGTAAAAAAAATAGGTACTTAATTTTTGACCAAATTTCCGTATAAATAAATAAAGTGTGTACACGTTCCAAGTCTTTCTAGTGTGGACGCGTGCGGCGGCGTGCTGATACAACACATCGCCGCCGCACGAGTGTGTGTGTGTGTGTGTATACCTAATCTGTAGGGTGTTCACACGATGCGTAATTAATTAAATAACTTTTGGCTAACTTTACTTAGAAGTTTATTAATATTTATGTTATATTAATTTTTATTTTGTCATATATGATCGTCAAATATCACGTCCTCAAGTATCGATAGTAATTCACCAGTCACCCTGTATATTAATAAATATATTAAACATCACAATCGGGGGGCATTACGTAGAACACATTATGGTCACAAAATCAAAAACGATTTCCAAGTACCTGACATCAAATATAACACAAAAATATAATGACATAGAAGAGATCTGGTGTTATCATCACAGAAAAACTAACTCACACCTTTATATAAAAAATCTCAATTATCCATTTATATCATATTTCACTTTTAGATGAAAAAAATTACATAATATCTATTCAAAATCCAGTTATTGAACCCATAAATTATGTTTTACGAGCTACATGTCCAATCATCTATATGCTCTTATACAATAACTTTTTTTATTATTAAACAAAACGAACAGAGTCACGTGTATTGGCTAGTATTAAAATAATATCATTTTATAATGAATAAATCATCTTTCTATTATAAACTGTTAGGCATTGAACAATAATAGTATATTGTAAACATGCATCTATATATCACAAGTGTTAGACTTATACAGGGTGTTAGGTGTTTAGACGAGACGAATTACTACTGTTAAACATATACAGGGTGTTCAGAGGAGATGAATTCAAGGGACCTATTTATTATATAAAATAACTGCTGTTAAAAATATCATTCATACTAATTATCTCCTAAATACTAGATCCAAAATATATATGAAAACAATTAGAGACTCCGTAACTCTTAAGAATTCGACATAATAAATTATCGAGCGTACAATGTATAACATATAATGTTTTGAATGAGATAAAACGTTACAGACATTAGTGAAATGAATTATGATCGTTTAGAAAATTAATGTTTATCTAATGTATATGTAATAAACGAACTATGGGAACGACAGCGATGAGTTCATATAAATATAGTGTTGATATATTATGATATATGTATGTACTCACAGATTATTAAATATCTTCTGGACCTCCGTCCGTTGAGTGAGACTCTTGTAGAAAGAGAAGAAATCTTCGAACTGGAACTTCGTCTGGCTGATGGTGTCATTCTTACCAGTTGGTAGACCAGACTCGCTTAGCGCTTTTTCCACTCTTTTCTTGTCTTCTTTGTTTTGTGCGAACAGACGGACAATGCTGGTAAGATTATTAAAATTAATAAAATATATATTTACATTAATCAGAGACATTTATATGCTAGGCGTCTTTTATATATTATCAAGGCTTATCTCCAATACTAACGGGACGGTAATAAAATTAAGATTTAAAACAACAGCAATTCAGCTGTTGGAGAAACTTGTCCGAAATCCATTTGTAGTACCCAACGAAGACTCGTAAAACGAATTTAAAAGAGCGCAAGGAAAGAAAATGCTAATAAAAACTTGTAATACCGATGTAGACCGAGCGTATAGCCATTCCCTAAATTTCCCCAACATAATCCCCCGGTACATGAACCAGATAACGTCTCCCTTTAAAAAGAATCCAGACGTACAATGAAATAATTTGTTGGTAAACAGAATTAGTTCGCGAAAACTCAGTTTGAAAACATAGTTTAAAAGGAAAACTAACAGTATGCAAATCAGACGCTTTAGAGTGTTCAAACTACGGAAACCTCGGTGGAATACTTAGGGACCTTACTGAACGCTCATGAAATATTATAAAAGCTTTTAGATACTCTTCAAACTTCGCCTTACTTTGCTTACAAGTTACAGTTTTAAAAGAAAATTGGTAATATTTAACTATATAGTTGACAGAGTGTTTTCATTCAATATGACAATATTTTAAGATGCTTCTTATTCAAAAAACTTCAATCTGTATTCTCGTCACACGTCAATACATCTTAAACAGCGACGTAAAAAGTCTCTCGAGATTTGTACATTGACAAGCTTTCAGCGTAAAACTTTAAATAAGGGTAAAACACATCGCAAGTTAAGTTAGCTTCGTGATATATTTGGTTTCATCGGAGCTCACTTAAAGGGAATTTTAGATGACCTTTGACCTTCGTAAAATATTCAACAGAATCCTTCTCCGTAATCACAGCAATACAACCCAATTCTAATATTCATAGTTGCCAAGTCAACGTAAGCCTAAGGCGTCACGTGTTGCGGGTATGAGGCAGAACGTGATGCAATTACTAGTGCAGATTACGACATATTTGGAAGATATACGGAGGATAGAACACAAAATATATATTACATATATTTTTTCTTTCGCCTTATAATGTGTATTTATAGAAACAGATGGAATTTCAGTGATAAAATCTAATATAGTTATACATATTTATAAAGTTTTCATGACGAGGGATAAATGAATTAAGTAGAGTCAAGCAAGTTGACCTTTATAATGACGAGGTCTAGGGGATCCTGATTCAATAACGATCAAACTATTCTGAACAACTTAGTTTGTTACAAGAATAGAAGGCTTTGATTCTGATTTGATTGAGTGGAACAAAGGTCACAAGTACTTGGCTACTAATTAATACGATAATTGAATCACACTTACTAAGACACTTTAAAAAAAGAAGTTAAAAGTTTCTATGTATGTTTGCTTCTTCTTCAAATTCAAAGGGATATAAGCAAATTTTATAAAATGTTATATGCAAAAAGCTGTTACCCATGTATATATAGACTACTTTTTTTCTGAAAATATATATTATTGCTTTAAACAGTCAAGATATTGTTGAAATATACTTAACTGATGCTTAAAGCTAAATAAGTGTTTACCCGATGCGAGGTATTAAAACAATTATACATACAAATATAAAATATAAAGCTATGTGCACTGAAATATATCGATATATATTATAATTTAACGGAAACGTAGGAATTTCTTTTATTTTTTATTAAATTAATTAAATTCTATATTACGTCAAAAACCGCGTGGCGCGGATAGTATTCCACAGCATAACGTCGGGTAAAGAATGTGTTTACAATAAACGCATGCCTATGTTATTACAATGGATTAAATAAGATCTGATATATTCGTATTAAATATTTACTTTCTAAAGTTTTACGATATACATAAAAAAAAAGCATTGACCTGATAATACGAAAGTTAAACGACCACAAATCAATTTGCGAACTGAAAAATATTTATACAATATACAACGAGAAGCATTTGTATATACGAAGGATTATATCTATTTTTAAGATCACCCGCATCCGTCAGGATTTATCCCAAGTAAATCCTCTTTAAATTGAGCCGAACAAGACAACAACGAATGGTAATATTTAAGGGTAGCTTGAATATACAACTACAATACCATAGGTACATAGAAAACAAAGAAATGTTAAATGAAAATAAATGCATTACATACATTGGTTGAACATTTTCCAGAAGAATGTAAGTATAGAAACAAGCTAATAATAAAGTAAATTAGATTTCTAGAATCTCTGGATAACATTATATTACCGTCTTCCAAGTTACCTCAACGCCTTAATTGCCCCTAATTGTAAATTGTACATTTCTGTTTGTGAGCTTAAATCCAAGAACGCTGTAATTACTATTTACAGATCTGACTTACGACTTCAACTAATAGTTAAATTGGAGATATAATGCCGGGGATGACGAGATTTCAGACAAAACTTTACCTACAGTACATGGTGTAGAGAAATTTTCGTTATAACCAGCACATATAAAAAGAACTCTGGTTTACATTCATCTTGTATATAATAGGAAGATCATATATATTTAGTGTATTGTTATAATCTGTAAAAATCATCATATAAGATGATCAGGCTGGCAAAGTAGTATGAAAGTCGAATTATTTTACAATTATTATTGTTTTTACTTTTACATGACAAGTCAAAACGCTTTATGTTTTTGGTCAAACACTTAAAAATCACCTTCAAGGAAAATTAACGAGATTTTGATTAATTTGTTATAACGTGGATATGATTTACAAAATATGGACCAGACTAACAAGATTTGGTTTCTTTGAAAATATCTTTAGAATTTGTCGTTTCAAACATTCGAAATTTTATTTATACTATAAGCGAAGTTTCAAGTTTCACTAGGTAGGAGGAATATTTGGTTTGTACTCTAGCTGTAGCCGGCTTCGTTAACTTGTAATATTTCATTCTTCAGTAATATTATTAATGGTACGTCAGCACGGCTCATCTAGCGGGTATGCCAATGAGCAATCACTCTTATTCCTTCACCCTTTGTTGTGTCTACTGAACCGTGACTTTAGATAATTTACACTAAATCTTACTAATATTATAAGTACCAGTTTTATAAGAATGCCAATAAAGATACATTTCCTAAGAATTCTTAGTTTATATAGGTATCTTAAGAATAATATACATATTAAAAATTGTACAGGAGTCTTTTATAAACTATACCATAGCTGTGAAAAGTACATAACTAATTTAATTTTAATTTTTATATTAACGTGTAAATGATATTGTTATTTTATACCATAGAAAAAACGCATTTATAAGATTTGGTAAATTTTATCTCAAATTTATTTTGTAACTAAACTCAGTCGGAAAATATGTACAACGTACAACCCTTATTTTTAGGATTTTCTTTTTTATTCGTCTCTGAATATTCAAAATATGGAAAATACCAAATCTGTGAAAATAATTCTATAACTATTACACCTTATATAATGATTTCATGACATTTATAAATATCCTTTTAAAACCAAAGTACGCGTTTCAAGATAATTCTCATATAAATATAAAACAGGACATAAAATTTACGTAAAATGTGTATTATATAGCTGTTTTTGTGAAGAAAATGGGTTGACAGGATGTCAGTATAGTGGAGACGTTTTAGTCGTGAATATTTTACAACTATCTGTTGTGATAGAAATGGTAACGAAATATAAACTTACAAAACTGTAGTATGAAATATATTTAAGACAATGTTTGAATAAAATCCTTCCATAAATCTATACATATAGAAGAAAGATGTGTTAGTTACACTATTTATAACTTAATAACGGCTGTAGGAATATGGTTGAACATTGGTGGAGAGATAACTTAGTACCAGGAGACGGACATAGGATATTTCATTCTGTTCGAATAAAAACCTAATAAATTCCATTATTTACGGCATCTAGAGAAAAATGGAGTAAGCCAGATCAGCTATAGATATATTATTAATTCCCAAAATTAACGCAAACGAAGTCGCGGGCAAAAACTTATATACAATAAAAATATAATATACATAAAATGAGAGAAAGATAAATTATGCAACATATAAATCTGAATCATTATTGTTATAATTCATTACTTCATAGAAGTTGGCATCCTACGTTTATGCAATTAAGGGGCTGAGAACTAAAAGCATGTTTTATATTAAAACGTAAAACGTTATCATTTTCTCGAAGCATTCGCCACTTACAAGAATACTATAACTTGAACTACTTACTATATCAAATAAATATATAACATATTTATAGGCATTAATTATGATTAATGCATTCCCAAAGAGGGTTGATGTCAGGCAGGCGGTCAGTCATAAAAACAATTAGCCAAAATTATTCACAACATGTAAGGCAGACCCTGGCTAAAGCTGGGAAATTGCCAGATAGAAGAAGAAGAAGGAGATATAACATATTTATATGGACCAGTAAAAAAAAATTATTTTAGTATCATTATACTATACAAAATAAAAAAGACAAAGTTTATTAATATCTCCGCCCTTCACACTGAGCTTCATTGTCGGTAAGAGCATTTCTTTAAAGATAAAAATAATACGGTATATTTAACTTATAAGGTTACAATCTTCGCGACACTAAAATAAATGGATATTTATTTTTAAATTCAAGAAACGATCAATTGACGACAATATTAAAAATATCTGGCTCTCATACAAGACTTTTTATTATAAAAAGATACATACCGAAGCCTTAAAAACTGTTTTTTTTATAAAGCCTATAATTTTTATTGTTATACGAAAGAGGTATTATTTTATAATTGGAACATGTACGGACATCTCATCAAAATGTAAAAGGATACTGAAACACGAAAACAATGCGAGAAGAAAGTTAATCATTATTTTCACAAACTACTCGAAAGCCGGGGATTTTCAAGAGGAACGTGACAATACAAAAGATTTGAACTTGTCTTTCTAACAAGACGTCGAAACAATTCAAAGAGTGTGGAAATTTTTGTCGTAATCACATCTTTTATATCTTATATCAAATGGGAACAACAACCTTAAATTTTAATTATTTTATCAAGTGTTCATTGAAGAAATCAATATTGTAACGAATCCATAAATAAAAGACAGCGAATTCACTTCGACGAATTTCGATGAATCATTAATTTTAAGATTCTATAAATCTGCGCAAAATCGATATTACTCCCGATAGCGGGAAACTCTCGCTAGTATAAACTAATTATTCCTATTGAAACAAAATAACAGTAAATCATAGTAAAAGATTAAACAATCTTTGTTTTTATTATGGTAGTTAAATGAAGTAGAGGATGACCTTAAAACTGTTTAACGACGTTTCTATTAATGAATTCACTAAGAAGAAACGTATTGCTGTTGTAAAACGTTGTTACTCCTGCAAATGTTTTATAACAACAACAAAAAATCTATTTGTAATACAGTCCGCCCTTTCTGTTTGTTGGTATGCTTATCGCAATCTTAAAATAGATCGTGCCGAGCCGGCGTCTTGATATCAAAACAATAACACCATACAATAAACATAAAAAACATCTTTAAAATTCATGGAAACGTCAAATTAGAAACAGCACATTAAAATTCATGTGCATTTTTTTTCCCACGAGTCGACCGTGTCTCGTACAACGCAGACAGTGAATCAGAGTGGCATATGGTAATGGAGATTCACGAGGGACAAATAAAGCGTTACGTTGAGATGTCACAAAAGAAAATATATCAGGTAACCTTATCTGAGCCACATACATATCTTTCAAACTGTCATAATAACTAAATTCATTGTTTTAAATTAAAATACAGTGATTTCCATCTTGTGTGACCTGGGTTTGATCTTAACCGTAGCACTGATATGAGTATCAGGAGAATCTTTGAACTTGTATACGGAAAACGCGTTTTATGTGGTGGTAGAGCCTAGCTGCGGTAAGGTGCCTACAGCTCAAACATGGGCTGGCTCGACCAGGGATGTACCACCCTCTCACACAAAATCGGCGTGAAGTAGTCTTTAACAGCTGCGTTTCGTCCGACGAGTGAGAGAGCCTATAGTCTTTTCCCTGTTCCCGCCCTTTCCTGCCACTTTATTTTCACCCCTTCCTCTTCCTCAACAGTCAAAGTCGACAACCTATCCGCAACATAAAATATGTTGCTGATGTTCATGGGCGACGGTCACTACTGACCATCAAGTAGGCCGTCTGCTTGTTTGTCACCTCTATCATAAAAAAACGCTCGTTGGTGCATGTGGGACCGACGTGAAAGGCATCCGGCTGATGATGCTAGAAGAATTATTTTTATCTACTAAACAGGAATGTGATCGGCGGATTGTAACGCTCTTTCACCCTCCTACAGCATCTTCTGTCCTCATTTTGACTACTCTGTACAAGGGGAGCAAAATTTGAATGTCGAAAGTAAATATATATCTTTTTACTTTTATTTATTCATTTATTAAGATCCACCAGAGATAATTACATTAATACAATATTGGGTAAAAAGAAATACAGTGTAGCTTAATTCTAAATGCATTATCTTTTAAGGCACAGCATGCATTTTCATATAAATATCTAGAGTAGGTACATGGGAATTTCATTCATTAATTTAGTCCACGTCCACCTTAATACAAATATACACTAGATAGGCAAGTTGCTCAGTCATAAATTGACTAATCATTTGATAGTCAAAAACCTCGTTTTAAATTTCAGAAGAATCCTAGCTCAAAGTTAGTAATCCCAGGAGACTTGAGCAAATAAAAGCTGTAGATTAGTTTTTGAAGCAACGTGTAAAAGTTTTTGTAGTGAAGCAACGTGTTTTATGATTCAAGAAAATTACTAAAGTTGAAGTAACATATTATTTCCTTACAAATCCTTGTAATAGCCATTTCAGAAAACTCTTGAGCACATTCAATAACCCAGTTTCCGTACACTTTTTTACGTTAATTTTTTTTTCACGACAATTGAATGCCATTACCGTACCTTACCATGAATACCGTACTATGAAGATTATAAGAACTCTTTGGCTACACGAGCCACGATCCAAAAACCCGTTAAGCAAAAAGTTCATTAATATTCATATTATCAAACAAAAGTATCATAAACATACTTTATTTGTTACCTATAAAACTCTGTATTAAATAACCGTCAGCATTTCAAACAGTCTTTCCAAAAAACTTTCAAATCATTTAAGTATGCGTCAGTAGTAACAATTACATGTGAAAGACCTTTCAAATCCCGCAAATCTTCTATCTCAGATAACATGATAAGGATAATATCAGTTTTAGTTCGTTGATTGCCAGGTTCCGCTTTGGACAGACCAGCAAGTTAATTTTGGCTAACGCTAGTATTTTAGAAGTCTCGACATTATTTCTTACATATATGAATTTTAATTACAATGCTAGTGAGATTAAAGGTTTGGTTTTCAAAACTTTTAAAGAATATAAATAGAAATGAAATATATAATATTCCTAAAGTTAAAACTCAAACGAGTTTGTTAGTTACTAAATAAAAAATTTCAAATCCAAGAAGAATTAATTGACGCGTTTTTCATTGCAATATGCATTTTAAAATTCCATATTTATATCAAAAATGGTACAATTTAGGACAGAAACTGTAACATCTAGAATTTGAATGTTACAGATGAGGTAGAACGATCAGGTTTCCAAAATAACATAAGCTCGCTCTGAATGTTACGTTGCAAATACAACTTGAAATGCTCATTTAATTTCACAGTGCCAACGGCATTTTCCGTATAATGCGCTGTTCCTGGTATACGAAGAGATTTCAACAAGCTGTATGTACATGATGACTGTTCTTTCATATGTAGAACATGCAGCATGAAGAATGTTCTCCATCCTGGGATTATACTTCGAGCAACTATGTAGGGTGTTGTAAACAAAAAGTTCATGTTTCTTCTACATAACTAGAATCGGCAATACATAGACAATTCATTAATGAATCAGGTCTTCATAGATAGATAGTTTCTAGAAAGTTATATTTTACTATAAGGCGGCCTAATATAAGAATCTTAGGCCAATTTTTGACATAAAAATTATAGCATCAAAAAAAATGTGCGACTGAATTGAATATACGTACTTATGAATGAAACAATTCTAAATCAATGATAAGATTTATTAACGAGTCTAAACATAGAACGGATCGATCATACAAAGTTGCGGGGAATGGTATTCATGTGCGAGTATACGTTTCAACCGGAGTTTAATCTTAAAATCCGTAGTTTACAAACCATTAGGACGTATGATGTATCGCATAAACAACGGAATAATTCAATTTAAATATATTCTTCACGGACTGTATATGAGAGGCGACCGAATGTAAATAATGCATTTGAATTTTACGATGAATAATGATAATTTAATATGTGAATTGTTTTCACTAGAAAACGTAATGGCATCCGTCACCCGACTTTCAAACAAACAACGTTAAGTGCAAAATAAATCAACTTAACAAAAGCAATTTGGTTGATTTTATTTGTTTATTCATCGCGGGGAGATAATTGGATTAAAACTGAACATTTCAGGCTGAGACGAGGGTCGATGAACCTGTACCTTTGATTATATATCGGAGTACTTCCACGGCCACAGTCACGTCGAGCAGATTCAATCGTAGCTCCTATCAAGCTGTCATGATTACCTCTAATTCCTATCACGCTAAGGAAATGAATGAAATAAACTATTTGACATCGTGTGTTCAAATTGTTAATTTTCGAATAATCTTCGTATTAACATTTAGATGAGTAATAAAATAAAATTTACATAATATATAAAATAATCAAATCGATATCTTCTAAAGTCCAACTAAATTACTGATTAAGAGAATTGGGTTGGTTTGATGTTTAACTTTGAATTACAATAAAAAAAAGAAAGTTGGAAAACGACTGCTTTCCAACATATTTACAAAAGAAAATATAGTTATTAATTTCAAGCTGCAATAATATTACATCGAAATGCACTTGAAATTATGATTTCAGAATCGTTTCATATAAAACTATAAAATATTTGGATTGAGAACCCTCACTCTATATACATTTTCAAAATAACCTATCAAAGGTAATATTCCATGTAAACGTATATAAATTTAGCTGATATAAAATCGAGAGCATTGCGTAACTAACCGTGAAACCTAACACGCCTAAATAATAAAGCAGCTGCGAAAACATCGGAACTGAAATTTTCAAACTAAAAATAACCAGAGCTATAGAAAAAAAAATATAGCGAATGTCAACAGTGGTGATGAATGTACGAGGCAAACATCTCGCCGCCCGTACTCATAACACAGACATCGAAAATATGAAGCACAGAATTACATACGAGCGTAAAAAATCAATAGAAATAATCACTCAAACAATATTAGAATGTATCCAAATGTACGTTTCAATTGTCAATTCTATATAAAACGTTGTTAACTCTTAACTATTTTTTAAATTTTTGGACATAAAAGAAAGTAAAATCTTTTAAGGTTATTTTAAAAAAGATATTGCAACAGCTTATTAAGGTATATGAACATTTCAGTGAACCGTATGAAATAATAAAAGAAGGATACACAATACTCTAATATTGAGGTAAAAAAAATTAAAGCATCCCCGTTTTTATAGGAAAGGTAGCAAACGAGCAGACAGCCTACTTGATGGGCAGTAATCACCATCGCTTATTGAAATTCACAAAATCTCTGTTTTGGATGCATTGCCAATCTTTCTCAACAAAGAAGAGGGGCGGGTGGGAATAAGGTGCTGTCAGGAAAGGCAACCGTCTCTCTCACTCATCTGACGAAACGTAGCCATTAAAGACTACTTCACGTCGATCTTCTGTGAGAGGGTGGTACTTCCCCGGTCGAGCCAGCCCATGTTCGAGCTGTAGTAACTTTACCAAAGCTAAGCTCTACCACTTTACTATAATATATAAACTTTACTTACTTCTTGACAAGTATCTTGCCAGACTTATCAGCCTTCAGGACTATCTTGGTGTGCAGTTTCTCCAAGAACTTGATGGTGGGATTGTTGAACTGGTTCAGATTGTACGCCAACGCGAACAACTCATCAGTCCACATCTGCAACAAAAATCCTCATGATGAAATCGCTTGAAACCTAAGTAGGACATCAAGAATTCTCCTAAAACTAATTATTGGAATCCAGGGATTTTTTGTTTGTATAATCACAAAAGTTGCAAACTCTGAAATTGAATAGATGGTCATAATACTAATTTATCTTAAAATAATATACATCGCCTTTTCGAAACTCCAATAGATATTTATTGCCATAAAAGAGTGCCATGTTCTTACTTATATAAACAAAAAATATTTTCAGCAATTTCGATATTTAAAGAATCTGCATTGACCCAATCATTCTGACATATTATGTAACGAAATCACAAATACATGTCCCCTTTTATTCAACGTACAAAGACCCGATTTGGTATAAGTTATGATCAAATATAATAATAATACTGGAAATTTGCCAAATACAGATGTAACTAATGCGATTTGACATATTAGGAGGACTGGAATTATATCTGATCTGAATAATTGGATCGAATATTTTAAGTTCAACGAAGACTCGGTACTTGGACGCGGACCAAAAACGAGATGATTTTATCAAATTATTATAATACGGACAAATAAAAGTTCTCGCAACATTAAATGTATACAACGACGTCTCATTTAAACTTTACAAAACATTGTACAACGACCGAGACAAGTAAAGTTACTTTATATAATTCTTAAAGGTTTTTTGTAATCGTACAAAAAATTCATCAATATTTGATCATTTCAAGTTCACGAAAATCTTATATTCTACTACAAAGATAATTAGTGAACCCAATAACTACTTTCATTATATATCGAAATAACTATAATTTTAAACACCGTTTATTTTTCACGCTTTCTATATTTGAAACTCTAAGTTAAGACTCTTTTCTTAGTACTATTTTAATGTTTATTTTTGTAATCCAATCCGGATAGTTTTGATACATTTTCAACTTTTATAAGATAGGTAGTAGCGAAGTTATTAAACAAATATAAGTGACCTGTTACTTCAGGAAACCAATAATAACAACGACTTGAAAATACTATTTATTAATGAAAATATACATTAATTATTTAACTGCTACAACCATTGAATCTTCATAAAATCATTTTGCTCTATAAATGTAGACATCTAATACAAATACGATTTTAATTTAAAAAAACAATATATGTATAAATAATAATTTTATTACGGGTTACCTAAAACATAGGTTGCCGTATAAGAGTAGATCTCATTTATAACTACCAAAACTTTCATTGCAAATGTATACGTGGGCATACATGAAAAGTTCCCTAAGCATTCAGTGTATTGAAACTCATATACACGTAGATATTCCAAAGTTTTGTATATTATAACAAAATTAATATAAGTTATACGTTAATAAACTTGGAAGCATAGTTTACTGATTAATACTCGTGAGGCACGGGAAAGAAAATTCAATGCATGGGAAACGTTATCTTTGTAAATTACTGCGAATTATAGACAGAAATCATATGTACTGAAAATACATCAAATATACTGCATAAAAAATACATGAAACTACACAGACAAGTATAAAACTTCTTAGAAATAATAATAATAATTAAAAAATATATTTAACTAAAAAATAATAATTAAAGTTTAAATGTTTAAAATTGTGAACAAATTAGTCATTAGTAATAAATGAAGTGAAAAGTATTCATTAGTATTTTTACGTCAGTAAATACGATACAAATTAAAAGAGTTACATTTGCATGAAATAAAGAGAATTGAAAGCGTATCCAAAATATAAATAGAGAGTATAAATAAGAGTTTGGAAGTTTTTTGTTAGAACGAGCCAGCGACGAAACTTTATCGATTATAATTTATAGCCGGTGGATATTTTTATAATTCAGAAACATTAAAAATAGATTGTGCTATATATTTGAGATAATAATATGAATTGACATTTTAAACTAACTTACAATTTAGTTAATTGTAAACCATTCGTTCTATACACAGAAATTACTCGAGTTTTGGTTATAATATCGTAGTGACTATGATTACACAGAAATAATTCACCAGTTTTGGTGATAACTTCGTAGTGACTACGATTTAAACGCGATGTTTTTACCTATCTTATATCCAGCATCATAAAACCTTAATTATATTTAAATATTATACAATATAAAATATTTATGAGATGTACACCAAATGGTTCATTCATTTTCATATTCATTATACCCGCAAGTCGTGTTCTATAGCCGGCGACGAAAGGTATATAGGTCGTACGATAACTGACCCAAAATTCCCATCTGGAACGTGGGAAGTGTCGGTGATAAGAAATACTATTATTCACTGTCTACATCAACTTTATATTTTTTTTTATATGTAGTGAAATTTAACATGTTCTAAAGAATATTTACAAATAAATAGTTAATGACAAACGCTGATTAGTTCCTAAGACTTTCGCGAGTTTTATTCATTTAAATGAAACTAATGTTTTTCGGATATACTACGCGTGTTTTTTTTTGCAAAAAGCTATATAATCCCGACGTTTCGGCTACTTTTCAGCAACCGTGATCATGGGCAGACGAGATGTGATCGTCTGTCCAAAACAAAGCACGAGTAGTATGCATATCCGAAAAATATTAGGTTCATTTAATATAAGATACAATAAATTAGATTTATATAGGTTATTATTATGTATAAAATATATTTCACTGATTTCACGTATTGGTTAGTCAGTCAGAATAAAAATCCCACTAGGTCAAGGCCGCATACCACCTAAATAACATTGGTTAATATTTTTTTTTATTATATTCTGCATTTATAATATCACTCATTTAAAAAAAGAACATTTAGAAGCTTTGAAGAAAAAAAAGGTTTTTTTGTTTTTTTTTATTTCTTTAAAAAAGTTTTCATTTATTTTATCTGCATTACAAAACTGCCAAAAAGCTATCAACCAGTATGAAGTGTCTTACATTGTCTGCTATCTTAAGACTCACCACTTCATAATGAAAACAACGGGAAAAGTACAGCAAAAGTAGATATATTGGTCAAGTTTCAAAAGTAAGGCAAAAATTTATTCTTATTATAACAACTAAAACTTCCACAGATGAAATTTGAAATCAATATACATATGTAAACATTACAAGACATTATAATAAAAAATAATACATCTATAAAATCCAATTATATGGCTTTTTCTTTAATCAGGGATGAATTTTCTCCACTCACATTTAATGTTAGGAAAGGATGAGTAATTTAATTAAAAGTTCATTAGCTAATTTAAATTATAAAATATGTCTTAAAAAAATAAACTAATACAAATTTACATAGGACAAACATAAAATATGATTACAAGAGATTATTCCCCCAAGTCTAAATCAAAGTTTCCACTTTAAAAAGTATCAATAAAGTTAGTAAAGTAACCTGAGCTATTGTGTATGTTTCATTCTTCTCTTAAGACATTTCTCGAATATAACTTAAACAATACATTTGATCTCATTGTTATTAACTACAGAGGCTAATAAAAACTAATCGACACTATCCCTACTAATATTATAAATGCAAAAGAAACTCTGTCTGTCTGTCTGTCTGTTACGTTTTCACGCCTAAACCACCGAACTGATTTTAATAAAATTTGGTACAGAGAGAGAGTTGACCTTAAGAAATAACATAGGATAGCTTTATCCCAGACTTTTGAAAGGTTCTCTTGGAAACGCGATATAACCGAACTCCACGCGGGCGAAGCTGCGGACGGAAAGCTAGTCTACAAATAACTGCTTAACATAATTGCCCATATACATAATTTGAACTACTAATAATTTCTTATAAGAAATTAATTTTAATTAATATCTATAGATAAACCTTAGACGCCGTGGTAGCTATTAGCATTTTTTTTATTTATTGCAAAGATGGTAAACTAACAGACGGCTTACTTTATGAAGAGTCAAACAGTCTGTAGTGGAAGTTCTAAAACATTTAATTGTATACATCTGTAATTTGTAATTAATTAAGTGTGTGAGAGAGAGAGAGAGTGTTAGAGAGAGAGAGACAATGGAAATGGTAGCATAAAAGGTATTAACTGCACCGTCGAAGAAGCAAATGGTTTAAAGCAATCGATTTGAACAACAGGTAAGATTATCTCAAAAAAGAATAATTCTGCAATATTATATAGCATTAGATTCATTGAATAATTCTTTTGAAAACAATTTCTTTTATTTAACATTAAATTTGATCTTCGCTGTTACTGACCAATTTATGAAAGAAATACATAAATAAAAATATTTCTTAAACCATCTAATTTGGACACCTTAATTGTAATGATAAAAATAGTTTCCTATAGCCTTCATAGTTTTCATCTTTCAATAGTAAATTTCATTTACTTTAATATATTTACACAACCTTCATCTAAGAAATCTGTGACCAGACAATTCCACTATACAGGGTGACTGGTGAATTACTATCAATATTTAAGGAGCATACTCGGTACATGATTCTCATTCGAAATTATGTAAAAAAAATGGGTACTTAATTTTTGACCAAATTTCCGTATAAAACTAAATAAAGTGTGTACACGTTCCAAGTGTTCCTAGTGTGGACGCGTGCGGCGGCGTGCTGATACAACAACACGCCACCGCGCGCGTATGTGTGAGTGTGTAGTGTAGAGTAATCTGTAGGGTGTTCATACGATGCGTAATTAATTACAACAACTTTTGGTTAACTTTACTTAGAAGTTTATTAATATTTATGTTATATTAATTTTTATTTCGTCATATATGATCGTCAAATATCACGTCCTCAAATATCGATAGTAATTCACCAGTCACCCTGTATATTTAAAGTACTATGATATAATGAATTTTGTAGGTGGTAGAGTCTAGCTGTAGTCATGTAACTACAGCTCGAACATGGGCTGGTTAGACCGGGGAAGTACCACCCTCTCACAGAAGATCGGCGTGAAGTAGCCTTTAATAGCTGCGTTTCATCCGATGAGTGAGAGAGAGGGTTGCCCTTTCCCTATTCCGACCTGTCCCTGACATTTCCTTATTCCCAAGCCCTCCCTATTTCTAAACAACAAAGGTTGACAAACGCATCCGTAACAAAGATGTTGCGGATGCCCATAGGCGACCAAGTAGGCTGTCCGCTCGTTTGCCACCTTTCACGTAAAAAAAAATAACCTTTACAATCCCTACTAATATTATAAATGCAAAAGTAACTCTGTCTGTCTGTCTGTTACGCTTTCATTTTAATGAAATTTGGTACAGAGATAGAGTAGACTTTGAGAAAGAACACATATGATAGTTTTAATCTCAGACTTTTGAAAATTTCTCTTGGAAACGCGATATAATCGAACTCCACGCGAGCAAAACTGCGGGCGGAAAGCTAGTTACATTATAAAATTGTTTTTAACATAAATTAAACAATCGGATTTTTAACACGTTACAATAGCATCGTTTAGCCAATAAGATTATCAAAGAGTGTGATTCAAAACGTTACACATTTCAAAAAAAGCATAATCTACCATACATATGTCTATTTCATACAACACTCATCTCAGTCGCGAATTTAAATCACTTTAGTAATATAATTCCTATATCAGAACAGTCAGTACGTTACAAAACTGTTTCTTAATAAACAATTCACAGTTCTTGAATTTATAACACAATAATATCTCAGCTGTACTTATGACAAAATATGTCACGACACTGACGAGACAATAGAAAGCATTAAAATAACCGAAACATAATATTCAACTGTAGACAATTGTACTACTATTTTGTATTTAATATCAACGTTACACTGTATGTTTCAAGATAGAAGTATTAATAACAATATTTTTGTAAGTATAATACACTATTTTCGCGTATAATATATGTATATACATATATGCATATATGTAGAAAGCTTTACCCTTATATACTTTATAAAAATATTAAAAAATAAAACTGTTTTCTTTTTCATATAACGAAATTAAATGCCATACAAAATAAATGCCATGATACTGTAAATGCAATATAAAATTACATACAAATTTATATGCTATAAACACATATATATGTCTGAATATGCATAAAAATATATAAAAATCTATATATATATATATATATATATATATATATATATATATATATATATATGTGTGTGTAATGACCAGCTTCCATTAAGTTAATTTTCATATATGTAATGATAACAATATTTCATATCGTGTACAACAAACTTTAACCCACTAAGTCCTAAAGCCAAAATGAATCTCTGATAATGTGTGAGCTGTGAACTCGGTCCAAATCGGTCAGATGATACTATCAAACCGCAAATAATCCCGTTCACATCAGAAACTGTTTTACGACTAATACAAGCTTAATAAAATCATAAATACTGATATTCAAAGCGGAAAACGAAGTAGCCCATCCATTTATATACAAGAGAAAGAGAGATACTTATAAACTTCGTAAAACTCGTACACTTTAATGCACTGTAAATAAATTTATTCTTAAAACAGATTACATTTTTCATTTATGTTTTAATAAATATATTTTGGGACTCGCATCCCAATAATGCGACTAAAAGTGGCTTCCTGACGAATTAAATTATTAAAACTGATGAATTTCCCGGAAAAAATATATGAATACTAAAATATTTAACAAGCATTATTTCTTTAAATTTTACTCGAGTGTGTGAAAATAAATATATACACATATATACATTTAGACGCATGTACTTTTTGATCCAATATTATTCAACCTACGTACCTATGTATATCTAAAAGAATAACTATACTAATTGTCTGTTCGAATATTATGTATATATATTAGGTATATTTTGTTCAAGGTATATATATGTACTATCCTAGTGGTAAAAACGACTAGCTTTTTATCAATTTCCTATCAATTTGTTGCCCCGGTGGGGCGGCCGGTTCTCAGCGGGCACGCGTCATTGAAAATCAACTAACATTTTACGAGGAAGGAAAGCGGCTATAGCGGCTTTCAGACGACGGGAGAAGATTTAATAGGAATTATAAGTGGAGGAGAATAAAGAAATCGATTATTATTATTAACAAAAATAATGGTAAAGGAAGCTATAAATAAATATAACTATTATTATATCAAGTAATGAATCGATAGGATTTTTATGCTTTACAAAATACATGAGATAGGTAGAGAAAACGAAACGAAATTAGAATGAACATTTTTTAAGCCACTGTATAAAGTTATTTTGAAAGAGCTTTTATAAAAGTACTGAAGTTTTGATACGACAGAAAGTTTACAGAATACTATGTCTTTACTTGTATTGTCTAGTTATCTTGTAAATATGTAGAATAGCCTGATAGGAAATTTATTATTTACTTAAGTAGATTGATATTGATTAAAAAATCTAATGTATTTTTATAATTGAGAGCATTACTACATTGTTATAGGAAAATTGAATAAGTTCTGCATTATGTATATACAACATTATTTATTAAAATATATTAAAGAGGAAAAATTTCATTTTGGTGTGTGTATATTTGTAATAAATAAACTCAAAAACTACTACGCCGACTACAAAAAATCTTTTATCATTAGAAATCTACATTCAACCAGCGTAACATAGGCTATATTTATTGGTGGAAAATATTATATAAACAAAACAACAAAAAATCTAAATAAAAGGTGTAATAAAAATCACACATCTCGTGTAAAGCCGGGAAAAGAAGCTAGTCTAGTATAAAATAAATAGAGTTACTCACTAGAGACTCACTTAGAGTTATGTGTCAATATTACAATGAACAATAAATAAAAGTAAAACACTGTACTGTAAAGGCCAACAATATATCGCTACTTACATTGTCCCTCAAAAAAAGAACAGATTTTATTACTATTTTCAGCATTAAAGGGTAACAAACGTCCATACATACACATATATGTGTATATAATATACAATATAACAATATTATTTAGAAGCAGCAATGTCGTGTCGATCCCACGTCCTACAGCGGGTTCAGTTAAATTTATGATATTATAGAAAAGATGATATATGTACATACTCACAACATATCACATTGAGGTAATAAATTATACCCGCATCGCATTATCAGAAAAGAAACATGATATTATCACGCGGGAAATTTGGACCAACTATCCTTAGAGATAAGATATATATAAGTTTTGGTTTATAATTTTAAACAACAGCTTTTCGTTTAACTCATATAAGACTAAATCGCGTACCTACATGAATACTTTTTGTGTGTGTTTGTTTTTCCTAATCTCTGGAATAGACGAAACGATTATAACGGAAATTTTAGAAGCAAGTGGGTAATGTCATGAGCAGTAACTTTAAATAGTTTTTAACTGACAGCAAAAAGAGGAAGTTCTCAAGTTTAAGTTTTTGACCCTTTAAATCCTTAAATTATTATTAAAGCCATTACTCAAAAAAAATCAAAAGGCATTATCCTGATACAGGTTTTTGTTACCAAGTCATGACCTGATGAAATACTCAAGAAATCATATTAAACCTTATAAGGATAATAACTGGTATTTCAAATGTTGTTTAATACGCAAATAAAGTCGCATGCAACAGCTAGTTTCATGATAAATTTATGCAGATAAAAGATCTCCTATCGCTAAAAGCAATCTATTTGTCACGTCCAGAACTCAAAGTAATCCCATCACAACCCAAATGTCCGCTATCCTCCCGAACTTAACCCCAAGGTGCGATAATAAAAGGAAAAGTGACGATACAAAAGATTGGAGGGAAATATTGGATACAATCAACTGAATGATGTTACATACTAACGCGGTTTGAATGAACCAGAAGTTTGCAACTCCTGATTTATATAAAAGTAAATAGAAAACTTGGTATATTTTGACAACATCCATTATCAAGAAGAATCCCTTATTTATATAGAATTTATAACATATATATGTATATAGGTAGATGGATATTTTTACTCGTAGTAAGTCATGCTTTTATTTTTTACTGACCAGGGACAAACTGAATTAGTAGTGTTAATTTTTTTATTGAGTTATGTATCACGTTGCATAAATGAGTTAGTGTTTGACGTCATCGTGGCTTAAATTATAGAGTGTATTAATTTTTTACTTATGTATGAAAAATATTTAAAATACAAGTTTATTGTCTAACAGATTACGTTGAGTCCTATGTATTATAATTACTTAAAGAACATAATATGTACATAGATTATCCTGAATATAATATGTATATATCATTTAAATTAAACTAATATTTTTCGGATATACTACACGATTTTAATTTTTTAAACTACATACTCCCGACGTTTCGGTTACTTTTCAGCAACCGTGATCACGAGCAGACGAGATGTGTTCATATAAATGAATAAAACTCGTGAAAGTCTTAGATCACATCTCTACTAATATTATAAATGCGAAAGTAACTCTGTCTTTCTGTCTGTCTGTCTGTTACGATTTCACGCCTAAACCACTGAACTGATTTTAATGAAATTTGGTACAGACATAGAGTTGACCTTGAGAAAGAACATAGGATAGTTTTTATCACAGACTTTTGAAAGGTTCTCTTGGAAACGCGATTTAGCCGAACTCCACGCGGGCGAAGCTGCGGGCGGAAAACTAGTTATGTATATTTAAAAAACAAATTTTTAGAATTCAATTTATATATTTTTTTTGTGATTTATTATATATTTGAGGTATTAATGACTTTATAAGGTGTATTATTATATGCTGTTAATCATTCAACAGTTTCTCTGTGTATATACCTACCTGAGCTATTTCCTTCCTGGTGCAGCAGAAGTTCACGAATGTAACATTAACGAAGTCCACACCGTGACACACGGTCACCGTCTTCTCTTCCAACGAACCCTGGGACCCGATCAATACCACGTTCCTTATCTTAGGATCCTGGAACAAAACGAGAGAATCATTTAACCAAGTTAAAATTACCCAACTCTTTAAAGAAATTTGTGTTAGTTGCACTATTTATAACTCAAGAATGGCTGTAGGGATATGGTTTAAAATGGGTGCAAAGATAGCTTAGAACAATTATACGCACATAGGATATTTAGTTCTGTTCGATAGAGAAAAAAGAAAAACTTAATAAATTTCAATATCTGGTTATTTATGGCCTTTGGGAAAGAATAGAGTTCGCCCGGACAATTATAAATATATCACTTATTCCTAAATTAACGCGGACGAAGGCGCCTACAAAAACTAGTAATAAATATAATTAACTTAATTAAAGACGAATAAAGCCAACAAAACGGTTATTCTCCGTCTCGAATCTACAAATATCTCAGCTTCCGAGGGGAGATATTAAAAAAAAATATAATAGAAAATTATAATTCTCGGAAACGCCTTCAGGAAAAAAACAAATCCATAGCTTCCCGTTTCAGCTTTTATACTTATTAAACAGCGGTCATATTAAAAAACGAATAAAAATTACGACTTTAGAATTATTGTATAATCCGCCATTAGGTTAATTAATAATAAAATATTCAAGAAATTTTCATCGAGTATACCTTTCAAATAATAATATGTAGATATGGAATTATCTTCAATGAATTGACGACTAAAGTACCTATATATACCTAAGTATATGTATTAAAGAAGTACACATTTCATATTTCTGTTAATTTACAGTAACTCTATTCCCACACATATAATTTTATTGAGCATTTTATTTTTTGTAGTTAGTATCATGAATTAATTTCCATTCTATAATATTCAAGATCCTTTCAAAATATTTAATCATTCAACATTTTAAGTTTAAAAATTCACTTTAAATTTGGAGCAACCCTCATCAGAAGCAAATACCCTTTTAGAATTATTTATACAATAATATATTCTGGTTTATTACAATCAGAATAATCTTAATACTGACGATATAAATGCAATTTTTTTTACAACGTATACTAGTTGTTTTGTCATATAAAAAATAGGGGTTGGTGATAAAAATGTGAAAAATTTTGGCTTGTACGTATTTTTAATGCTACATTATACAAAAATAAAAATTAAGGGTGAACAGCCCTTATCACTAATGGGGTATTAAAAATAGATGTTGGCCGATTCTCAGACCTACTCAATACGATCAAAAAATTTCATGAGAATCGGTCCAGCCGTTTCGGAGGAATTCTTTGTCTAACACCGCGACACGAGAATTATATATATACAATTTTTATTTACTTTACAATCTCTACCAATCTCTACTCATCTCTTGCTCCTCATTTTAAGCTTCGTATGTTTTAATATCACTTTCAATTCAATTTGTACATACAAAAGCTATGTTTCTGAAAAACGCATGATAAAACTCAAACGTACATATATCTTCCAGGAAACACTTAGCGAAATGAAATGGGAAGAGCATTCGTAATTAAGTTGAGTGATGAAACAATTCCACATAATGCATAAAACGTTATGCGGCTACCCGCTATTATGTGTTTTATGTTAACGGTTATAATTTAATAGTTATATAATACTAACCGAATCGTTTAATTTAAACGCTTTATAATGTTTATTTTGTCGTTTAAATGTTACCGTGATTTTATAACTCATTGGGGAATAATTTGCTAGCTAACACTTTATAATAACACTATACTTTCATGGCTTGCAAAATTTTTGGTTCTTAAAATAAATTAAATATTAAGTCTAAGTATAAAAAAATTAAATACCAATACAATATAAAAAGAATACTTTATATGTTATAGTACATATATACATGAGAACAAAGTCAGTGGTGGCCTAGTGGTTAAAAGTCCCGTCTCTCATGCATGGGGGCGCGGGTTCGATCCTGGCATGTACCAATGTGATTTTTCCGAATCATATGTACTTTCATTTAGACATCACTGATTAATGCATTCCTAAAGAGGGTTGATATCAGGCAGGCGGCCGGTCGTAAAAAAATTAGCCAAAACTATTCACAACATGTAAGATAGACCCTGGCTAAAGCTGGGAAATTGCCAGGTAGAAGAAGAAGAAGTATATATATAAGAATATTATTTGACAAAGAATACTCTATCCAAATCCTAAACCTCTAGATAAATTTGGATCGTAATTTCTGAAAGAAATAATTGTATTGTTAGTGATATTTCGCGGGGATATTTTCATTGCACCTTATTTAATAAATCTATTACACTATTAATATCTGAATAATTATAATATTAATATTTATATATAATAATTTAAGAGGCTTTTAGAAGATTTCTTCATTTAATATACGCGATCCCCGTGCGTAACGTGTTCATAAACAATTTCCGGATCTATTAATTTATATATGTACAAAATTACGGTACTCAAAATTTCATAATATAAACACGATAGTTAAAACATATCGAAATGAAAAAGTAAAAACAAAATCGTATTATACTTATATATCTTCAATATATAACAAAATTATATAACAAAATCGTATTATACTTATATATACTTATATATCTTCCTATATATAAAATTCTCGTGTTGCCGTGTTAGAGAACTACGAAACGGCTTGACCGATTCTCATGAAATTTCGTGAGCATATTCAGTAGGTCTGGGAATCAGCCAACATTTACTTTTCATACCCCTAAGTGATAAGGGTTAGTCACCCTTAATTTTTTTTTAATTTTCAGACGTAATTTATTGTTATATTTTTTTATAATGTAGCATTAAAAATACATACAACCCAAAATTTTTACTTCTTTTATCACTAACCCCTATTTTTTATATGGCAAAACAACGTTTGCCGGATCAGCTAGTATATATTATATTTAAACATCATTCATACTACCACAGCACAGACTGATCGTAACACATTTTTTATAACATCACTACTGGTACAGTTTTATATTATCAAACAATAGGTTCGAATTAAATAATGTTTATAATAAAACTGATACCGCTAGTAGGTCAGTGTTATATTATTGGAGCGAACGTTTTAAATGACACACTGCCATTATGTCCCAAACTATATAAAAACATATAAATTATATATATATAAAAATTAATTGCTGTTCGTTAGTCTCACTTAAACTCGAAAACGGCTGAACGGATTTATCTCATCTTAGTTTTGAAATACTCCTGGAAGTCCAGGGAAGGTTTAAAAGGTGAGAAAAATGGGAATAATTGCCGAGAAATTCTAAAAACAGCCCTTTTCTATTTCCCATACAAATGTTTTCTTTGACATTAGATTTGACAACTAACTAATATGTCAATCATTCTGTTCGATTGAAACAGGAAAAATTTAATAAATACCAATACCTGGTTATTTAAGACGGAATAGAGTTCGCCTGATCAGCTATACATATATTAAACGCCTGATCAGCTATACATATATTAAACTAATGACGAAATTAACGCGGACGAAGTCGCGGGCGAAAACTAGTAATATACATAATCCATTAAGTTTGTATATGTATATAATAAATGTAGTATTAAAGGGAGCGTGTATACAACTTATTTATAATAGATATTCGTGAGCCAATCTTCCTCAAATGACATAATAATTTTGTGTTACCTTCATACGATGCTTTTCCGATAGAGTTTTCACGTTTAAAATATTATTTTTACTTCTCGTTTAAGAGACTATGTAAAAAAGATTTATAATATTTTATTTACAACAATATGTATTAATTCAACTATTTCAATATTCATTTCACAACAGAATTCACTGTATAAAATACGAACATAATACCTTATTGTTTTTAATAAGAATTTCATATTATGTACATTCTGATTACTACATAAAAAAGCATATATATATATATACAGTTTTTTATCTCATTTGACCCGCTACACATCCCCCGACCTTCCCAATGCCGCAGTTTCCAATAAACGAATAATAGCTTCGGAGACGTTTTACTGAGCGTTAAACTTAAAATAAGAATGACGTCACTAGCGGTTTTAGAAGCATCTCTGACATTCAGAATAATAGATGCGACCACGGCCGGTATAAAAGATAATTATAATCTTCATACATAACATATGAACAATGAATACAGTCAGAGTCAGTGGTGTCGTAGTGGTTAAAAGGCCCGCCTCTTATGCACGAGGGCGCGGGTTCGATCCTGGCAAGTACCAATGTGATTTTTTCGAGTCATATGTACTTTCTAAGAGTATTTAGACATCAATGATTAATGCATTCCCAAAGAGGGTTGATGTCAGGCAGGCGACGGTCATAAAAACAATTAGCCAAAACTATTCACAACATGTATGGCATACCCTAGCTAAAGCTGGGAAATTGCCAGGTATAAGAAGAATGAATACACTTAAATTAAAACACTCTAACACAATTCTCTATACAATCCTTACAAAATTTTTACCAACTAAATAAAATAACTATCAATATAAATAACATATATAAAGCAATTATTTGTTAACAGCCAATAAAAGTATATAAATTGTCACGAAGTTCGGTGTCACGAACAGATATAACGTGAGATTATAGTTAGATAATTAAGACATGGATAGTTTATATGTTAGAGGATGCTGGGGTGACACGGACGTTGGACAAGCGGATAGTAATAATCATATAATAGAACAGATTAAAGGGGAGATTGGTAAAAATACGACCGACTTATACTTTAAAAGTAACAAGATATTAAGCTTGCTTATTATGAAACTAATATTTTCGGATTTACTCCCGACGTTTCGGCCACTTTACAGTAACCGTGATCACGGGCAGACGAGATGTGCTTGCTTATGCCTACTTGTTGCATAAATGGTCTCATCAGGTAAAATAACATATATAGAATATCCAAATATGTTTAACACGTGTGATCCAGAAATAACAATTCCTTTGGACTATGTATATTCAATTCTGATTTAATAACACCAGCCTTAACCCGCACAAAGGAATCCCTTATCAAATGTTCAATATTTGAATAGGACTATAGAAATAATAATAAATTTATTATATTTTCTTATATTAT